TAGCTTGAACTCGAGACCCTGCTTCTTGAGGAGCTTCTGGGTGGCCTTGGCAATCTCGGTGTCCATGCCGGGGCCGCCGATCTGGCCCAGGAACTCGACAACGGTGACCTTGGCGCCCAGTCGCGACCACACGGAGGCCATCTCAAGACCGATGATGCCACCGCCGATGACAACCATGGTCTCGGGAACCTTCTCCAGCGCGATGGCGCCAGTGCTTGTGATAACGCGCTTCTCGTCAATCTCGAGGCCGGGGAAGGGAGTAGCCTCGGAGCCGGTGGCGATGAGGAAGTTCTTGCCCTTGACGGTGGTTTCGCCGCCATCGTTCAAAGCCACCTTGACCTCGTTCTCGTTGACAAAGGAGCCAGCGCCCTTGATGTACTCGGCGCCGTTCTTCTTGAGCAGGAACTCGACACCCTTGGTCAGGCCAGTGACCGACGAGTCCTTTGCCTTCATCAAGTTGGCCAGGTTCAGCTTCACATCGCCGACTTCGATACCGCGGTTCTTGGTGTCGTGGAGGATCGTGTGGTACAGGTGGGAGTTGTTGAGGAGCGATTTCGAAGGGATGCAGCCCACGTTCAGGCAGGTTCCGCCGAGGGTGCCGCGCTTCTCGATACAGGCGACGCTCAGGCCCTCTTGGCCAGCCTTGATGGCAGCGACATAGCCGGCAACACCGCCACCGATGATGACCAGGTCCTTCTCCTCTGTATATTGGGTCAGTAATCGCGCGCCGGCGGACGGTGATCGGTCGAGGGAAATTACGCACCAGACGATGAGGCGTAGCCGCGACTCCATCTTGATGTCGAGTTCGGGGCGAGGACTGTGGGAAGTCTGCGGCCTGATTAGTCTCCGATCGGCTGCCAGTAATGCCAGACAGTCGCGCTGAGGGAGCGGTTTTGCTGTCGAGGCAAAAAAAGGGTACAGGGCCTACTACTCACGTTGACCGCGCAACGACCGGACGAACGGTGTGCCGGGGGATAAGACGACTGGCAAGCATTGTGATGTGTCTTGGTGGTGTTTCCGGCAGCCTGCGATGCCGAAAGAGAATGGACAAAGATATTTAAGATAGAGGTTGGGATTGGAGGATTGGAAATCTTGAGATGTTGGCGTACAGTCGATGATTCCAGAGCTCCAAGTTGCCAGCCCGGCAAGATTCCGGCCAATTGGAGGCGCAGCCTGGCGACACAGCGCTGCTCCCCTAAGAAGCCAGGCCAAATTTTCTTAGCCGGCAGCATGGCCCGTTCTCATTCGCCCATTTCGCCACCACTCTGGATGACCGCGACACTCTTCACCCGTTTAATCCCGCGTCAATGCGGCCTTTGCCGCTGCCCTGTCTCGAACACATCGCCAGCCCACGGGCACCCTTCGCGTTGATCTGTCACTTGATTGTAGCAAGGGAGTATGAGACGCAAAGAATTATAAATTTTTAATCAGTGACTGATCTACGTCTAACATACAATAAGAAGGAAGATGAAAGGGACGGGAAAAAAAAACTCCACCCCCCTTCCCCGCCGTACGGAGTCGAGCCATGGACCTCACCAACTACAAAAAACACGTCGGCCAGACGGTGCGCTAACTTCTTGTTCAACCTAGTGCAGGGTGCCCGTAGGCAAAGCATGTTGTTGTATTATAATATATGTAGCTCTGTTTCTGATCGGGGAGTTTATACAAGCACAACCGCTAGGTTTTTCCAACGCACATTTCTAATCACTACTAGCGCCTATTATATAAACATTAGGCAAATATACACAGGAGAAGTAAATACCTTTTTATAAAAATATTATTTATATTTTTAAGGATCTTAAAAACAGTTTAAGTAGCGAGTATATATAAGTAAGGAGCGCTTTAAGTAGTCTTAAGTAGTCACTACAGACGTCGGAGCTCTCGACCACCAAGTCAAAAACCAAAAAGAGAACATACAACAGCCGGTATTCGCTGGTCGTCACCGACCCAACTACTAATCAGCCCCTCAGCGGCTTGACTATGGGAGAGCGGACGGGATCCCGTATTTTCCACTGGGTATGGTCGTATGTGACAGCTTTGTCATGGAATACAGCATATCGTACCTACAGCCGATAGAGGAGCTGCGGTAGATCGAAGGGAACTCGTCCACGGAGATGAACCGAACTGCCTCAAGATTCTGAACATCATCATGATCAACTCAAGATGGATATCTGTGATTGCGTTGGCCTTTAGAAATCTATAACTGCCCAGGTCAGGGGTTCTTCTGTCCAAGCGTGTGCGATTCAAGCTTTTCCAAAGCTCATTTATTCCTCCAGTACCCCTCGGCTTTGCACGGCTGCCATAGCCTTTCCCTTCACCTGGTCCAACTTGAGCAGACTCTTGGAGCTCAGAGCCTTGGTCTTGCGTAGCTTCTTCCTCATGAACCATTCTAGTCCTGCGGCGAGTTGAGGCAACTCTCTCGCCGCGCCGAATGCCTTCTCCACCTTGATATCCTCCCTCTCCGCCCTCTTGGACTTGCACTCCTGGAGCAGGCTGATGATCAGGCACTCGACAAAGAATGATGTCCAGGGCTCCATCTCAGCCATGTTGAGCGGTTTCAAAATCGCAAGGCTGAGGGAGCCGCTCGCAATCAGCGAGGCGTAGAACTGGGCCACTTTCTGTACGCGCGGCTCATCCTGGAATCGTGCGCTGTCAGCCGTGTCCATGTCCTCGGCCTCCTCTCCGAACAGTGACTCTCCCATGGCGCGGAAGATCTGCCAGAGTCGTGCCTGGAAAGCAAATCGAAGCTTTGTGTCGCGGCAGCAGAGCTCGCCTATCCCTGCATAGTATGCGTTGTACTCCGCTTCGCTCCCGACGCACTGCACAAGAACCCGGGCAACCTCTCGTTTCTCTTCCCTTTTGAGGCCGAGATTCACGTAATGCTGGTACCCCGTTTGGCAGTCCATGGCGGTCATCAGCGCCGTGAAGATGGCGATTTGAGCTGGTGATCCCAGCCCCTGAGATCGCGCTTTCTTGGGGTAATCAGGAAGCACGAAATCCATATCCTCCTCATCTTCATTGGCGTCGTAGTCCTCTGACACATGCTTCTGTCCCTTCTTGGATTTGGTCTCGGATTTGTTAGAGTCAATCTCCTTTGGAGGTACGCTGGCACCGACGAGCCACCACTTGCCCTTGGTGTCGGCGCTGATGACATCCTCAAGATCCATACCCATCGGGGTCAGTCCGTCCAAACGTCGGGACTGGGATTTCAATTCACCCAGATGCTTCTTCATGCTGATGACCTGCTCCGAGACAATGCTCGAATCCAGCCCCTTGCCCTTGGATTTCTTGTTCTTCAGATCGTTGATGGTTTCCACCATGAATTTGGTCCGCACGGTGACACTGCCCGTCTCAGCCTTTGCCACCGACTTTCCCAGGATATCCGCCACACGCTTTAGTGCCTGGGGGTCGTCTCTGCGCAGCAACCGGCCACCATTGCGGCAGATGCGTAGCAGCAACTCTACGTTGATCTCGTTCAAGTCCAGCAAAAGTCGCTCCATGTAGTCGAAGATGATCTTGCAGCGCACGACCTCGAACACGTAGAGCTGCGAGAGAAAGGTGATCAGGTTCGACGGCTCCTTGGGGATCGCGGCATCCTCGCCCTGCACAGCGCTTGCTCGGTCGTATTCCTGCCCAAAGTCCTGGACCACTCGCCTCACCAGGTGGGATCCGAAGCTGGAGCCGATGATCTTGTACACAGCCGCGCAGAATCCACCCGTGAGGACAAAGAATTGGTCGGGCAGCGCCTCGGGCTTGCAAACCTGGGCCAGAATAAGGTCTGTCAAGACCTCGGTGACCTCTCCTCGTGCATTGTTGCCATACAAATCATCCACGCCTTTCACGATGGAGATGATGTTCGCATCAGTCAGGCGGTTGATCAAGCCCTGGGCCTGTTTGCGTAGTCGCTCTCTCTTCTCGTCGTGTGTGTTCCCCGTCTTGCGTAAAGATGGCGGCACGTACTTTGCTACCACATTGCCCTGTGTTGGGGCGACGTACGGATTTTCGCGTGGTCGTTGAGCAGCAGCCGGTGCTTCATCTTCGCTTGACCCAAATCCACCAAATGAACCCTCTTCATCGAATTGGTCTTCGTCCTCTTCGTCGAACATATCAGAGCCCTCCTCATCGTCAAGATCAGTGAGGTCATCGTGTCCGTTGAGCTCGTCCTCTGAGTCCCGTTCATCCTCTTCCCTTCCCCCCTTATGTACAGCTTTCGGTGCTGTTTTCCGCCGCTTCGCAGCAAGCCAGTCGTCGAATTCGCGTTTCCTCTTGCTGCTGTCCTCGTCTCCGTTCACGCCGACTTCAGCATCGTCCCCATCGGAACCACCTGCCAAGTCTGCCATGAGCTCCTCCAGGCCGTCCTCCTTGAACGACTGTGGTAAAGACTTGCGACCCTTCTTGATGCCAAGCTTTCGCTCAAATTCATCGATTTCAGCGTCGTCCTTGGCGAGCTTCTCCTTCATCGCCGAAGACATCTTGTTGCCACGCTTGCTTGCCGTATCATCCTTCGCGAATTCATCACTTTCCTCGAAAGGATCAGCAATGTCATCAATGTCCTCATCATCGTCTTCTCCAAGCGACTCTTCGCTGTCCGCCGCTACTCTTTGCTGGCGAGATCTGGGCGTGGGTCCATTCTTTTTCTGATTATTGGTGACGTGAGACTTCGTCGGAGCGACTCTGGAGTACCGGTTGGTCTTCTTCTGAATTCTCTGTGCCTTGCGCTGATCCTTTCGGTTGGAAGACTGGCCACGACCAGCCTTGTTTCCGGCGCGGTCATCTCCTACGCCAAGGCTCTTGAAGAGCTGGCCCTGCAGTTCTGCGACACTTTTTGGCATGATATTTTGTTTTGGCTGAGAAGTGAAGGAACGAAATTTGATGCGAACGTGGATGAACTTTTTGATGCCAAGGAAGGCTGTGTGGGTCAGAAATGCCACACTGGACTGAATAACCTCGACGCTTTGCTGTCACTTGGAGGGCTTCCGCTGACCAGCTACTTTTCGCGCCTTTTGGTCCACCTTCGGTGGCGGGGGCATATCGCACATGCTCTTCAACTTCACTCATTCATCGGCCATCAGTTACTTCACATCGCGACTCACTCACCCACCAGCATCACACCGATCTGGGTCCCCACGACCTTCGAGACAACCTGAGTGAGCTCCAACCTGCAGCGCAATGCCGTCGAGCAAGAGTCATCTGAGCCAGACTGAGGTACCACGCGCACACAGCTCCATCTCTTCTCGCCCCTCGCTCACCAAGCGCTAGTTCTTTGACCAGCTCGAGAAACTCTTCAGTCACCGCAAAGGCAGCGACCATGGCGCAATTTATTTGACACAGAAGCGACGTCAGTGGATTTCGAAGCGTCTACAGTGTCAATATCCGAAGCTAACGCTTGGACAGTCACTCACTCCGAGGATGCAACCCTACCTTCACCAGATGAAGAGTTCCCCGACTTGAATCTGAGTGAACCCGTGCCCATTCTCATTCGCGCTTCCAATGGAAAATCAGCCCGTGAAAGAGGGGACAAGGTCAGAATTTCCACAGTGGTGAAACCGGACGACCTCGATGGGTTCTACGTGCGGTATGCGGACATTTGCAAAGCGGGAATGGCGGCTTTGAAGCCCAGGGACCGCAGCAAGAAGAAGGCAAAGGCGAAGAAGAAGAAGGCCGGGCCATAGGTGTGGCAGATAATCAACTGAACGTCTTTGATCGGGTCGAACGTCTTTGGACTTGTCCGCAGCGCTTGCCTGGGACTCGTTCCCTCAAAAGGTTCAGCAACTTTACTTGCCCCATGCTTCTCCCACCAACTTTGTACATTCATGGCAGCAACCGATCAATGATGGAAACATGCACCTTGCGCGCCGAGACGAGTTCCATGAAGTGTACAGGGCATTAAGCGTGTATTATGCTAATATTGGTGCGAAAACATCCCTTCGCTATGTTACTCTCAAGAGCGGCATTGCGGCATTTCCAGCAACAAACTCTCCTGGCTCAAATGTCAAGCCTTACTTGCACTCGGGACCACCAAGTTGGCCGCGCGTAGCACCGGGCACAGCAAGGCTGGAGTGGGTGTCGGAGAAGAAGGCAGCCGGGTTCTCCTCGATTTGCGAGACGTGGAAGCCCTCACCAGTGTCCGTGCCGTCAGCGAGCACACCTGTGGTGAAGGGTCCCCGGATGCAGCCAATGCTGTTGCGACGACCCTCGCCGATATCGACCGGGTTAGGGAAGGCAATGCTGTTCGACGATTAATACATCAACTGGCATAGAGTGAAGAAGAATCGACGTACCGAGGAGGACCCGACATTCCAACCATCGCCTCGTGGATGTGGGTGGCAGTATCAGCGGGTGATTCATAGTCTCCCTGGAATCCGTCGATGGTGATGTTGTAGCAGATGACATTCTCGTGCGAGTTGATGCCAAAGTTGAACTGACCCGTGCAGCCCTCGAGACCACCGGTATATTCGTTATCCGAGTTGACGACCTGGTTCGGGCTGGCGATCACGTTGAAGGTGGATGTGAAGGTAAAGGGGCCTGCCATCTTGTGGTCGCCGCGGGTAGCGATGCCGTTGGCATCGCGGGCCATGGGTGAGGCCCCGGCAAGGGCGACGAGGGCAAGAGCTGCAACAGACTTCATCTTGACGAAGGGTTTGAAAGGTTTCGTGTGGAGGATGGGAGATTGCTAGACTGGCGGTGGTTGAAGCGATGGAATGATGTTCGATGTCCGTACCGGAGAACCAGCGCCTTATATACATCCTGAGCTCAGTCCAAGGTCGTTCTAGTCTCCATTCCCCCGATCAACAGATCAATTGGCATGCTGTAAGTTTGGGATATCGTGAGAAACCACATAAGCAGCCAAGGCCCTAATTCAGAAACTAGATCACAAGCTATGCAAGCCTCAAGACCCCGACCGTCCTTGGCTTCGCATCGAGCGAATGAGGCAATAGATTGGCCCGGGCATGACGCCTTACCTCGTGTTGATTCATAGAATCCTAACTAGTGTAGCACTGCCCCCAGGATTGACATCAACAAGCTCGGGCTTGTCGACCGAAGTAAGCTCACGAAGAGAGATATCATCTCATCTGCCCCGGCTGATACATGAAGCCACGGGTAGAACATGATAACTATCGACGACAGAACATTGAAGCTGTGGCAATTTTCTTCATTCCTCCCGTGATGCTACACCGTCAACGGAGGAACGCTTGCTTTGCGCCAAGCTACTGAATAATGTGAACGTCCCACGGCGACTGAAGAAGCCTTGGGGACAAGAACAGCAATCGATCATCGTCTTGGACATGACCTAGTCTCAATCGGGCGGAAACTCAAGAGTCAAGGCTGACTAGCGCACGTCGAACTCGGATGTTGGAGATGCCGTGAGGCACTGACGGGGTAGAAGGCTCGCCATGAGAGGCTGGCAGCCTGCACACTGAGGGTCCAGATTAAGCTTAATTCCTACCTGAATCATGTCACTGCAATGATGCCTACTTGGCTACTCGAGGTAGCCTTTAAGTTTAAGGTAGATTAGTCCGCATGAAGCGTGGGGTAGGACTGAATTACACATTCATAGTTTTTGAAGTCACATGGTTAGAGACAGCGCGCACTCTCGAGGTGTGCTTCTGCCCTTGGGATAGCTTGATCTTTCTCGTCCGCTTGTAGAGTCAGTGGCACTTGCATCTCCCTCTCCCCCTGACCAGAGCAGTATTCAAAAGAGGAGAAAGTGCATCAAGCATCGAGTGCTGATTCCCCGTTCAATGTGCTACTATTACTATCGGATCGAAATCGTGTTGCTTATATAGTGGATACATGCAGCTCTAGCCCAAGGCTAGCAAGGATTGCCGTCTCCGGATCGACTCATGGCCGGCAGCAATGCCAGCAAATGATGTGGAGGGTAGCTGGGTTAGGAATCGTTGCTCTTGGCGCATACATTATAAACCTAAAGCAGTGAGAGGCTGCTCAACTACATGTTGATGACATGAGCCAAGGCACAAGGCGGCCCCAAATGCCAAATAGTCTTGGAGAACGCGCGTCTCGTCCCCATGCGGGTTCAAGCTCATCTGGGGGGAACGGCGAGGAGCTCACTCGCTGGGCTCCATTGGTAAAGCCCATTCTCCGTTGTGATAGCCGGTCCTTGCGCAAATACCTCTTTTTCCTGGGGCAGGAATGATCATCTAGACCGCCGTATTGCAGTATATCTCAAGATTCCACGTAAAGCGGCTACCCGTGCATAATGTACATCCGTACGTAAGTAGGCCATTCACACGCGCCAACGTCTTTGGCGCCCAGACTCGAAATGTGACGCCGGCCTTCTTAGTAGACAATCAGTACGTGGGAGAGGGTGAAAGAGGATCGGCGCACCAGTGTTCCTTAATAGTGATGGTCGCATATTATATGCTAGGAGCGCCTCCACAGAACCTTTTTTCTCCTTCAATTTTCACCATGCGTTGTCCTGAAAGGCAGTCCGAGTTCCATCCCAAATACAATTTCGTTGGGACGAGTAATCTCCATTCCTAGCTGAGCAAATCCTACAACATCCACCATATCGAGGTCACTTATCCGCCGACAGCGCCTTCGCGTTGTTTCTTCTATGCTGTCGTACAAAGCGAACCGTGTTTCCCGTGCCAACGCGAACAGCTATTGGAGGGTGCTCCAGAAGCTTGATCGATCGAGGACATGGTCAAGACAATACCAGCCAGTGAGTCTTGCGCAGAAGGGTGCACTTGTCGTTTTGCGATACCGGAGATCGTGGCCATTTGAACGCCAAAGTAGAAGAACGAAACTCAGCTTTGATGAGGTCCATATAAAAAGGAAAGAAACAAGAGATCGCGCAATCAATAGCGCGTGGTTTGAATGCCAGAGCATACACCAAATTGTATGGTTCGCCATGAGCCTACATCATTTGATCTTGAGTCAATCCTTCGTGAGGATCGGTCTCCATCGAGTCGGCCGCGGCGCCGGGCTGGTTGGTGTACTTGACGAAGCTCAGATTCAGAGGGCGCCCGCCGTACTGGTAGCCTTGAAACTTGGCGATGGCGGTATCTGAGGTATCGGCGGAATCAAAGCGAACAACACCGCTACCCCGGGAGCGGCCACTCGGCTCGTACTGAATCTCGGCTTGCTCGACCTTGCCAATGGTGGTGAACAGCTCTACGAGATCGTCGTTGCTGGTGGACCAAGGCAACTGTGACACAAGTCAGTATGTTTCAAATGAAGGGGTGCTTGTCTGCTCAGGATGAACTTACATTGCGGACATAGATGGTCTCGCTGCGTTCAGTGCCAGAAGTGGCGAAGTCGGTAAAGGGATTGGGGGGCACCGAGGGAGCATCGAAGCCTGGGGCACCTGGGCCACCTGGACCGCCCATGGGACCCCCAGCAAACCCTCCGCCACGGCCACCTCCAAATCCACCGCGAGCGCCGAAACCGCCGAAGCCTCCGCGACCGCCAAAGCCGCCTCCGAAGCCACCTCGCATACCGCCGCCAAACCCACCGCGCCCGCCGAAGCCCATGCCTCCGCCTTGGGCAAATCGGTCCTCGCGGACTTCGAGCATACGGCCTTGCCAGTCATAACCGTTGAATTGCTGGATGGCGTTCCGGGCATCTTCTGGGCTTTCGAATACAACAATGCCTGAGCCCTTGGGTCGACCGTCAGGACCCATGTGGACATCAGCTCTGATCACGCCACCGACGCGAGCTAAAGTGTCAGTATACGGTTGTCCCCCAAGACGTGAAAGAAGTGACATACTGGCCTGCCGGAACAAGTCCTTGAGATCCTGCCATCCTATGTTGAACGGAAGCTACGCTTCCTGTCAGTATAAAGCCAGGACTTGACGTGAACTTGCTTCAGTTGAACGAGATGATGAGGACTGACATTTGCGACGTAGATCTGTCGGCCACCACCTCCAACAGGGGGGCCACCTCCAAATCCAGGGTTGAAGCCACCCTGCATGCCGGGACCGCCATGCATGGCTCCAGGGCCACCAGCAAAGCCACCGCCACGGCCGCCGCTGTTGGACCCAATGAATCTGGGCTCAGCTTCACGATCCTGAATACGTCAGTTGTCTGAATTCCGTGCACCTCCAGACTGTAACCAACCTCGCGGACATAGACCAATCGTCCCATCAGATTCTGGTTGCTGAGCTGCGCAACAGCTTGCTGGGCTTGATCGCGTGTCGCATATTCCACAATGCTGCACAATCGTGTTAGTCCTGCGTGAAACACGAGGCCAGGGCCAAACTTACCCGCATCCCTACATCAACCATGGACAACGTCCAATCCGTCAACCCAACATCCATAAGAATCCAAAAGTGTGGAAAGGCCGAGAGAAAAGCCATCAAGGGTCATGCAATGGAGCCCACCTTCGACATTCCGTTTGGAAGCAATAACACATCGGCAAAGAGAACCTCTCCCGCTAGAACCCTTCGTCAGCCCTTGCACAGCCCTCCATACCACCCACATTCCTCACCCTGGCGCATGAAGTCCTTCAGATGGTGCCACTTGACATCGTAACTAAGGTTGCCGACGTAGACACGGCGGTCTTGCTGGGACGTTTCGCGAATGTTGTTCATCATGGAATCTCGTGCGCGACCTCGGTCTTCGAATGATCGGTTAGGTGCTTGTCCGCCGTAGTTTGATCCTCCGTCCTGTGCGCCCGTTCCTGCCATAGGCGAGCGATCACGGCCTCGGCGGTTATCTTCCCGACTGGGTGAGCGACTCCGAGGCGAGTATGAGCGGCGCCGAGAACGTCCGGGGCTGCGAGAGCGTCGTCGGGGCGAGCGAGACCTTTCACGCTATTCAATAATCAGTACACGCCTCGCATTCTGATGTTCACTTCGCAATCGACGGTCGAAGTGAAGGTGTGCTCGAGTGTCGCTCGCGACAACCAGGGCAGCAAGGTCCGTGGTCGCTTTGCGAAGGGCAATTGATGAAGCACAGCAAGGACCTGCGCAGCTTCCAATCGGCGCTGTGACGTAGCATCTACGTGAGGGCAGGAGGTATTTGGGGATCGAGGCGCATAGACGCAATGAGCACTTACTGGTCTGTAGTTGTCTGAGTTGTCCGCTACAAGGTAACGTTAGATAAGACTAGCATCCAAGACATACGTGTCAAACAGGGGACAGATCGAGACGAATGATGGCCAAGTCTGAATGTAGAAGAAGTGAAGAGCAAAGAACACCTTGGAGGAAAGGCAGAGGAGGGAAGCAGTCGCATAAGGTATGTGGTAAGCGTGGCTTCACACAGCGCCTATATGCGGGTGGGGAAGGGATGGGTGGAGGGGTGTGCGCAAGACCGCAGCGCCGGCAGGTGGACCTGGCACACGCTGGAACAGGAAGCGTGCAAGGAAGGGGAAGGAGTTTTGTAGGGCGGCAAAGCCTTGCGATCCGAGATAGTGATAGAGGCCGCGAGCCTCGGGTCTGGCCAAATCGAGGAAGAGGGACAGATCCGTGCATGCTCTTGAATGGGATTCAGACCGAGTTACATCAAGAAGTCGCATCACACTAGTGACTGTGGTGGCTCTTGCTGCGACCTGTAGAACCTCACCATGGACAAAGACCGAGCACGTTGCATGGAGTGCCTTTGAAGGCGGGGTTCATCCCGGTTTCCTGATAAGGGCAGAAGTCTCACCAGGTTACCCAGCGTTCGGTTTGCCTTTGAAACCGCCGAGAGTGCTGGGTCGCGGCGCAAACTCAGGTACCGCAATGCGAGCAGTGAAAGTGAGGGAAAGGCGCCACTGGGCGCCAGTTTTGGAAGCGCAGTGCAGGGCATTTCCCGAGGCGCTTCGAGTAACAGGACAGGACTGGAGTACATTCCGGCGTGTGGTGCGATGTACTTGACGTTGCGCAGGCATGCCTGTCGGTGCAATGGATGGATGTGAGCCTTGCGACCCAGCTATGCTCCTGGTATGCGAGCAGATGCATAGTGACAGAAAGCAACAGATCGTGGGCGGTATGTGCAAGGCATTGGGTAAACGATAGGAATAGGGGGAATGATACGTACCCATAGTGAGGATTTTCCTTCACAAATGCCGACGAGCGTCTTGGTTTGAAGCCTCGTCTGCTCAATCACAGACCGTGCGCGTTGGCCCGGGATAGCAAACAAGCTCGTGCAGCTGATGGACTGATGTCGTCGGAGTTGATAGCACAGCTACAGTGCGGCTGCTCGGGGTATGATGCTGGTTTTACTCTGCTCGCTCAGTCAGTATGGTTGCAAGTGACAACAGCAACAAGAACAACCGCAACCACATCAACAACAGCAACGAGCACTTCAGCACGGACTCGAGTGAGACCACAGGTGCAGGCTCAAAATCAGACTCGGTTAGTGCTGGTGTGCGCCTGTGAAGGTAGGTTCGTTCCAGTACTCTGGTTGGTGAAGTGAGTGGGTGGTGGTGGAAATGGGGGGCAAGTTGGTGTGCGAGGGCGAGGTCGGAGGGAACGTACGGGTTTCCAAAACGCCAGTGCTTGCTGGTTCAGTGTTTGAACAGACCTTAGCCTGTGCTGCGACACAAGCAAGACTTTGCGGACGTGTTGGATCCCTCGCCAATGGGTACACTGCTGGGTGAGATCAGTGCCTAGTCAGTGGCTTGAATGTGATATAATCAGGGCCGCCCCGGATGATGAGTCTTGCTAGCACTCGCTAGTGGTCAACTTCACCAGGTACAAACGCGGAGTGGCCTGTACAGGCTGCTGCAGCTTCTGAAATGGAAACGTATCGAATAGCGAGGGGATGCAGGAGCACAAGGTGTGTGTGGTGGGATGGTTGACCGCGGCGTAGTGGCACGCCGTAAGTACTAGCCAGTGAGGCTGGGACCTCGGGGACGAATTTGGACCTTGGGGTCGAAGGCAATCAGGAAACGTAGCCCAACTCACAAGTGTTGGGGCCTGGCTAGACGTGCGCACACCTCTGTACGAGACTACCACGATGCTCTTGAGCCCTTGAACAGTTGGCAAATGGAAGCGGGCTTCAGGGGTCGTCGATGGTTGCACCTCTAGGAAGTCGCGTCGGCACAGCTCGAAATGTGATGAGGACCAAGAGGAGGAAAAAGACGCGTGCACGCGGTCAGCCTGACTGGAGCTGCAAAGCGTCGCAAAGACAGGAAACCAATGAACGTTGCGTGTGGTGCCAGAGGCCCCGCACTTACATCACCTCAAGGCCTCAACCCAGCCTAATGACTGCTAGTATGGACGCACTGTGTCGTGCGTTATTCCTCAAGGTACCTGGCGGATGGAATGGTCCAACTTAGCATTGACCTTGCCTATAACCCAGCCTGGAACTTTTAGTTAATGACATGCCAACGCATAGCTCGTGCGGCGCTTAGCGACAAGTGTTGAGAAAGTCTGACTCCTGGCGCCGAGTTGCAAAAGAATATCCGACGTCAAGAATCGCTAACCATCACGTGACAGCGCAGCAGCTTGCGAGCTGGCAAGCATGATACTAGACCACTTAGTTAGGAGGCATCTTTGTCTTGATACTCAAATACTTTTGTGCCTCTTTACTTCACGCATCTCCTCTCAAAAAGAGTCGAAAAGCGATGCATGTGAGAAGTGGCATTATCAGATAGTCGACGTCCGTACCCAGAAGCCGCATGGTTCTGAGACTTATCCCCGAATGGGCCTTGCAAGTTTGCTCAGCCAGATATGTAGCAATTCACTGATTTCAGAAGCTACACCACTGCGTATCGACAAAATTACTACGTACAAGAAGGTTGGCCTACAGCTCGTAGGTAATACAGATGGATGGCGGTTGGCGGGTCTGGTGAGCCACATATAAATAGAGTGCGCGGATACGAACGGAGGAATGCGGGTGATACGACCACTTTATTGACCTTCGGAGTCTCATCCTGTTCGCAAAGGCGCATATTAATAAACAATTACGTTACCCAGCCCAGGCCTCGGAGCGTGAATGATGTGACACCATGCAGTGTGCTGCCCAATTGTATTCTCCAGACGGGGACCATAGGCCTACGATGTTTTCTCTCACCGGTGAGCCAGTCATACCTCATGCAGCTTGGAACCAGTGATTGCAATGTGATCCTGCATTAGGCGCATGCACTCGTGCAGCTCGGTCGGGGACTGAAGCCGGCAGCCGCAGCTTCAGTCGAACGTGCAATGAAGGCTGCCCCTCCTTGTGTGCCTTGTTGAATTGGCCAGCTGCCTGGTCAACGATCAACAGAAGGCTTCGGAGGGAATGATCGGAGTGAGAGGGGCGCTCTTATGCGCATTGTACCCTAAGCGTTGATTGGAAGCCGTTACCCGCGCCGCTGTGCGAATGAACATGATTATATCCCAGGTATTCACTCATGTTCATAGTAAGGTCTGGTCCGCAAGTTATGCTGATTTCTGAACTTGCACGGGTACGCAGTTCACAACACCAGAAAAACCCATATTCATAGTATTGATACTCCCGGGCTCAATGATTTTCATTCATCGCCGCCGACTGATATAGCTCGTAAATATTATATGTGATCATAAACAGCATTGGCACCAACATGACCAACGAAGCGATATAGGGTAGGTAGACCCTGTGTGCCGAGACCCTTGGCTAAAGGTGGGACAAGGGCGGAATAAAGCCGTCGAATCTACGCCGTAGGGATAGTGAAGTTCTAGCAAGGTAGTGACGGTAGGCATCATCAATTGGCCTGTATCATCGTCAAGCCACCTCAAAGCTCAAGACGTGAACTAGGCTTCTAAGCTCAATTCCAGAATAGACAGCCATTACCACTGCGCAAACAGTCATCATGGCCACAGCCCTACCCACGCGTACAGCAACGCGCTGCTTTCGAACCACCCGCCCTCGGACGTGCAACCAGCACATCCATTCTCGTCGCGCCTTCCATTCATACGACCACCCGCCTCCGCCTGGTCCCTTCGGAGCAACAGAGACGTTGATTCTCTCTGCAGCATACAAGCATGTGCCCGAGCATGGCTTCACCCACCGCGCGCTGTCCCTCGGCGCATGCGATGCCGGTCTCCTCGACATCAGCCCAAGTGCTCTTCCCGACGGTGCATTCAGCTTGATCCGCTATCACCTCTATACACAAAGACTGGCGCTAGCAGCAAAGAGCAGCCATATATTCCAAGGGGAAGATGCGCCCGTTGGCGTAGGGGCCAAGGTTACAGCTCTGACGTGGGAACGGCTCATGGCCAACCGAGAAGTCATTCACCAGTGGCAAGAGGTAAGAAGCCCCGGATCGAAGTATAGAAGGCTTGCTGACTTTGCACTACCTAGGCTCTTGCTGTGATGGCACAACCCAGCCACGCCCCGGCCTCCCTCAAAGAGCTTGCCATGCTATCGGACGAGATTTGGTATTTAGCTGGCGACACCGCGGTCGATCCGTCCTGGTACACTAAGCGCGCGACTCTATCCATGATCTACAGCTCCAGCGAGCTGTTCATGACGAATGACCACTCCCCCGACTATGTTGAGACCAACAAGTTCCTCAAACGACGACTTGGCGAGGTCCAGTCTGTAGGCGGCGCACTTGGAGCCATTGGGCAGTGGGTTGGCTTTACAGCGAGCGCAGGAATCAATGTCTTGAGAAGCAAGGGTGCGAGGATCTAATTTTAGTCTCGTGAGAGACTCTGTACATCATGTAGAAATCTTGTATTGGTGTAAGAGTAACATGTACATGAACGGAACATCGGTACCTGTCGCGACCCCTGAAATGCTACAAAACAACCGTGCACCAACGACTTGAACATCATAGAGTACGGAAACAAGTCGCGAAACTGCACTCCCGAGGCAGCCCACATCCGACACCCGTAACGCCATACAATGCGCCGCACCAGCTCATCCTGCAACAAGGCGTGGAACTCCCTAAATCAGCCTCTGTTGACGAGGGTCCGTCAGCCTAGAAGACGTTAGCGAACATATTCTCAACAGTTGCAACAGCGCAGCACTCACCGGATAATGTTGACATCCTTGTCCATCCTTGCGCGACCCTCGATGGCATTAGGTGTAATGAGTATGTACTGACGGGACACCGACCGGCGGGCAGCATCACACTATAAGCAGGTTAGCTGATGATACATCCTGCCGTCAACGCGACAAGACTTACAAGTAAGTTGGTGCTCATCGCCCTGTTGACATTGTCCATGAAAACATCAAACTCGTCCAGGCATCGAATGGGTGATGAAACGGCCTCCCATATGGCAAGAAGCATACATATGGAAGTGAACGATTTTTCACCTCCGGACAATGTCTTTGTGTTGCGCCCAGCATCGCTCTTGCGCGTTTCATCGGGCTCGACCCTAAGGTGTATTTTCCGATTTTTGTGATCGAGTTCGATACCGCCACGGAACCCGCGTTCGCTGAGCACAATGGTGAACTGATTGCGTACACGCGCACTGATTTGCCGTTGGAATTGTCGCCAGATTTCAAGACGTCGGCCCATGGCTCTCTTCAAAGAGACAATGGTCTCCTCCACATCCTGGGCCTGGGTCTTGATATCCTCATAACGCTTCACAGCCTCATCGCGACGCGCGAAAAGCTCCTCGTCAGAACCTCCAAAACGCTTCTCTCGAGCAGCAAGCTGTTCCTTGATCTTCTTGAAACGCTTTTCCAAATTCTGACGAGTTTCGCCATCAGGTATAGGAGGCCGCTCCTGGCACACCTTCTCGGCCTCCTCTGTGTATTCAGCAACCTGGTTGACATATTGCTGACGCTTGACCTCGGCCCGGTCACGTTCCTGTACTGCCATGGCAGCCTGATCGTAGGCAGCGTTCTTCGATGAAACAGCCACCTTTCGGGCATCATTCAGGCCGCGGACCTTGCCTTCTGCTTTGTTGACGCGAGCTTGGAAGTCTTTGCCTTCTTCCTTCAACGCTTCCACTTTCTTCTTTTCCTCCCGAACTTTGTCGGACAGAGTCTCCTTCTGGAGTCTCATGTTGCCGTATTGCATGCCGACCTGCTCAGCTTCCTCATTGTGCTCTCGCAGAGTGGCCCTGAGGGTCTCCAGTCGATCGTCAGCGCCCTCGAATTGGTCCAACTCTTCTTCTATGCGCTGAATGTCAGCTTGTGCTTGGCGGATCTCTCGTGCCAAGTTCTGAATCGCCTGATTGTTGCCTTCTTTCTCGTTCTGCGCATTTACCAGTGCTTTCTTCGCATCTTTCTGTTTGTGAGTCATGGCGATCAGATCCTGGCCCAACTGCTTCACTATCTCCTGCTGTAGAGCGACTTGGCGTTTTATATCTGTGCGCATGCGTGGCTGGCCACTGACTATGGCTCCGGGTCTGTTCTCAGGTGGGCTGATTGGACTTGTGCTCTTGTTGCCTCCACGGTTCGTTAATCGAAGACCATGATTTCGTTTGTTGGCGCCGTCGTGCAAACAAATGCATGCGCCTACGTTGCGCGGGGGAGCCTGGTTGAACATGACTTGTTGGGCACGAACACGGTCCTTCACCAAGATGATTTTCTCTACTGACGCGTTCATAATTAATTGGGTCCGGACCGTATCATCATCGAACTCCATGACGCGTAGAATCGTGTCGAAATCCTCGTCGGGCTCGTTGGCTGCAGTGTCCAGATGACCTTGATTCGATATGAAAATAGGGGGTGGCTTATCGGTGTAACGGCCGATGAGTCTGCTTAGCTTGGTTTGGTCACCCTTGCTTCGCACAACAAAGCCGTTCAGAGTATCGCCTAATGTCTTCTCCAGAATCTTTGACCATTCTGGCTGCTTCAATCGTATTAGTGAGCCCAGGGGCCCAACCGGCTTGTGAGCGAACGTGCCATCGTTGTGGATTGCATCGACAATTCTTTTCATCGTGTCGGAGTAGCCATCCATTGCACCACCGGAATTTTCCATGAGGGCGTCGCGATGATTTTTGGCTTCAAGAGTTTCCTTTCTCTTGGCGTTGAAAAGCTTGTCTGCCTCTTGGAATGTGCGCTCTGCGACGTTGACAGCTTCTTTCAGGGCGGGCGTACGTTCATTTGCCAGCGATTGTTGCTTGCGAATCTCCTCCTCTCTTGTCTTCGCATTGTTGAGTTCCGAGTCTTTTTGCGCCCTCTCGGGACCCGTTGATTCGCTGAGACGCTCCTCCTCTTGTTGGATGAGGTCTTTCGTCTTGTTTACGTGATCCCCTGCATTCTTTAGGCGGGTGTGCGCGGCTCTTTCCTCTTGGTGTATATCAGCCAGCTCCCTCTTAGCTTTCTCGAGGATTTCCTCTGCCGCTGCAACCTTTTGCGAAAAGGTGGCCCCCTCTGCCACAACTTCTTCTCTGACCTGCTCCGCCCTGGCAATCTGCTGGTCCAAGTCCTCAAGGTTTTGGGAATTAGTATCACGTGCTTGCTCAGCTTCAAGCACTCGCTGCTCGCGTTCAGCTAGAATCTCAATCTTTTGCTTGAGTATGTTCTCCTGCTCCAGCACCTGGACCCAAGCAAGTTGACTTCGAAGGAATCGTGCTTTGGCGCGCAGATCGCCGTTCTGTTTGGCTAGCTCGGCTTGCCTTAGAGCTTCGTCCATTTCCTTCTTGAGAATGGCGATTCTGTCCTTGAGCTCATCGCTGAGCTGTTCCGTTCGATCTAGCGTGTCTCTTGACATCTTGTAATCATTGTCCAATTGCTCGAGCTGCACGCCGGAGATGAAATACTTGTACTTCTGTGCAGGGCTTGCAGAGTTGAGGAATTGCCGAGCATTGTCCTGGGAAAGGACGGTCAAAGGATTGCTGATTTGTAGCGCATACCATTCTGAGATTTCGTCCACTTCCTGCTTCTTTGTCGAGATCACCTTTTCCGCCGCTGACTTGATCTTGAAGCCGCTGGTTCCGGATTTGGAAAAGTGTCGCTCGATTGTGATTGTGTCGCCGTAGAGGTCAGGCTGGTACGCGTCTGTTCCAGCATTTTTTATCCTGACGATGAGTTGGCCATGCTCCTGCCCTGCTCGGACGAACGAGCGCAAGCTACCTCCACGATTTGTATCACTGGCCTTGCCACCTAGACAAAGCGTGATAGCTGTCAGCACGGCACTTTTGCCGCTGCCATTTTCGCCAACAACGAAGTTGATCAAAGGGCCGAGCTCGACATGAAGTCGGGTGTGGCACATGAAGTTGATACATGTGACAGACTCAATAATGCCGGACTCCGCTGCCGCATTTTGGCCAACTTGTTTCTCCCTTTGCCTTCTGATGGCCTGAGTTGCTCGAAAGTCGTCGTATTCGATGTTTTCTAGGTGGTGGAAGCCGGCATCGCGTTCGAACTCGTATTGGGTCTGTGGTGGTGACTGGGGCGCATTTGATAGCTCTTCATCTTCATCCTCGTCTTCAGAGGCCAGGCTCTCGTCATCGACAGGTCCTTGGTCCTTGTCTTGAACGTTGATGGACACTCGCGCCCTTTTCCGCTGTGCAAGGCGTCAGAGAATGACCAGAATAGAGCCGGAACAACGGTAACTTACCGAAGACTCTGGCCGCAAGGCCGAAGTAGCTTCGACAACCTCCTCAATTGTGTCGCCGCCGTCATCGTGCGTGCGCTTCCGGGGTGCCATGTTGTACTAAGCGTTGGATTCGGAGGGGTACAGAGAGCTGTGTAATGGCAAAGACGAGCGCATCTTGTAGTTGACAAGTACGGGTTTATGAGCTTTCTGGCATCGCGAATACTGTGACGTTGGGCTAGGACTCAAAGGTGGGCGTTGGCGGACGTGTATGCGCAGGACTGAAAAGACGCGACGAGCGCGTCGGGGCAATTAACTGTGGTGGGGCAAGCGTGACCGTGTTGGCAGGACGGTGCTGTGTAGACTATAGGGTGAGCATTTTGGGCTCTGACTTGCGCCTGGGAAGCTCAACAGTCGGACGAGAACTTGCGTCACCTAGAACGACAGGCCAGCCTTTTTTTACCATTGCTGCTTTAGTCAAGAAAAGACGTTGCGCAGTTTTCGAGTTGGCGCCTCGCTCTGGCAGGGTCATCTACAAGTTGAACCCCTAACATGTCCAGTGTCGATGCACCCGATTTACTCTTTTTGAGATAGTACAAAATGGAGAACCTCCCCCATGACGAGACCGCTGGTCATTCCGGGTTCGAGAGGGAGTTGCCTGAAGACACAGTTCAGTACTTGCTCTTCATGATAGACGACAGAGCCGACGCCCGGTCTTCTCTGGTCAAACTCGAGGCGTTACGCAAAGAAGCGCTGAGTTTGTGTCAAGACTTGGCCACAGACTACATTTGGCAACGGGATCAGTTCAACTTGGAACTCAAAAATGAGAACGGTACGAGCGCAGTCAAGCAGAAATATGAGCCACGCTGATGTTGATGACTATAGGACTCATTTACCTCGAGGGTCAGGTACAGTATGGCGACGCCGTGGAGGATGAGTGGTTGGTCGTTTATCTACTCAGGCGACTCACCGCCGAAAACCCCGATCTCTGGGTCCGTATCTACGACACGGACGGCGAGTTCCTTCTTGTTGAAGCGGCAAACGTGTTGCCCAAATGGCTGAGCCCAGAGAATGACCAAAATCGTGTGTGGCTTCACGACGAGAAGCTCCTTCTCATCCCCTGCAGGGATGACACGAACCAGAAGTTAGCCTTGAGCGAGGCGGTGAGATTTATCAAAGATAAGTCATCTGAATTAGTTCATTCGACATTCGTCGAGGCAGAGGCTTTCTATCGATTGGAGAAATACCCTGGTCAGATTCAGGACTCGTTGCACCACTCGCTGGTCACCATACCACGACGTCTAGCCTACATTGTGCACGCCTCACCGAGATCCGTTGCCCCAGCCGTCGAAGCATTCTATCTCCGGGACGCTATCAACTTGAAACCCATCCTTTCGACGACCTCAACACTTACGTTCCCACCCGAGGACCTGGTTACTGTCAGCGTCCGGTTTAGCAAGGTCCTATACGCCCAACTTCGATCCCAACGTTTCGAAACACCTTCAAGGTGGCAATATCTACTCCCCAGCTTGGACGAAGGAGTGGAAAAAGTTGCCACAGATGAAAGGACAAGAAGGCTAGAAACAGGGATGAAGTTGACGTGCGGCTACGAGATCCTTGCTGCTAAGGCAGAGACTAGCAAGAGCCGTGTTGTGCGTGAGATAGCGATCATGATTGAGGATATGAAAGAGGATGGAGATGGAATCCTACCTTCCGACAAAGATATAGAGTCTTGGCCGGAAACACCCAGAAACGATCAGGAGACGTGGCTCGACATCAACTATGAAGATTTTGAGCATGAGCTCAGCGGTCGAACACGACGAAAGGATACGCAGAATGAAGACAAAGGGTTTGGTGATCCCAACGCAAAGGATAATCTGCGCAAGATCGTTTCTCGCTTCGAGGCTTTCTTGAATGACGAAACCGCTGGACCCGATGGAGCGGAAATGGACGAGATGGATTATGACGATGACGAGGATGAGTTGGCGTCAGAGGATGAAGACAGTGATGAAGAGGATAAGGAGGTCAGCTTTGACGAAGAGGAATTCTCGAGATTGATGCGGGAGATGATGGGATTCCCACCGACCTCAGGTACAACAACCACACGGAAACATGTCGACACCCAAGACACAGCTTCGCCGCGGGCAGCAGAGACGGGGAAAACTGGAGCTCAAGAAGAAGAGGAAGCAGGAGACGAAGATGACGATGTTAAGGAAATTCGGAAGATCACAAGCCAGTTGGAGGCTGAATTGCAGGGTCACGGTGCCCTCCACCTAGATCCTCCCATGAAACGGTCGAACATTACGGACAGCCGAGGGCAAGGGGAAGTAGCCGATGCCCAGGAGGACAGCGAGGAAGAAGTTGATGTGGACTACAACCTAGCAAAGAACATTCTCGAGAGCTTCAAAAGTCAAGGAGGCATGGCTGGACCTACCGGTAACCTCCTCGGCATGATGGGAATCAACCTCCCAAGGGACGAAGATGACGGGGAGGACGATGAGAGACGTACCACAAAATAATACGCGAGATAGTACTGCATGACAGGGCATGTGTTCTGACCGTGTTCAATGGTATATACGTATCTGCATTCTTTCCGAGCTAGCCTGTAGCCCATCCTCGCCAATGTGGTGCTGATTCGCCGCTTGTTGCATAGATACCAATTGCCCCTAATCTTCCTCCGCTGTCATGTCGTCAAGCTTTGCCAAGGCCTTTCTGAGCCTCATCCACCACATATCCTCCTTTTGCGCACTGTCCGGAGTCCTGATGCCCTTGTGTTGCCTTGCAATTCCACGCATTGTGTGCACAATGTCGTAGAACAGCAGGCGAATGTGTGCATCCTGCGGGTCCTCAACGAGGTCTGCGTCACCCAGGGGGTCATCGGCACTGAATGCTGTGTTCATCCCCTTGATCAGGGCGTCCGATGCAGTGTTAAGGAAGCAGGTTGCAAATAAAGGATCGCCAAAGACGAAATGCCCCCAACTCTTCAAACCAGTCACCTTGACATCCGTCGAGAAGCTGCCGATGTTTATAAAAGCGTCATCTGTGCTCTCATCCTCAGAGGCCTCTGACACGCCAGGTTTCGAGTTTGGGTATCTTTTGCTTTCTTTACGTCGTAAGACCAGGACCTGGCTGTCTTCGCACCCGTCTATGGCCACCAAGCTCGGTCGTTTGACAACGTCGAACGCAGGGCGAAAACGTTCAAAGGCGACATGTAGCTTATGAGACGGTAGTGTGATTCGAGACCTTCCTGCTTCCTCCAACGCCGTGTAGAAGAGTTCCCCAAAGGCCTCGGACCATGATGGATATCCGATGTCCGACCTCAAGTAGGTCCCTGCCATACTATCAGAGAGCCATGGCATGCTCGTATGCTCTGCCAGGACATGTGCTGGCGGGCCGAAGTAGCCAGTCGGTGAAATATTCGAGGCAATCCGACGGAACAACTGCCCAGTCTGCCAGTCGCAAGACATACGCTCCCTCTGACTTAGCGCTTCTTCCAACTCCGGAATACTTGTCCCCAGCGGCGGCTCGCTCAACATGATCTCGAAGTCCATGCTTCTCTGTGTTGCACTGGTTGAGTATTCGTGGTGTAAGATTATCGGAAGAAAGCCTGTGAGATGGTTCGTGTTCGTGACGTCTTTCGTGAAGTTAGTGGCTTCGATGGGAGGCCAAGGGCGAGAGGAAAACAGGGCGGCTTGCCCCCTATCTTGATTCTTGCTTCGGTACTTTGGTAAAGACTGCAGCCAGCAGATGTTGAGAAGTTCTTGCGTGATAGAGCCCAACTCATGTTGCAGCGGCCTCCTGTACCAGGATGGCAGATGGATCAAGAGCCGCCTGCCATCGACAAGACGGACACTGCGTAGCATCTGAGCGTCCGTAGACGCTGTGGATCCCACATCGACAACTGAAAGCGAGGGGAAACGAAGATGAATGTGATTCTTGACCGCCTGCATGCTGCTATCGGGATCATAGAAGCGAAGGTATTCGGCATTTTGCGCGTGCTGCTGACAAGCATCGGGCGGATCTGTTTCTGGAATCGATAGTAGGTCGTCATCCGTATCGTATGCTAGTGTATAGTCGCCCGCCTGAGGAGACATGGCGACACTCAGAGACGAAGTCTTAGGGAGAACGAGCTTGGGTTTTGCGTTGGTGATTCTGATGTGTAAGGCTGAGCTTCTCCGGTGGCGATGATCTGGGCGAAGAGACGCCGTAAGGAGTTTCTCCGAGGGGGCGGAGTGGAAGTGAAGTCCTTTACGACGAGATCCATTTGACTTGACTGATAATGCCGTTCTGTTGCCTTGCAGTCTCGAACGCTGCGGCCTCGGCACATCCGCACACGAGCAAGCTACGCAGAGCTGGTGAGCACTGGCTGTTGCAGTTTGCATATAAACGTCGCTGGCCTCACGGGCAGTGCTCGGCAATAGTGCGCAGTATGCTCCGTGTACGTTGGGAGCTTCATACGGACAAAAGGAAAGAGAATACAACTTTGAGACGGTAGGTTGTTGAAGGGTGATGTGAATGTCGAACTGACAGGCCAGCTGCTGACTTGCTGGCTTTCTTTCTGATATGATGACTTGGCACGTAATCAGATGCCGAAGCGGTCAGGGGCCCGAAGGAAGATATGGCAACCACGGTGAGAAGCCAGGGTACTTTGTGCAGCGACCCCCCGTGGACAAGTAGATGGCGCCTCGTAGCGAGACGCATGATGACCGAGAACCCATGATGACGCTAAGGTAAGAGACGTTCAAGGCGACCAGTTTTTTCAAGCGATCAGAAGCGAGCCAGCCAAGCGAAAGACTCTCGACACCAGACACGGGAGAACAGCCTTACTTTCACGAAGCGCACAAGCACAGGCTCTGGGCTCACATACACTACGGAATCAGTCTGCCGAACTTAGTCGCGAAGCTAGCAAGAGGCAGGAATACTGTGCTCTGGTCCTCGTCGAGGCCGAGAACTGTGACATTGAGCTGACAGCGTGCACCGGAGCCGTCGATCAAGAGGGTGGGTATAAGCTCCGTTGTGTGTTGAATGTAGCCCGAGCCGTGCTCAACTCATTGCACACTAGTAGCAGCTCCGCTTTCCTAATCATCCAAAACGGTCGGTCCATGCGCCCTTTTGCTCGTGGAGCTTGGAGCCCTTGGGATATAATGACGAAGATCGAGCATGATCCTACTGTCAACCCATCGCCGTCCAACAAAGTGCGGAACTCTCCCGTCAAGCGATTTAAAACAAGCCATGAGGAAGCTTGATTACTGCATGTCGAATGATCGAGGTTGAGAAGATTCGGTCAACGTCCGGGAGGCATTGTGATGAGGTTGAGCCCTGGCAACTGAGGATGAAGTAGTAGGTTATTGCGATTGAAGACGTTGCGTATTAGTTCCAATCATATGCAGATATAAGCGAGTCGGGCAGCTCGTGATTGGCTTATTTAGCGAGCTGGATCTAGCCACGGCTGCCTAACAATTAGTGAATGGGGAAGGTGCCAGGGGGCGGCGTGCTCGCGAATTTGGTCATCCAGCGAAGACATGGACTGGAAAGCATTGCCGATATTTTAATTATTTCTTCATACTACTCCCATTGGAAGAAAATGTCGCTCTCAAAGACTCAAGTTCACACCGTCTCGCCAGTACGTATCACTAGTGCATTGTCCATGTAGGAATAGAGCGCACAAACATGGATACTCTCATGCCTTTGTGATTATAACTGCCACCTGAAACCACTTCATACTCCCACACATCCCACCTCAATGCAACGTCTTGCTGCCCGGGAATGCTTGTGTATGAAGAGTAGATTCATTCCTACAGCCCTCGTGTATAGTTCTTATCCTACTGTGAAACAGAACGCATTAGATACTGCGGGCAGCGCCGGTCCGAAGCCTACGTCGACGCTGTGGTCTCTTCCTTCGCTTTGAGATCAGCCACAGCCGTCTTATTCTCGGCTCCCATGCGATACAGCTCGTTTACGTTGTAACGCTTGAGACTCTCCCACTCCACGCCGTCAACGACCGACATGCCGCAGAACATCTGTCAATGTCAGTCGGAAAGACTCCGCGCGAGGCACGACCGCAGAATCAGCCGCACACGACACTGGGGACATACCTGGTAGATATCGATCAATATGACCTTGTCCGGCTCAGTGAGCTTGACCTTGTGACTCGAATCAGGCAGCTCTGCCACCTTCTTGATGACAATATCGCGATTCAATGTGAGATGGCTTCGCATACTGGGGCGAATGGCATATGTCGGGCGCGACGCCTCGCCTGTCGGCTCCGCTGCCCTCGTTGTCGTAGGTGCCGTGTCGTTGGCGGCCTCGCCTCCTGGGGCTGGTAAGTCCGCATCGGTGCTGGGTTCCTCGCTAAGATCCTCCCCGCCGCTGTTCAACACAAAGTGCGGCGCCATGACCGTTCTCGCCAACTGAACAAGGCCCTTTTCCGTAGCCTTGGCCATGTCCGTGATAGGCGTCAGTCTGTTGACGTACTTTGTCTTCCGGCTCATTACATCCTTGCAGTCGCGAGCGTCCTGGCATATTTTACGCACAAACTCGACCGGGTCGATAGGTTGCGCCATTCGCACAAACATCAAGCATTCGACATCGACGTGCACCACCACAAAGGTTTGCCCAGTCTTGGGCTTACCTGGCTTCAGATCGCTGAGCTCCTGCTCGATGGACGCCTCAATATCTTGGTGCGCATCCTCGTCGTCCTCATCGGGCTCCGACTGCCGCTTGATGCCGTACATGGTCTCGCCGTACTGGCAAGGGTCATCAGTCTCCTGCACGTTGAGCTTGTAGCGTGAGCGATGAGACAAACCTCTTCACAGAGATCGACAATCTCCCTCTGCGCCTTGTACTTCATGTTGCGCGCATATGTGAACCACACCCCCCGATCACCGACCGTTAATGATTTGCCAATGGCCACATTCTTCGCCAATTTGGCTTGCTGGTGAGGTGTCCTCCACTTTCCGGAGCCACCGCCGCCCTGAGAAACAATGAGCTAGAAATTCAGGAGCAGTCATCAAAGCCATCGAACCTTGCTCTTCTTAGGGGCAGAGCCGTTGGAGCCTGCCGGTGGCTGCTTGCGCTTATTGTCGCCCATAATGAACGGATAAAACAGCGACTGCGCGTGCGATTGACGTGGTAAGGAAATTGGTGAAGAGAAGGACGAGAAATTCGGCGGTGCGGTGGCTCGCTCTACTGGTGATGGCTAGGTTATGAGTTTGCATGCACAAGGTGGAAATCCATGAACCAGCCTGAGCCTGAGATATCTTTTGTGGGTCACCTACGCGAGCATCCCGAACTTCTTCATTCACCTTGAAATTCCCCATCGATGAGCACGCGAGTCCTACAACGCCAAGACGACACTTGCTGTCAGATTTGACCGTTTGTTCAATAGTAAACACCTTTCCTAGGCTATTACGTGCTATCGTAAAGAGTCATCTCCCCTCCCCTATTCTCTCTGCGCATTGGTTTTCGCGCTTGCTTCGGCAGTCATCACCAGCGCGCGCGGCGCGTCTTCTTTCGGCATGTACAACTCGACAAATTGGAGGCAGTCGGCCGCATTGAACGCATCATCAGTCAAGAGCTTGTTGAGCTCGTCCTTGGTTTTGACCGTGAACTTGCGAGAGGTCTTGCTACCTCCAAACACGTCGACCAGAGCCTTAAAGTCCCATTGCGCAATGTCGTTATACGTGGCCTCCATGCCGTGGATGAAACGCTCAATGGTGAAGCCTTCGTTGCAGAGGACGAATCTGGTCATTTATGGTTAGCTGTTGCCTGTCCAGCAACCAAAGAAGCAAACCTACATGATGGGCTTGAGACCCTGGCGGATCATCGTGCTCAGCTCTTGTGCAGTCAATTGGAACGACCCATCGCCGACAAAGAGGATCGTGCGACGGCGATCGCCCAGATCTTTGGCAGCCAACGCCGCACCTTGGCAAGCGCCGACCGACCATCCGATGCTGCCCCAAAGAACCTGACTGAGGGCTGTGACGCCTTCTGGGAACTTGGTGTCCCAGATGCCAAAGTTGGCCGTGCCCGTCTCGGTGACGACAATGTCCTTTGCCTTCAGGAAGTGGCCGACACGGGGCCAAAGCCAAGCCTGCGTGATTGTCTGTGAACCATCATCGGTCTTGTTCACCTGGGTCGAGACCGTTGGGCTCGGGTGAACAGCCAATTCACTGGCCGAGACCTGGTTGATGACCTTGCGGAGGACGCCCCTCATGCGAACACCGGGGTACACAGAATATCTGACGATGCAGTGATCGCTGTGGAGGTCAATGGTATTGAGCTGCGAGGTTCGGTACGTGAAGCCTGACGTGTTGAAGTCGCTCTGGGCCAGTTGTTAGAACGCATGCAGCTGACGGCGCCGAGTTACTTACTTTCAAGGCACCAATGGTGATGATCAGATCGGCTGCGCTGACGGCTTCCTTCACATCGGGATGCGATCCATCACCAGCGTACACACCTCCATAGTTGGGATGTGTTTCATTGACGGCGCTCTTGCCCATTGGCGTCACAAAAACCGGGAGATTCGTCTTCTCGACGAGATCGTGTACTTCATTCAGCACACGGTGTCGAATCGCGCAGGCATCGGCAAGGATGATGGGTCGCTTGGCCGCTCGGAGATACTTCAGAACCACGTCCACCACGTAGTCCTCCTTCTCCGGCTCGTTGGAAGGCTCCGTCAAGTCAATGGGGTTGTCGAGCCTCGCGCCCTCGACCTTAGCCTGCACCATGTCTGTGGGCAGCATGATGTACACTGGCCTTGACTGAAGCTGGCACTCTCGCAACGCATGATCAATCTGGTCGGCGATTTCGGACGGATGGTTCAGCTTGGCAACATTGCACGAGATTGACGTGTTCATGTTGGCAAACACGTTGAAATCTCCGTTGCCCAGTGTGTGGTGAAGCAGCATGCCGTTTCGCTGGGACAAGGTGGAAGGGCAGCCAACAATGTGGACGACTGGAATCATCTCCGAGAAGGCGCCTGCAACACCGTTGATGGCTGAAAGCTCGCCGACACCAAACGTCGTAATGAGAGCCGAGATTTTCTTTACGCGGGCATATCCATCGGCGGCGTACGCTATGATTGTGAGATGGGCTCTGCCGTGGCTCCTCGAGTTGACTCACCTGCATTGAGCTCATTGACGCTGCCGACCCAGTTGAGACCACATCCTGGGAGATAGTCGAGCGCAACAAGATTGTAGTCTCCCGGTACACCATGGACTGAGCGGACACCGGCTTCGTGAAGTCGACGGAAGAGATACTCTGCCACATCGACGGGCTTCTTGAGACTTTGCGTTCTGATGTCAGCCATTGTTGCTACGCGTGCCAAGCACTGCTTGAGCGAGAAGGTAAAGTGACGGGCAGGGTGGTAGAAACACGATTCAACGGAAACTTGATCAACAGCTTCACTTGGCAGCAGCTTTCAATGAACGCTTGCTAAATGGGAAAAGAATCACCCGACACGTCCGGATTACGATGCCATCAAATTCCAGACTGGCAGTGCGCCGTCCATGCCGGACGAAGCAATGCAGCTCGGGAGCTGGTGTGGGCCGCTATGTCTTCCCTTAGCTATTGGTGATGTAATCGTGGTACCACGGCGAATTCGGCCTCACTTTGTCGATTTGTACCTCACTGGTCGATTGAAGCTTGTGAAATCGATAGAGCCTGCGTCAAAGAGGGGCCAAGCCGCATGTGAGCCCATTTCTAGCATCTCTGCCCATCATCACGAACAAAAGTGGCGCAATCGCAATCGTATGAGCTACCTTTGACGTGCAGGAAGATGCCCATCCACGTTCCACATGTGCATGTGTCTCGCGAATGTCCTGAACATATGATCTGTCTCGTTCTCCTAGATGCTAACATTGTCAGCAGAGTAGAGTCAATGCCATTGTGGTCTAATAGTATCAACAGTAATAGTACAAACGCTTTCATACACATGGTCCAGTCATCTGTGCCGCCCCAAAGTAGCCGTCTAATAGGTCAACGTACAGCATCCGACCGTCTAATGGAATAGCAAAGCTGAGCAGGTTCGTGGTACCTGAGCTTAGCGACCACGTTGGCACCACGTCAGTCACAGCTCCCATCTTTGGGGCCCGTCACCCAACGCTCCTCCCATTTGCTGCAGTCAAACGTCGGCTTTCCCAGCTTGACATTGACATCGTTGTGTGCCTTGCACATCCAGTCTCCCAATTCACTTCTACTCCCCGCCTTGGGCGCGCTCTTGGCAATGTACCCTTGGAAATCTTCCGCGCATACCCAGCACGGATACAGTTTCGAGAAGAGCTTGACGAACGACACGACGTCCGACTGCTGCGACGTCGTCGGTTTCTCAGGATATGTAGCGGCGATGGAGTGTAGAAGAGTCCACGAGCAGCGGCCCAGGGTTTCGACGTCTGGTGGGCACTCGACTTTGGGTCTCTTCGACTGCTTGGTGGCTTGCGCGGCGAAGGCGGAGAACGCCGATTTCGAATTGCAGGAGCGACAGCTGGTCACTTTGTTCAGTTGAGTAGCAATTGGGGTGAGGGAGGACCCTTACGGCTTGCCGTCCTTGTCTACGATGATGCCATTCGGTAGCCTGGTGTATGGTGCGCCAGCTGAACCCCCAGCAGTCGAGGTCGTTGCCTTGGCGTCACCTTGCTGGTCTTTATCCTCAGGAGCCATATCGTCCCCGGATTTCTTCAGCGAGTGTCTAAGAGAAGGATGTTGCCATGTGTGAAATTCCTCGGCGCGAACGCATTGGTAAGCTCAAAGTTCGTCGGAGCCGAAGATTCAAGGCTATGACGATGTCTTATCGATAAGACCATATCGAAAGGTCCTCCGAACCCCGGGGCCCGAACCCCGACAGTCGGTTGACCGTCAGGCGTGATGCTCCCATTGTCCCCATTGTCTATGATCCTTTCTTGAAAAAGGGGCCAGCCACTGCTTACTTCGCCTCGCACCATGGCACCTGCTCATGTACAGGAGAGTAGCACGGGAGTTCCAGTCTTGTTGTTGAAGACCGAGAGTAGTCCCACGGATGCATACCGAGAGCTCTTCTCGTCGGCGGCTGATCCAGCCTTTGTCCCTCGATTCGTGCCTGTCCTACAGCATCGCTTCGAGGATACGGGCCTGTCGAACTTTGAGAATCTCATAAGCCACCAGCAGATCTCGGACAATGTTGCGTCCAAGTATGGTGGAATAATCTTCACATCTCAACGTGCTGTTGAAGCTTTCACCAAGCTTGTCAATGAGAGCACAGGTATTGCTGTCCTGAGACACCGTTGTCAAGATTAGTACTGACTTCCAAAGTATCGCTAGATTGTTTACAAACAGTACCTATATATAGTGTTGGCCCTGCCACCACCCGTGCTCTAGAGGCGATACCGCTTCCCCTGCGTATTTTTGGCTCACACACTGGCAATGGCGAGGCGCTCGCGCAGTATATGCTGGAGCATTACGCAGCATGGTACCCTGGGCGCAAGACACTGCCATCTTTATTGTTCCCAGTGGGAGAGCAAAGGCGGGACATAATCCCCAAGACGCTGATGGACCCAAGCCTTCCGTGCGATAGGAGGATAAACGTTACGGAAGAAGTTGTATATGGGACTGGCGTGATGAAAACATTTCCCGAAGACTTCACTGGCATCTTGGAACAAACAAAGGACGCCTCAGAGAGATGGGTTGTTGTCTTTTCACCCACAGGCTGTGACGGTATGCTCAAGGGGTTAGGAATCCTAGATCCCCAAACAGGACAGGCGCTGCCGACGGAGGAGAGGAGGAGATCGGGCACATATGTGATCACGATTGGACCGACGACCCAGCAGTTCTTGAGAGACAGCTTTGGTTTCGATCCGGATGCCAGCGCCGAGAAGCCATCTCCCCAGGGCGTCTGGGAGAGCATACAGAATCACAGGAATTCGCGAACACCGTGAATACAAAACGTCATTCTGTGTCTGCGCATTTTCTGCTTGTGGATGAATCTTCAGTGTATGGTGCGGGTATCATTATGCTCAACAAACTAGAGGAACCCAAGTTTTCTCTGTTTGTGCCTCTTATTTCGTCCTCCATGTACTCGTCTTTAGCTCCCAATTTTTGATAGGGAGATGCCTTTTTTTTACGCTGCAAAACGCCAAAGTCCCGATGATGCGCCATCCCAAGCAAAAACCCAAACGACGCACGAAAGCCAAAGGTAGTAGCTTACGAGCGTCCAATAGCCCATAATTCGACGCCAAGCACACCAAACTTCTCGCCCTCGTCACTCAAAGGCTCATTTCCAAAGGTCTCGGACCGCGAGCTGTGCCCCATGCCTAGCGCATCGTCGAGCCAAAGGCCATAGTGCCCACCCCCAGAGCCCACACTTAGGAACCCGTGCTCGCAGTTGATGTAGAAATCGTTGAGACCACTGTAGGGGAAGGCCTTGAAGCGGATGGTCTCACTCGGGGTGGGCGAAGCAGTCGGTCGATCCGGGCTCGAGGGAGGCGGGGCAAGAGTCGTGTTGCGGGTGAGGGTCGTCGTGTCCGCCGAAGGGGGCGGCGGCAGCGAGGCGAGTGTGGACGCTCTCCAGAGGAAGCATTCGCCGTTGCCAAAGTAGCTTGGCGCTGGATGTGGGTATTCGCTCATGTATGCTCCAAACGTCTATTGATCACCATTCACGTTAGTCATTGCGTGAAAACCCATCCGGTGGCGGAGCACGTACCGCGCCCTCTTGATCTCTAACCACGAGGACGAAGCCTGTCCGGCTGCGCTCGTAGCGTCGAGACTTGAGGTACAACGTTGCCAGGCTGGCGCCATCCTGCTCCAGGCTGTACACCAGACTCCAGTCGTCCACGATGCGTAATCTCTCGGGCAGCATGGCTCTGACTTCCTCCGCGACCGCACAACTAAGCAGCCGTGCCGTGTCCGGCGTTCCCTCTTTGTAACCGTGCAGGACCAGCGGGTCGAGCGGTGGTGGACGGAACGGACTGGCTGTGCGCATGACAGGCGGTCGGAAGACGTCGTTGATGCCGTCTTTCGTCTCGGACTCTGTCTGCGAGTGTGCACCAAACATGCTGTCGAGCTGGCTCGCAAAGGACTGGGAATCCTCGGCGGAGAAGCGTCGGATCAGACCCCACATGCTGGAAAGGTAGGACTGTGAGGAAGCGTCGGCTTGCTGCTCGGAGCGAGGGCCTGAAGGCGGGGAGGAAGACGACGCTGGAGTCTGGGCACCGGAGGAGGGAGGTGTGCCGGGGGAGTCGGTTCGGGATGGAGCATTCATGGAGTATCTTTGCGCCTGCTGAGTGTCGGAAGTGTTCTTTGGATGCGGAGTCCGAGGTACCAAATTGATGCAATGCTCGATAATAATGCTAAGGCTCGAGAGATAGGTTGTTTAAATTGCGGGAAAAGGGAGGAGAGTCCGCAGCCCGAGGGTTGCGAGCTGAGAATAACAAAACAAAGTGAGAGACAATTGCGAGGTGAGGTGGTGTATCGTGTTCATGAAGCAGAGCCGACGAGGCTGACGTAGGAGTTGTTCCATCAGGATATTGCTTGTCCTAATCCGGTCGCGATAGGCAGCCTCCGCCGAGAGCCGCGCTGCTAACAGCCGTTGTGGTGCCTGTTAGTCTGCCGCCATGTCCCAGTGGTGCTTCGGCCTTTCGGACTTTGGGGGACGCAGTCTCGCACCGCTAGCCAAAGATTCGTCGCGCCCTGGTGTCATTGGTTTCCTGCGCTCTTCAGACAGATACTTTCAATATCGGATTACCAGAATGGCATTTCATACTCTCGTATTCTTTGAGAAGACCGCCCGCCAGGCCAGGTCACACCTCAACGAGAGCATGTTGGTCTCGGTCCATCGGCTCTGCGGACTTTGGTGAGACCGAGCTCAAATCACAACTGGAGGCATAGGTACGTATATGCTGACCATTCCACAACAACAAGTCACTGTCACTCAGAGTCCGTCAGATCGACGCTGAAAATCAATTTACTTGTTCGCCATCACACGCTCCCTTCATCCTGCGATGAGATTGCGTGGTCTGCTTCTCTCAAATCCAAGTGGCACCTTTCCTGCGAGATCTCTCCCCGTTCCCTAGTATGTAAACCTATCTCGATCTAAGTCCATCACAACCTTGCTTGACGCATTTGTTTGACTCGATAATCATACCGGATGCCGGCCAGCCGGCAGGTACATCGTTCGCTAGCGCAGCCATCCCCAATGCCTCGAATCTGCACGTCCGCTCATCGCATGACCTCCTGGTAGATCAATTGCTTCAGCTGCTCCTTGCTCAGGGTATCCTTGTGCTTGTCAAAGTCAAAAAACTCTTCGGGAATTGGCGGCGCGGTGGGCTCGTCCTCGGGGTCGTGGTACGGTTCGAGATACGGGTGCTTCAGCGCCTCCTCGACTGTGATGCGCTTGACCGGGTTGAAGGCCAGCAGCTTCTCCAGCAAGTCGAGGGCGAGATCCGATGTCTTGGGGAATAGGGTGCGGAAGGGCACCTTCTTCTTGAATGGCAAAGAGCGAATGTATTCACGAGCACGTCGTGACTTGATGCCATAGTAGTCTTCCATGGTCGGCGTACCAAGCACGTCAAGAATAAGGGTGAGTTGATGGTGGTCTGCACCTCATTAGCTTTCAATTTCGCCATCCGCGCCGCGCAAGAGACTCACAATCCTTTCCGGGGAACAAAGGCTTGCCGCTTAGCATCTCCGCCAGAATGCACCCCACCGACCAAACGTCAATGGCCTTGGTGTACTCCTTGAACGTCAACATGATTTCAGGGGCACGGTACCACCGCGTAGCCACGTATTCCGTCATGAAACCAGAGTTGTCCTCCTGCGAAGCTGCTGAACGCGCCAGACCAAAATCGCAAACCTTGAGATCGCAGTTGGCGTTCAACAGCAGATTGGATGGCTTCAAGTCTCGGTGCAGCACGTTGGCTGAGTGCATGGCCTTGAGCGCACGCAACGTCTGGTAGATGAAGTATTGGCAGTGGTCGTCGGAAAGGTCCTGGGTGCGGATAACGCGGTGCATGTCCGTCTCCATGAGCTCCTGGATGAGGTAGACCTCGTTGAACGAGTCGTAGCCGCGAGGTCGCTGGATGTCGAGGATCGAGATGATGTTTTCGTGGTTGAAGTAGCGGAGAAGCTTCATCTCGCGCAGGGTTCGCAAGCAGAACATGGAGTGGTCGAAAGGCGTGATCTTCTTGATAGCCACTTTCTGGCCCGAGGGCTTGTGTATCGCAGAACTGCCGGGTTAGCAGTGATCGCCAATATGGAGCACACCGAGCCTTCCTTACCATACGACACCATAAGCACCCTCACCGACGACATCCTGGATATCGTACTGCTCGCTGACGTTGAACGAGATCTTGCGAGACGCAGCCGCGTTGTTGGGCGGGTTGGAGCGGGACATGGTGGTGGCCCTCTGTTACCCTTCACCTCGACAGATCCAAAGGCAACGCCGTCTGTATTACTCGAATTAACTTTGTGGTACGTCGTCGGCTCGTCAAGTTTCTGCGCAGCTGGTATGGGGCTGTCGCAAAAGTTTCTGTGCCAAAAGTGATCAGCTTGTGCAATCGTGTGGACCAGCAAACACTGCGTGAACGTGAGCTGTAGAGGCAGCTTCTCGGGCGTGGCAGCTTGTCACTCCATTCAAGAGCACCTGATAACTGTCGCAGCTGGGGCGTTCATCAACAGAGTGTCTCGACACTAGCAAGCTCTTGCCGGCGAGAGAGTACCGATGTGCGCCTGTCACGGCTTCGCCTGATCAGAAGTCGAGCGTCCCGTCGTTAAGTTTAGCCTTCAAGCCTCGCTCAGGGACTGAGGGGTAGCTCTCGCAAGCTACGAGCTCGCCATTCCACACGTGTTCACGAAGCGCGTGCAAAGAAGTCTGTACTTACCTATTCAATCAGAAAAACAGCGTGGTGTACAGCAGAGATGGAGAAGACAGATGCAAGTCTCGGAACGGGTCTTCACGGTCAGCGCAACGAAAGGAGCACGAGGAAAGACGCCGCCGTGGTCGCTGAGTCGTTGCTGATGTTGCCCCGCTTCGTACAACCCGTCCGGGGCCGCGTTTAGTGGGCGAGACTGGACGTCGGCGTGCGCTGCCGACAGGGGTGCTGGGCAAGTACCTTTACCTGCAGGGTACCTGGGGCCAGGCACCGTATCAAGCTGGTTTTGCCAGCTTTGCTCATGTATAATGTACTATGGCTGATTGAATGTTCGCTACTAGTCAGGTATCATGTTTAGCGCAATAGAAGGCAGAGAGTCAGGGAACGGTATTTCCACCAAAGCGGGCGTTATAAGACGCGAGGACACATCAGTGTTGCGAGGGTCGAAATATATTGGCACAAAAGATCAAACCACGACTGGAGCTACCACTGGCCTACAACAAGTACATACGGAGGGAAATACCTCTATGTCGATAAGCTTGACTCTTGGCCGCGATCTTCAGGGCAGTCTCAAGTTCCCAGCTAAAGTGGTGCTTCACCTAAGTTACGTCTCAGGCGTAGCAAGGATGAAAGTGCCCACCTCTGAAACACCTGCTCCAGGCCGTCAGTCCACTTGCTTTCTTCAAAATTACACTCGCTGGCAGTGATTAACAATAACCCTTCCATCGGCACGTAAACGGCATCGACTGTCCACTTGATCACGCAGCCTTGTCGCCATCAGGTGCTTGTGCTCGGCGGCTACCCCTCGCTCCAATTGGACAGCGATCCAACGCCGGATGGACGTTCAATTATCACCGGCGCCTGTCGGGCTCGTGCTCCTAGTCAGAGTCGACAGAGAGCTGGCGGTCACAAAGTGCTTGATGAGCGAATTGAACTTTTGAAGATCAAGCTTTCTAAATATAGTAATCATCCTGTCAGGGCCTCCCTCCGGCACTCAACCGTTGAACCGCAAGCGCCGTCGAGATAGATAGCGTCGGTAGGTACATGCGCGAGAGTTGCTCAACTACGAAGTACGTACGTACAAACGCACAGCCCAGTCGATCATTCCACCCTGCACGCGAATCTCTAACTATTTGGACACAAAAGCACCTTGCGGACTTCACGCCAACTCCTGCCTCCCGCCTCGTAGAGCTCGTCGCCTTGTACGTGTATAAGGCCCCATCGTCTATGCAATGTCCATGCCCACAGTTTAGCGCCCGCTTGCCTACTACATTACACCCATTCACGTTATGACATCTACTGCATGACCTATCGTCTCGTCAGCGTCCGTGTTTAGTGGCTGGCGTACCAACAATCAACCCACCTTCTCCCGGAGCATGCCCAGCCATTGTGCAGCGCTCACGCCCTGGTCTGCCCGATCCTCCACCAACAACGTCTGGGCCCACAGCTTGAGACTCGGCTCGCCATCCTCGCGAACAATGTACAGGTGAGGCACTGTGATGCTGCCCACACCGAGTGACTTGTGATCCCGGCTCTTGTGCACGACGGCCCGCACTCTCTCGTTGAAGTCGCTCTCCAGTTCCGGGACGCGGCCCTTGCCGACTTGCAGCTGCGTCTTGTCCTCCACGCCAAACACGTCCTGGATGAGCTGAGGAACTGCGTCACGACCGACCCACAAGAACTGCGTTTGGCCATCGTCGATCAGGTATAGACCGTAAGGCACGAATCGTTCAGACGAGAGGTTCAAGGCAGGCGGCAGGACAATGTGTCCTGTCTCTGGCTCAGGTGTGCCTGCATTGTCTGGCATGTCGTGCAACGAGTAGAGGCGAGGGTAGATGTACCGCATCAGTAGTGGCGCCGGCAGCGTCGACAGCAAGCAGAGAGCGGCGGAGCGGATGTCGGTAGGAATCTGGGCAGATTTGCGGAGACCCACGTTCTTCATAAGACCGAGGAACAGGATAGGGAGGGCGCGCAGGTTCGAAGGGAACTGCAAGCCGCCGCCCATGCTGCCGCCCGCGAGTTCCTTCTTGAAGACTTGCAAGAGTTCCGTGACCTTGCTCTGCAGAGCGTCCCTTGCGGCATCGAGACCACTGCTGAGCGCGCGCTCCACAGCCTTGTGACTGAAGTAAGTAGTGATGGCCACCTGGTCAGCTGAGGCGTACACGTCAGACAAGTTGGCGGTCGTGGGCAGGGCCAAGGTCATAACGCGGATGCGACGCTCGCCATTGCACGTTGTGTGTAGCACCGCAGCCTGCAAGCACATAAAGTTCTTGGTCAAGCTCTCATCAATGGCCACCTCGACAACGTAGCATTGGTCGCGGGGGAAGGCTGGGAAAGCGCAGAGGTCGGAGCTCCTGTTGAAGAAATTGCCGTAGAACGAGTTCATGCGGAGGCCACTTGTGCCGCGAACCCTGAGCACAGCCTCCAGGCCGATCTCTGAAGACAAAAAGTCGCTGAATTCGGTGGCAAACTTCAAAGCATCCTCCGGTCTCGATGCATGCCATCCGGGATAGAACCAGGTTTGGCCACCGGTATACCTCGGCAAGTTGCTGAGTGACGCAACATCCTGGTACTGCGAGGCAAACAGGAACATGTCTACACAAACTTGGTTCTTGGAGCACTCCACAGCAAAGCTCTTGTAGAAGCTGTTTGCGGTCTGCAACAAGGCACCTTCTTTTGATGTTCCCAGCAGCTTCTTGTCTTCTCTCATCTCCAGCTTGCCGACGCCAAGGTTAGGGAGCGACGACGTCAGGACGACAATCTTTCCACCAAGGGCTGAAATGAGTTTGTGGCCAGCTCGAAGGGCCGATCCCATGCAGCTCATGTTGCTCTGATTGTTCTGGAACATGTTTGGTAGCTTGGTCAGGAAGGTCTCGATGCTCTGGCGGCTCTCGCTCAGGGTCACAAGCAGGTCGTGAGGCACTGGCAGGAATGGCTCGTCCAGGTCGCTGACCACCAGCTGGCTGACCTCACCATTCTCATCCTCGTCCTTGGGGACTGAGAAATAGTGCAGACTCGAATCCACAGCAAGGAAGCCCAGGCGTGTCCGTCGGTCTGCGTTGGGTATCCTGTTAAGACTGTCGAGAATCGTACGGGCAGCGGTGGCCACGAGACCATTGGAGACGGCGGCGTAACTGACGTCAAAGAGGAAAAGATAGACGAGTGGCTGTGGCGGGCGGACCATGTACTCCTGGGGCGCGACAAACTCGACAACAGAGTGGTTCAACTCGGCACGTTGCCAGCGGTCCACGCTCTGCTGCGACGCAGCATCCCAGTCGAAAGCCTGTGGGACATCGTTGCTCAGATTGCACATGTTACACCTCCAGCGATGTCCATGGTCGAGGAACGTCACGTATGGGTTGATGTATGTCCTGCACCGACGGCAGCGCGAGATGACCTGGTCCTGGATGACTGGAACATTGTCTTCGTCGTCGTGGAGCGAGGCGTAGGGCTGAACCACGAGCGCAAATGGCAGCTTTGACTTTTTGAGCAACGAGTGAGTCGTGGGGACGGCGTTGAGAGTCGAACGGATGTATTTCGAGGGGCAGTTCGCATCAGGCGAGGGCGTCACACTAGACTGTAGTTGGCGTCAGTTACGTCCCCGGGTTGTAGTTCGGCATTGCAGGACTCACATTGGGTGGCAGCGTGATAGGAGGAGGAGGCAGATCCAGCTCCGAGGCATTGAATGGCTGGTTCAGCAGGTCGGTAGGGTAGAGCTGGTTCATCGCGGCGCGAGGCGCCTGGGCCTGGGCTGGCTGACCTGGCTGCGGCTGTGCTCCCAAGTTCATTCCGCCCATACCCTGCGTGATACCTCCCACACCAGCGGCAGCTGGAGCTGCCGGCGCTGGGTAGCCGTACTCATGCGTGGGGTACCCAGGTTGCCCCGGCTGTGGTTGTTGAGGCTGCTGGACCGGATAGCCTGGCTGCGGTGGTTGCTGCGGGTACTGATAGCCCGGAGCCTGCGCCGGCTGTTGCTCTGGTTGAGGATAACCTCCATATTGGGGAGCGCCGGCTTGGGGCTGCAGACCGTACTGAGCAGGCGCAGCACCCTGTGCCTGAGCTCCTACGGCAGCATTGGCACCCGAACCCACGTCGAAGGCGCCCGCGGCGTAGCCTCGCTTCTTCTTCTTTCCTTGCGCTGCATGTTCGGGCTGGGGCGCACCCTGGGCGGGGTTCTGCTGGTCGGCATGCTGCTCGTCGTACTGTTGACCCGGTTGGCCGTAGCCTTCGTTCGGGGGCGCAGACATGCTGAATCACCGGTGGACAGTCGGCTGTCAGGTTGATAGAGGAATACGTCGTCGGATTGTGGGGAGATGCGGCGGTACAAGGGATCGCACGCGCGCGTTGTCGAGGAGACTTTGGAGGAGGAGAACCTAGTCCCTAGACCGACGGCTGGAGCGAGTCGATGGTCGATAGGCGGCGACTTGCAGAAGAAGGGACTTGCAAGTCGTCTAGCGGTCGACAAATTCGATCTTTGGGGGGAGGGACGGGGCAAGGTGAGGTGGGAGGTTGGAGGCCGAAGGTGCTGAGCTCGGCCAGAAGCTCAGTGTGGTGGTGGCCTTTTCGTCACCGCTCTATGGCCACAAGGAGGGGTGCAGGGGTACCTATGTTCAAGTGGGAGCCACTACAAATTCGATGTACCTTGCAGCAGAACGGGGCAACTTGAGGTCCAATTGTTCTGGCTGTCCTCCTATCACCCGCAGCAATGGTCTGATCCTTGATATATTCGATTTTAGTCCTGTGTCCTAGCGTTTACCATGACGACCCTCATCGAGAATCATGGCCACGCTGTCGACTTCTGGCTTTCAGGGTATGCACTTTGGTGTGTACCTGCCACATTCCATCGGAGCGGCTGAACTAGGACCCGATAGCCTGGCGCCTCTTCTGGGGCGGCGTGGCTGTGATAATTACTACTAGTAAGTGCGTATTCTCTATTACTCCGTACAAGCAAAGTTGACTATTATTGCTACGAAGCTCCAATAAGGCTCATTTGGATAATCCGTCGACGCTTAATTTACAGGGAAATTTTGAGGCAAACCCAAGGGGCGATCGTTACCTCCTTCATGCAGAGGAGTCGTCGTCACCTGCATAAGCAAATCGTACTTCGTGCTCTACCACGCGCTCTGTCTGCCGCGCAGGGACGTGGTCATCTAAAGAGTCTGATGCGATGCCTCTACGTACTGAATCTGTATCACCAAGGGTGATGATCATTTGCTATATATCCAAGCCCCAGACTGGCCAGCTTCTCCGTGGTATTTGATTGCGGCTGTAAGGCCTCCAATCGCTAGGCCCGCCATTAAGATAGCGGCTAGAGCTGAACCACCCCGCTAGCCGCGAATCCAGATTCCAGACGGGGATTTAATTAACTTGCGAAACGTACGAATACTGGACCCTGAACTACGATCCGCGCAAGGGCGATTGAAGAGAACAGCTGCAACAATCCCTCCTCCATCCCAAACCTGTCGCACGTTTTCCTCACACACACCCATAGGGCCGTTTCTTCCTCTGCTCTCCCTCTGATCATAATACCTCGATCCGCACAGTTCACACGAGCGAGACGAACCCTGTCGAGTCGCCTTCTCCCTTGTTCATACCCCTCCAGCTTCAATTCGGCACCATGGCATGGGGATCGTCGCGAGAGCCCTCGACTTTTAGGTACGTACGGATACAGAAAACCCTACTTGGGCCCTCACTTGTAATTGCATGGCACGTGCAGGCGCTGACATCCCCACCAGCAAGGTCTTCCCTCTCGTCGTCGTCGTCCTCTTCCTCGCCATCGCCGGCTACATTGGCTACCAGATCTACCTGTCTGCACAGCAGATAGGCAACACGGCTTCCGAGCGCATGAACAAGAAGAATGTTGTGTGGACCAAGGACGGATTGAAGGTGGGCGTGAAGTCCATCCAGAACGAGAAATACGTGGACGAGACGCAGAGCTGGGTCGTCAAGGCATGGAACCTGGGCAAGGACGGAGCGCGAGCATCGGGAGGCGATAAGAAAGATTGAGAAAGGGACGGCGGACTCGTGGAACGGGGTGCAATGGGTCTTTATGAGTAAGCACGTCTGCACATGATGCGTACGGAAAAGTTTCGACCATGGCGCTGGTATATAATGGCTGATCAGTATCCTTATTGCGGATGGTGTCAATATTGAGCAGCAGCCATTAGGCAATAAGGAGTGTCCTGCACTTGGGCACAGCTGTTGATACGTGATACTCAGCCGTAGGTACCTACATCTTGCTCACCAACGCCAGCGACTTTGCCGAGAGAGTACGGTATCTTCTTTTCTTCTTGAATAGTACGTACAACGCCCGGGGAGACGAGATCTAGCTATGTTCTTCTAAGACTGTGCCGAGGCGTCCTCCATTTGCGCGCTATGCCATCGCGATTTCGGCGGCCACTGATCTCCCAGCGGATTCAGCAGTTGCTGTCCCGGCGGCTGCATCGCTGCCTTTTGCTTTGCCTGATACTCCGCTGCCGACGCATTCTTGCTCGAAAGGAGCTTCTCAAAGTCCGGCCCGGTGGGGAGGTGCTTGGCCATGAGACCATCGCGGCGTATGAGCATTGACGGTATGCGGAGGTTGAGCTAGTCGTGGTCAGTGACAGCTCGCAAAGGGTTGGGATGGGATGTGCTGTTCACTCACTTGTGTCAACATGTGCGCGTATCTCACGCCAAGCTGGTTTCCGATGAATTCCAAACGCCCCTTTATCCAGGCTCGCTGGGAGTCGGTCGCGTAGTCCTGACCCAGGACGCAGGTCAGGGGCCACGTCAAGAAGTATCCAGGCAGACCCTTCTCGGCATCCTCTTGGCCGCATATGAAGGAAGACAGATTGGCCCTCTCTAGAAGGTGTTTGCGGTTGGCGAACCAGCCTAGCTGGAATGGCACGGAGGCCAGGATATCCGTGATGCACTCAACGCATGTCCGCGCTGCTGTGGCGTATTCCGGTGTTGTCCTGTAGTCTAATGGGGCGCACACCCAAGCAGCCCCACGGACGATCAGAGAAGCTAGGATGATCCTTGATGTCCGCATCAGATTCCACACGCTCGGCAGCCACAGATCTTGGTAGGCATCGACCCTGCCGGGGAAGACCTCTGCCTTGGAGTAGTCCCCGTTCGGCACATTGTCCTCCCAGGCAACCGTCGTGAATTGGAAGCACTCTGGGAGATCTTTCGACCAGGCAACGCATTCCTGGTCCATGAGCTGGCATTTGCGCATGAGATCCAGGATGAGTTCAATGTTCTCGGCCGACCGCGTGAGCGTCGCAAGCAAGCGATTGACCTCTGCGCGTAGCTCGCCGACGCGGATAGCGATGCGCTGGCATGACGCAGCCGACTCATCTTTGACGGCGTCGTTGATCCACCAGTCCACGCCCATGATGGGGGCCTTGCCGCTGCTCAACGTGTGGATGATCATCTGGGTTCGGACGGCAATGAAGAGATGAAGTCCCGCTTTGGTGCGTAGTTGTTTCTTGCCCCTTGCGCGGACGAGTTGAATGGCGCCTTCAATGTGTGACCCCCAGGCGAGCATGCCGAGCTGCTTTGCGGAGATGTTCTCGAACAAGCCTAATAGCAGGATAGCCGCCAACGTGGAGTCCTGCTTGGCGAGCTCTGGGTCTCGGAGTGCTTTGTACGTCGAGGAAAGAGCCTTTGTGTACCTCGACAGTGCAATTTTCTCAAAATCATGGCCGACGCCGACCCTGTTTCCCAGACTCGCAAATGCACAAGCGTCGAAGGCATTCTTGAAGTGCTCAGCGGGACGTTCCGTCTTCATCAGGGGGAGGAGGTACTCCATGAAGCCTCGTGTTGAGCCCTGGCGGGGGATGAGAACATAGTTAGAGACAAAGTGACAAGATGCCTGCTGGTCCAAAGGAAGCTGTAGAGCGGAGACGACATAGCTACTTTGTGAAGGAGTCGGCGACTTTTGCAACTGTTTGCTAGATGGACTACCGTCGGGGGACAGCACTGTCATGGTCGCGTCAGGGTTGATCTTCTGCGTGGTGGACTTCTTGTTGGCCTTCCTAGCCCGACGCTCCGTCGCCTGCGTCTCATTGCGAAATACCAGGTCAAACTCGTCCTTGTAGCCCGGGCAGACTCTTCGAGACTTGGCGCACTGGTTGCATGTTGGCTTGGTCTCGTCGCACTTTGCATCGTGTCAGTTGAGCCTGCATGTCGCCATCGGGCGGCAGGCGGCGGTGAGATTGAGGACGGGCGTGAGCGAGAACGAACCTTGATCCGACGGGTTCTGCACATCTGGCAGCCTCGAGACGGCTTTCCGCAGTAGACCATGATGGTTCAGTAAGTCAAGGTACGTTCACCGCACCGTGAATTGAGTTCAGGCAATGAATGGACAGGTCGAAATGTGGTGCGGAATTGTGATGATCAACAAGTTAACTAAGCATTGAAAGCAAATGGGAGACGCGGTGGGTGGGTGATGTTTTCTACGCAGGGGTTTCAGGTGCCAGGCAGGCAAGCAGGGGATGGGATGCTGAAGCGACTTTTGACGAGTAGGGGCTACTCCGGTTCCCCGCAGAGATCTCCAAGCTCCAGTCTTGTTACTCTGTGCATAAAGTGAAGTTTAGCCGGCGATTAGAGGTCTTCGAGTGCGCAGGACGCCATGAGGATTGCACGACGCGGTGAGTATCCACGCACTGCAGACGAGGTGCCGTGGTCTGGACGCTCTTCGCTTTGCTTACCCCTAGACGGGTGTCGAGCTTGTTTCGTGGAAGAGCGATGGAGTTTGCTCGTTCAAAGGCCGACCAGACAGGGATCGACAGAGCACAATCAATGCACTGCACGCCAGAGTCCAGACACGGGCAATTGGGTGGACCATCATCCCTTAGCAACGTCCGGCTGCCAGCTGGCTGTCTTCTCAAATCTTAGCTGACAGTCAACCCATCCGTCCCCGCCCCCGCAAACAGACATCAAATGACAAGAAGCCGTACCTACAGCTACTAACTAGTCTCGATATGGAGGGAAGACGGGCTTGTGCGAGGCTGGCCAGCATTGGCCATTACCCAGGCCCCAGAGTCAACGATCGCGGCAGGCCTCATCATTGCCTCTTAAGAATCCCTAACCAGCGTGACCCGCAGGGTAGGCTGTACTACTTGCACTGGCGGAATGACCAGTCACATCTAACTTCATGTTGCTATATACTACGATTCCGTGTTAAGTCTCCCTGAGTATTATGGCTTTCTCCTCAAACAGTCCGCTCGCGTGCCTAAACACGCACACCAGCTTTGTAAGTTATTACAAGTAGAAGGATGCGCCAACCTACGCTTTTCCCTGACCCTCAACACACACCATCATCTGCCAAGCATCCTGTGCCGAGGCAGAAGGCATGCATGGACTGCCATCACTATCAACTACGGACCAACCAGACAAGTTAGAGGCCATTTCTCTGAGGCAGTCAGCCTCACTATTATAGCTACATCACAAAGCCGAGGCTTTGAAGTGCCCGCAAGAAATTCCTATCTCGGAAATCAACTTCGTCTCGCGCCTGGGACCAGTCATCAACGACAAGCCGTCTCAATGATGGCACCAACAAGAGACTCAGCAAGTCCAATGGTGACCGTACCACGCAAAATCCATTCCAGCCTATGGAGATCTGCAATATGCTGTTCATCTATACATCTGTTTGTACTGCCACGTTCCATGCATGCCCATGCCGCCCCCCCGAACCGTGGAACTGCTGCTACCGTAGTGAAGCAAGCCCCTTTTGATCCCACCCTTTGCCTCCTTTGCGCGTACCAGCGCTTTCATCCTATTCACGAGCGAACATTAGCTAGGAGCATGCAGCGACTTGCCAGCGTGAGAGTGCCCTCAGCAAGAGCAATGCCCAGTTGCCACTATCGTAGAGAATCATTGTAGCAGCTCCCAGCTGACAACCCTCTTCCCAACACGCGTCTGCGGCGGAGATTGTGGCATATCTCGTCTACGCAAAGCAATACTGCCCGCAATGATGACCTTTCGATACTTCTCGCGTCTCCTCTTCTCAGCTTCATGCCTCTCGCGATCAGATGGGCCTACTCCGGTGCTCTATCCATCGAATAAGCCTGATACTCCCTCCAAGGGGTCGGGAGTCCCCCCTCGCGGCTGGCTGTCCAGGGGATTGCCACCCTGCGCTGGCGCCGCGGCCTCCATGAAAGCCTGCGCCATCTTTGTACGTGTGGGCTTCCTGCCTCGGTTCGAGTTGCCAAACCCTGTGCTCTTAACCATCTTACCCATCTCTGCCACGCTCACGCCCTTGAGATCTTTGAGCATGTCGAGCACGATGGACCTTTGCTGTCGCGTATGTGAACCAGGCTTGGCGGTGTAGGCGCCGAGTCGTTCCAGATCACTCTCCTTGACGTTGGGTAGCGACAGAATCACGTTCCGTGGTGTGGTCGTCAGGGGTCCGTAGTGTACCACAATTGAAGCAATCAGCGAGGCCAGGTCCTTCTGCAGGTCTACAAAGTAGGGTTCGTGGAAGGATGTGATGCAAGCCTGGAGCACTTCTGTCGAGATGTACTCCCGAATCACCGATGCTATTTCGGGGGACATAGGCGAGTTGTCCACATCGGGTAACGCAGCCTTCTTCGATCCAGGAGGATCTGAACTGAACTCTGGGACCAGCGACACGAAAAGCCGGAGGATCATGCTGCAGCAGCGTGTATCCTTCATCCGAATACCATGAGCGCAGAACACCAAGAGAGGTTCTACAATCTGCTGGTTCATCAAGCAGAATTTACGAAGCGTGGGGTACTTCACAGTAGCCTCCCCCTCGCTGGCAGGCTTCAAGGTGCGTGGGTCTGATCACAAGATTGTTAGTCTCTGCGCGGCTTCACGAGACGTGTATCGTGGCAACTTACTGAGCTTGGACGGATCCAGAAAGTCGGCCACCATGAGCGTAGCCGTGTAGGTGACCTGGCGCAGGATGCTTTCCGACTTCATCTCCTCCTTGAGAGCACTATCGCCGTCGGCAGAGATGATTTTCTGTTCTTCCATGCGAGCCCATTCTCCGGTGATCTTCGTGTCGGTTTGTCTGAAACAGGCCTCGAGCAAGTGAGGAAAGAAGGTCTGTCGGCAGTCGACCGGGCAATCGTCTACCAGGTACCGGACCAGGTTGAGTAGATGGCTTTGCTGGTGAGTAGACAGCCATGTTGAATCAGCAAAAAACGACTGTGCGAGGGGTTCCGCGAGCTGAGAGTCGCTGTAGAACAAGGACTCCAACCTGCTCATGCAGTAGATGATGGAGTAGGCAGTTTCGCGCACAAACCGGACAGAACCCCGTACTGTCGACGCAAAGCCTTCCACTGTCCCCTTCTTATCTTGCACCCGAGCATAAAAGTCGTCTTTGCTGCCCTCGGAAATGCCCGACTGCCAAAAGCGATCGCTCAGTACCCGATCCACCATGGAGCGCATGTCCGGAGGCACACCCATCCAGTTCTGTGGATTATGTGACGCGTGTGCGTAGCTCAGGAATCTCAGTACATCTGCCAGTATCGTGGTAAAGCCATCCTGCCAGAGCGCATGCGATGCCTGAAACGCAGGCGATGAGCGACTTAGGCGCTCTACAGAGAAAGCTAAGAAGCTCTTGGTGGCTCGAAGAGGCAATGTCTTTAGAGTATCAGCACCGCTTCATGCTATATCGCCTCCGCATGGAACTTACCTTTAACCTCTCCTCAAGCTCCGCCTGAATAGCGAGACCTTCTGAGTCCAAGGGGCAAGAGCCCCAGTCTTGTATTTCATGCGCACGGTGCTTGGCCAGATAGGCCTGCGCTTTGTCCAATCCAAGAAGTTCACAGAAGCCCGGGTACGAGCCTAGCGAAGACTGGATAGTAGTATCTTGCCACTGTGACTTGACAGGATCAATGAATTCGCGGAGCCGGGGGATCTTGGCATCCACGTTGATCTTGTCCGTTCTATGACTGCAATGGTCAGATTATGATGATGAAAACATCCGAGAAACGTACACAATAATGAATAAAAAGCTTTTGTAAGCAATGGTACGTTTCTCGTCGAGTACCCCGGATGCCAGCATTTCGTTCACGCGATGTGAAATCTGGTCGTAGACATCCTGGCGCTTCGTTAGCCGCTACCATCATTGCTGCTGGCAGTACCATGTAACTCACGATCAAATGGTCTGGCATTTCCGACGCCAAGCGTTGCAGTTCAACCATACTCTCGCCCTGCAGGTCTTTAACAGCCTCATTGAACGCCTTGTATTCGGGCTCAGGGTTAGGCCAAGTCATCAGAATGTGCTCAAGTACTTTCAACATGAAATCCGTCTGGTTGCTGAGAGCAGTTGTGGAAAAATACACCAGCAACTGGAGGCATCTCTTGCGGATGACGGGATCCTACCCATTACGTTAGGCGCCTGCGCAACACAAAATCAAGAGTGAGACTCACGTCGAATTGAATTTCGATCAGCTTGTTGCACCAGGCCTCCAGATTCGCCTCGATGGAGCCAATGGCCTGTTCGTGTTCATGATCAGCGCCAGTTATACCTTCTGCTTGGTTCCTAGCTGACGTACCTCACGATCGCTGTTCGCTGTCTTCCAGGCTTTGAACCCCTTCAACATGGCTTCGATGACAGTAAACTGACAATCAACGCGCAGAGCTGGTTGCGAGTGCTTGTCGTAATTTTGTTCTATGATCGATCAGCTCACCACACAGGAGCGAGGCGACCCGGATTCGTGCTCGACTTACTATTGAGACCCTCGCCCGGAGGATAAAGGTTGTGGAGGACTTGATCTGTAGTGCTCAAGATGTGTGTCACCGCATCTGCCAACCTGAGTCTCACAATGGCTTCAACGAGTTGACAGGTAAAGCGCCGGTAATTTCCGAGGAATGCATGTCGCTCAGGCATAGTGTCGGTATCTTCCATGAGAAAGAGCAAAGGCGGTTCCTCAGAGTCTTCTGGCAAGTGTTCGTAGCGCACCAAGCGCGTCGTAGCAATCTCTAGCAAAGGACCGATCATGTTCGTGAAGCGATCTTTGCTTACAGACTTACAGTTGAGGAGTTTGCCCCAAGTCACGACCGCAGGTATCGACACCATCAAGCTCTGATGTTGAGCAACTTGGATCAGAAGATGCAGAAAAGGGTCGACATCTGTGCCCTCAGGCACCTCATCGAATTTGCGCGCAAGATATTCTCCAATAGAAGCCAGAAGCTTGTTTATGATTAGAGCGCATTCTTAAAATCCGCCAATGGTAACACTGATAGCTTACCTCTGATAACTTTTTGAGGACAAGATACTTGTCATCATCAATATCGTTAGGGTCGACCTGCGAATACTCGAAGAGATTTTTGAAAAGTTGCACGGGCCACTCCCTGTACATCGGCACAACCAGGTCATGGAACTCTGTATCGTTGAAGTTGATGCGGCCATACATGCCATGAAGAGCTTCGAGGGCCCCCTAAGCTTGTGAATTAGCTCTGCATGTGCCATACCTGCGGAAGCATTGAATCAAACCTTTTGCACATCGGCACTCTGCACCGCCAGGCCTCCACACAGTACTTCAACGGCATCAGCAGCGATGATGGCTTTTGGAATGGCCCAAGGCAGTTGTGTCTGCATCGTGGCGAGACACTTCACGGCACATGACTCGGTTTGGCTGTCGCGAAGTCCAGAAGATATGCAGAGCTTCAGGAACTCGGCGATCCGGGTCAGCCACCCTTCATGCCCATGGCGAACCTCAGGGCCGGCCTGCCTATTAGGGAACACCTCGACGAGGACAGAGGTTGGCGTAAAGATTTCGACACAAGCCTTGCTAAGAATTCCTTCGCGGAAGCTAACCACGGGATCATCGCCAGTGAAAACCTCATCCGAAAGCGTCTCCAGAACAGACAGGACGAACTCCTTGTGTGCTGGCGAGTCTGGCACGTTCCATAGCTCGACGAGTCGCGTGTCCATGTCCATCCATTCTGCACCCCATGATCTCTTGGCCACCTCGATCCAAAGTTGGGCAGTCTTGTTCCTCAGAAATGACGGGTCGTCTTGCGCAATAGTCTGGCTCAGTTCCAGGACCCAACGGAGCAATGCCTCTTTCTGTGCCTCTCCATACTCTGACCACTGGTAGCGGATGGAGTATTCCAGCAACGAAAGGCCATAATGCCGCACGATATGCGGCTGAGACCTGTCGCTCCCCAAATTATGTCCAAAGAGCGGGCCTCGTGATGTACCCTTGAGTTTCTCCAGAAAATCTTGCGCTTCCCGCCGTGCCTCGTTCGTTGACTGCGGGCTATGCACGATCTCGAGAGCTTGGCGAATTTGCGAGAAAACTTCAGTGCTGCTAGGCTCATAGCCCTGCTGGCCGTTGGTATCCATGCTGAGGCGGAACAGACTCGGGGTGGTACGACACACAGGCCGCCCGAGAAGGCAGCGATGAAGGCGTGAGTGTCTGTGCAGGCGTAACTTGGCTCGAGGGAGGTCGCGCGTTGTACAATAAAGACCGGTCGTTTGTGCGTAGTTCCTCCGTTCGTGTGGAAAGCTCGAATGTGGTCGGTTCGGAGAGAGCAGCTCACTTCTCGACAGTGGTTTCACGCGAGGCTGACGTTTGTAGCCTGTAGGTCTTGGAACTCTCGTATCGCAAACGTGGGGACGAACAGGTACCGGTCTGTTGAAGCGGCAGAGAGCAAAAGCTGGTCAGTACGGATGTAAGGATGAAGATGTATAGTGGATAGGCAAATTGAACAAAGAGGGACGAAAGCAAACAAAGAGAATGTCAACCGTGCTGCACGTATTAGAGCTACTTGAGCAAATTCACGGATGATGAGCGCACTTTGCATGGTGCTTCGACATCGAATGCTTCCCAGCTGCAGTGCAGGGAATACTGGCCAGCCAGCAGGCGCCTGCAGATGTGGAGGCAGCCGGGGCCGCCAGCTGTAGCCACATTTCTCGTGCGCATCAGCCACACATGCTGCAAGGCTGAGGCCAAAGACATCATTCAGGCAAACACCAATTCTATTCTATCAACATTCGAGTTCTACATCCCAAAGACATATCAGCTTATCGTAGAAGCTGGTCGATACGCACTGCAAGGTCTTTTGACCTTCGCTTCCCGGCACAATTCCGCACCCGTAATTCATGCTCTGGTGTTCCTCGAATTTTGCCAAAACGTCGCACTGCCATGCGCCTTGCTTGTCTCTCGCGAATTGTACCAGGCGAGCCCCTGCGTACATGCACGATGCCAGGACACGGAAGATCGGAGACTCTGCGGAAGTGTTTGCATGTACAAGATCCAGTCTCCAGACGCCGCCCTCCAGATTCTCTTCAGCCAGTAACTCTGCTCGTTTCGTGAAGGCCGCTGGATCGGGATCGCGCATGGCGAACAGCCTAATGCTATCGTCGTAGCTTCCGGTGATCACGAGGCGGCTGCCCTCTGCATCGAAAGCATCCAATGGAAGTATCGCGGTCACTCCGGCGTTATGCTGGTTCTTGAGTATGGATGGCAGAGGTACCACCTCCATGTCCTCAGTGGCCCGAGGGTGCGAGCCATAGGCTGAAGTAGTATACCGCAATATTGAGTCGTCGCCACCGCAGTAGACAGTGGTTTGACCTAAAGACACAGGTTCTCTGCCTGAAGGGGCGAATGCAATACACCACGCCTCCAAGGTGTTCGCAACATCGAGGTCGGTCCAGTCACATATCCGCCATTGCTCATCCAGCCGTAGCAGCCTCGCTGAGCCCGCCGAGGTTGTTACACCCATTATGTTAGAATGGGCGGGATGCCATTGGCATTGAAGAAAGAGCACAGACTCGTCCAAATCGTCGCATCGAGACGTAGCAAGTGGTTGCAACGGGGCATTTGGCTCACCTGCGGGATCAAATCGGAACATTGCCAGTGTTCCGGTACTTGAGATTACCGCCATGATGTCCTGTTGCCCAGCGATATGGCTGAATCGCAGGTCGAGCAATGCCGAAGGTGTCGATAATGTTTGCACATGTCGTCTATTCATGATTAATTTTGACTGGCATAGGGGGCGCGATCGAAACTCACAGCACATTATCCTTCATCTCGTATACGATCAAACTGCCGTCCCGGCTTTGCGCCTTGGTTCCCGTCGATTGAGGCTCTGTGGCCTCGTCTGTGGTAGGTGCATCGCTTGCTGCATTGTTCTCGTCTCTCTGCAGATTGTAGGTCCCAGTCACCAGATATGTCGGGTGAGCGGGAGAGAACTGTATGCAGCTGGGTGGCAGCTCCAAATTCAGTGAAAACTTGGATGAGATGGATTTGGTCATTTTCAGCAAAATCAGTCGCGAGCCGTAATAAACCAAATTGTAATCACCAATAATTAGAAAAACCAAGAGGCGACTGTTGGGCTACTTCGAAGAATTGAGAAAACAAAAGAGGATCAAACATCGATGCAGTCGGACGAAAACAATGCAACGAAGTGGGTGGTATTCGCATGCTCCAGGGTCACCCACGACTACTAATAACCACCCAGATCCCCCGACTACTTAGCCACGGGTATTTTCCTAACTTCTACGTGTACATAACTCAGGTTGTCGCCAGCCTTCAATCAGCGTCAAAGCGCGAATCGACGAGATTCTGGCGGACGTGCTAGGATCAATAACTCCAAGCATCCCAAAAGCCGCCAAATTGCAGCCTCATCAGTCTCCTCGAAGGACTCTTAATTAGCTCCTACGTTTCGGAAATTACGATGGACTCGGATGTAGACTCGGACTTTTATGGTATCTTATCAGTGAACTGCGATTTAGACACCAATTGACGCGCCCAGGGGACGGGGATCATGCATCTCAACTTCAGGAACGCGTCGACAGCTTCGATGTTGAGAACTATTTCCAAGCCAGAGCGTCTCATTCAGGTCGTCCTCTTCCCGGCGCAATTCCCACAAATAACCTGACGCATCTTCACAATCCATATGCCAACATAGACTACGCCTGGCAGCTGACTGAGACGGTCGAGTCTTTTCTGCAACGACTGCCCCCAGAAACAACACCTCAGAATCTCAAAACCCCGTGGATATTCATCTGCAACCCCTTCATACCACGCGCGGCAAAAGTTGACAGCAGCGACACGCGGGGTGAGGATGATGCCGAGGCTCCAGAAGAGGATGGGAGTAACGTGCAGATGCTGGTGACCGGTGCTGAGGAACGGTTGGACCTGTTGAGGTCATTTATCGAGAAGACGGAGGAAACGAAGAAGTCGAAGGCAGCAAAAGAGAAAGAGATTGCAAAAGAGAAGTCTCGGGCCACGTCAGATATACTCAACCTCGCAGCGATGCAAAAAGTCCGCGCGGGCAAGGTTCGTGGGCCACCTCGTCTTGTTGGGTTCTTTCGCGATGTGGTGCTGACCTGCCAAAGTGGATGCTTTTCTGTTCGCCTCGAGAAGTCAATGAAGTCTGGGAGATTGTGGCAAAGTCGACGGCGGACAACGAGCTCGGAATAGCCGCCAAAGTGGCACCGAGAAGCGAGACAGAGGATCCCCGTAAAGACCGCCTCGTGTGCGTGTACACGACAGACTTCAGCAACAAGGCAGACGTGGAACGTGTGCTCCAAAAGCTTCGCGAGCTCAAGCTTGTCGAGGCTCGGGGGCGTCCAATATACTACAAACCTGGTGAGCAATGGCAATGCCGGACTTGGGAGACTATCATTGACTTGTACAGACGCCTATACTTACATTGGTATCTCGTCGGGGAACCCATGGGGCATTCGCGCGTCCATCTACAGCTCGCTGGATAGTTTCTCATAAGGACCGATAGTTATCTTTTAGCGGGACATGGCCCAGAATTCAACATTGCTCGCTGATATGTAGAACCCGTCTATTCCAAAAACAAGCACAAAACGCTTCGTGAATCATGTCAGCTGTCAACCACAAGCCACAGCATGAGCACCTGTAGCCCTCGAAACCTCCCGATCATGGTGTGCCACACAATGATCACAGAATCTCCCCGTCATTGGGATCCGGGCAATTGTCCGGGTCCACTGATCTCAAGAGTAGCACTAGTCGATAGGCACTGTTGCCATTGAGATAATAGCGATGCAACTTCTTGGACCGCAGAAACCCTAGACGCTCGTACAGACGCATGGCTGGTGTGTTTGTCTCTTCTGTCTCGAGGACAATTTCATCTGCTTTCCTGTCCGCCATGGCTTGGATGGCGCGTTTCACCAATGCAGTGGCCACTCCATGCCCGCGATAGGGCGATGCGACAGCAAGCATAGCAATGTAGCCTCTGCGCGTCGGCGTAGAGTGCACAGCATGTATTTCCAGCTTGCAGATGATAACACCGATCAGAGAGTGGTCCACCGGGTCGAGAGCCTGGAAAGTCGTGTCAGTTGAATGGTGGCTGACTGAAGTGAGTTGGGCGCAAACCAAGAAGCAGAGATGAGCCCATTGGCAGAGGAAGTACCGGTAAACATATATGCTGTATGGTTCACTGAGGTCTTTCGAAATGAGCGCCCTGATGGCGGGGAGGTATTTAGCCTCCAGGCTGTGTTGATACTGTATGTATTCCAGGCTTCCTCGCAACGCCTTCACTCTCTCTGGCTCGACCAAGGTCTCCATGACCGTCATCATTTTGGTCGTTAAATTGAGTGAGAGCTATGAGATCCGGGGACGAGGGGGTGCTCAGTGTTTTGATTCCATGGAGCAATCGACGCTCGACGTGATACGTGTGCGGGCTATGAGCTGACCCCCGGATGACTCATGGGAAAGGGTGAATAAGGCTGCAAGAGGATGATATGTTACGCCGCGTGGGTGTTGGGACTTATCGTTGCCTTGTCAGACGATTGGACGCGCAGGGTATGCGAGTAACAATGGCGCCTCGAGGCCTAGGCGCAAGAAGGCGGAAGGGGGCTACGGCGAAGATGTTGTGAGGGACCGACCGGGGTTGAAGACAGCCCGGACTTGGCCCTTGAGGCTTGGGCAGCCAGCTTACTGCGCTAACTGCGTACGGGCTGTAAGAGTGGAGACTGGAGGCAATGGATTGGATTTCGACGCGCGATACCCATTGCCATCACATGTTTGTGCCTGAAATCATCCATCTGGCGGGGGACGACAGGCTGGCAGGACAGCCACTTTGTTGCGCGCGACGACTGCTACTGGCAAAGCGTTCACTCAACAGAATCTCGCGCGACCTTAAAAATGAGCACTATATAAGCTATCAATGACCAGTACAAGTAGATCGCAAGGCTAACTTGCTGCGTACATCTGGAGTCTGGACATCCGGGACCGGCTGGTGGGGCAGCTGCATTGACGTCAGATTTTGGCCTAGGCCCTACGGTCTGCACTCTGCGGCGCGGACTCCGATGTCCCTCCCACCCTGGCCCGATCAGGGCTGCGTGCAGCTGATGCGGGTAGATCCTCCCAGCTTTCCTCACGCCTTCCACGTCCATGGAGATTTGCATGTGCCCGTCCCTCGGATTGTCGATTTTACGTTGCTAGCCGATGAGCGCATGTCATCTTGCAATTTTCGCATCATCTCCATCAGCAACAGACGCCCACTCTCACATCGCAATCCTGCAATCCTGAACCAGCTCGTGGTACGCACCGACCGAAGCCAGCCCTCCAGTCCTCTCCTACCTCGTCCAGGGATCGACAAGACTTTGCGCAAGCGCTGAGCTTCACCCGACGCCGTCGCCGCGCGCAAGTTCCCACAATCATGGCGTCGACGTTGAGGCGTCGGTTGCTGCCAGATGAACGCGGAGCCGAAGCGCCTCATCGCGAGGACAGCCCAATCGATCAACCTACCACCCACGTGCACGTCGTCGAACAAAAGCCAAAGAAGAGCAAACGCCGCAACACATTTATATTCCTTCTCGGTAGCTTATGTGGAATTGTGGGCGCGGGGTTCTTTGCTTCCAGCAATGACTTGATCGATTTTCCAGAGTTCGGCGAGATCAGTGTGGACAGTATACTGGACATTGTCCCGCCGGGATTGGTGAAGGATATGAAAGACTTTGTGCAAGGGGAGCGCGACGTGGCAGAGACATACGATTCATTCTCTGTTGGCTTACAGGCGCGGGCAGAAGGGCTAGAGGCTCACCATCCTATGATCATGGTGCCTGGTGTTATCTCTACGGGGCTTGAGTCCTGGGGCACGGCCAACATCTCAAGGGCATACTTTCGCAAGCGACTATGGGGAAGTTGGACGATGATGAGAGCATTGGTGATGGATAAGGAGATCTGGAAAAGGCACATCATGCTGGACAAGCGCACTGGTCTCGACCCGCCCATGGTAAAGCTGCGTGCTGCCCAGGGCTTTGACGCGACGGACTTCTTCATTACGGGCTACTGGATATGGAATAAGATCTTCGAGAACATGGCCACCATTGGTTATGACCCGACAAACTCGTACACCGCTGCCTACGATTGGAGACTCTCCTACAAGAACCTCGAAGTCCGTGACCGCTACTTCAGTAAACTCAAGTCATACATCGAGTCGGCGGTCGTCTTTGACGGGAAGAAGGTTGTCCTGGCTTCTCACAGTATGGGAAGCCAAGTCGTTTTCTACTTCTTTCACTGGGTTCAGTCAGAGTCCGGAGGCAGAGGGGGGCCGAGCTGGGTCGAAGACCACATCAGTTCCTGGATCAACATCAGCGGATGCATGCTTGGAGCTGTCAAGGACCTCACTGCCATTCTGTCCGGAGAGATGCGCGACACTGCACAGCTCAATGCCTTTGCCGTTTATGGACTGGAGCAATTCCTTAGCAAAGAGGAGAGGGCCGAACTGTTTCGCGCCATGCCAGGCATATCGTCAATGCTTCCAATGGGAGGTAACGCGGTCTGGGGAGACGCCGACTGGGCGCCTGACGATCAACCAGACCAAAAGGTCTCATATGGCTCCTTTCTCAACTTTCGAACTGGCAATAACTTGACAACACCAGCCCACAATCTGACAGTGGAAGAGTCTTTGGAATACCTATTCGATACTACCGAGGACTGGTATCAGGATCAAATCAAAGGCAGTTATTCGCATGGCGTCGCGCACTCGAGGGCCGAAGTTGAGGCAAACGAATTGGACCAGACAAAGTGGGTGAACCCTCTGGAGACCCGATTGCCGTTGGCTCCAAGCCTCAAGATCTACTGCTTTTATGGTGTTGGGAAGCCGACAGAGCGAGCCTATTTTTACAAGGCGCCAGACCAACCTAGCCAGACGAACTTGAACATTACTATTGACATTGGCCTGACCGAGGGCGATGTTGATCATGGCGTCATCATGGGCGAAGGTGATGGCACTGTCAACCTATTGAGCACGGGGTACATGTGCAATAAAGGCTGGAATATGGAGCGCTACAATCCCGCGGGGGTGAAGGTCACCGTCGTGGAGATGCCCCATGAACCGGAGCGCTTCAACCCCCGGGGCGGACCAAGGACGGCTGATCACGTCGATATACTGGGCCGGCAAAATCTCAACGAGCTGATCCTGCGCGTTGCGGCCGGCAAGGGCGACACCATCAGTAGCTACGTTGTCAGCAACATTCGTGAATACGCGGCCAAGGTCAAGATCTACGACGAAGAGAGCGTGCCTGAAGCAGCAGACGATGCGTCCTAGGAAGACCTGCCCGACGCGCTCTTGTTTTTCGTCCTCGTGGTCATGATTGAATTTGGCTTGTTCCGTACTCGCAACTGTTCTTGGTTGCTGAGAAGAGGAGCAGGGAAACCATGACGCTTGCGCCTGTATTAATGCTTATGATGATAACGCTGCTCAATGGCGGTGGTCCGCCTTGAGGTTGCATGTAGAACCTGGTAGACATTGTATATATGACCGGGAAAATCGACGTCACTTGACGCATTTCTTTAAGTACTTATGGCAAGGATTCGGCCGGCATTTGAAGTCTTGAACAGTCTGAGGCTGGTGGTAATTAATTCATTAATACCTGGTACGGATACCTTACCAATACCAGGGTCCTTACCTGAATTACCTGAATTACGTCTTGTCACTGTTACCCCACCAATCCCCAGGAACGCCACGACCTCCGACTTTCAAACCACCAAGGCTCCAGGGAGGCTCTCTCGCCTGCCTGTTGTTTCGCATTCCAATTCATGCCCATATTGTTTCTCTCATCATTTTGCGCCGACCAGCTGTTGTAGACCCGAACCGATCCGCCTTTCCACGCTGTTCTATCGAATCCTTGTTGGCCAGTGCATCTCAGTTTGACCAGATGCTGCGATCGTCGCGCCATTCGTCCTGTGTGAAGTATGGCGGACGCCGAAAGGGCAACACTGTCTCCGGAAGATGAGGAGCAGTGTTGGTCAGGTAAGAACCCCGCCAACTCTTTGTCATTGTCGCACGACTCACACGCCGCGCAGACCTGGCACAATGCGTCGCCTCTGTCTGCGAATCCCACGAATCGATCGACGACGCGCTCCGTTCCTGGCTCGACGCCACGACCCGACTCCTCGACGGCACGAACTCGCAGAGCGATGTCATCAGCTCGAGCCATATGCTCGTGGAGAGCGCACTGTTCCAGGACAACAAGGCCTATATCCGTACACAACTCATCCACAGCCTCTTGCAGGAGGACGAGCCGAGTCCGTTATCGGCGATAGCGTGCCTGCTGCTGCTCGACGGTGACCATGAGGAGAGTCTATTCTCGCGCATGATTGAGGAGGCCTGTTTCCCACGGCTGTTGGAGCTCATCAATGGACAGAGGGACGGCGATCCCCGGTTGCATCGCTTTCTGCTGCAGCTAATGTACGAGATGTCGCGAATGGTAAGGCTACGACGGGACGACATTCAGCTGGTCGACGACGACTTTATCCATTACCTCTTCAGCATAATCGAGAACCTGTCGGACGATGTCCACGACCCGTACCACTACCCGACAATCCGTGTTCTGGTAAGCCCACTCGAGTTCCCATGGAGTTACTTGACTGACTGTGTCGCAGCTTGTTCTGAATGAGCAGTACATGTTGGCATCGACCGAGTCTGACGACCAGGACGCGCCTGCTTTGACAAACCGCATCGTCAAATGCTTGAGCCTACATGGCTCCTCGTATCGCACGTTTGGGGAGAATATCATCCTCCTGCTGAACCGCGAGACGGAGACATCGCTGCAGCTCCTGATCTTGAAGCTGCTTTACCTCCTCTTCACCAACAAATCCACGTACGAGTACTTCTACACGAACGATCTGCGGGTGCTTCTTGATGTCATCATACGCAACTTGATGGACTTGCCGGACGAGAAGATCTCCCTGCGGCACACATACTTGCGTGTCCTGTACCCGTTACTCGCCCACACGCAACTGAGCCAGCCGCCTCACTACAAAAGAGCAGAGATCCTTCGAGTTCTGAGTCTGCTGCGCGGATCACAGAACGCCCACTTTGCCCCAGCGGATGAGACGACGCTGCGGCTCGTGGATCGCGTGGCCAAAGTCAAGTGGCTCGACATTGAACAAGGCACGGGCGAGGCGGAGGTGGCACGCAAGATTCTAGGGATCAGCCTCTCAAGATCGCAGACCGCCAGTAGCATAAGTGTTCACGACGTTGCTGGCGTGATGGAGAAACCTGGTGTGCAGACACCTAGTCGCAACAACGGCGAAAACGGGAGGGGCGATGGCCAATGTCTCACAGAGGGAGCAGTTGTCAGTTCAAAAAAGCCCGTGCCTGATGTGCCAAAACACCGCCACGGCATCCCGTTTGCGCAGACGGCAAAGAAAATACCTCCAAAGGCACCACCTCCTCGAAGGTTTGGGAGGTTGAAGTCGGCACAACATTCACCTGTCGACACGATTCCAGAGAACGGTCTGGGGAGCAAAGTCAGGACCGATCCACCGGCTGATGCGTAACTTTGCGTCCAGGACTTTACTTGGAGTGGACACTGCTTCTTGATATTGGGGCCGGTGTATATGAGCTCTGATTTGAATGTCGTTTGGCGCACCTAGGAGGTGCTGGGAGCATACTTTAGGCCTCAGGAGGGTCAGCTGGCAGGCTGCAGTTTTGCATAGGCGCCTAGCGTTAAGCGTCTTTCCGATGGCTTTACCATCGAGGAATCACGATTGAAATTGACGTGTAATTCCCAAATCCATCATGTCCATTTCCTATGCCGGCGGTATGCACAGTCGTCACACTGCATGACTCCCGCCAACTCATGACCGAACGCTCAGGTCTTCACCAGTATTGAGCTAGAAGTTGAACGAACCAACGGCGTCGATGTCTTACCGCCGGAGCTGTAGGTCTCTGCGTACTGCGTAACCATACAGGTCATAGCTTCAAGGCCGAAAGTCTGCCACGGCGAATGGAGAACACATGCTTGCGGGCGGGCGGGGGTTCTGCAGAGCTTGCCAGGGATGGAATAAGATGTTTGCTACCTTGCTTTGATGCAATTTCGCGATATTCCTGCTGTATGCAAGGAACCAAATGGCTGTACTCGGTAGGCGGATGCTCAGATTACCTAGTGCAGTGGGTGCTGTACGGCTTCACCGAGAACAACGGTCCTAGGACGGACGCGGACGGATGCGAGAAATTGGGCCCTGGACTGGACGCGGGGCAGGTGGGGCCGCGTGGCTGCCGTGAGAGTGAGATCAGTGGATACGTCATCGTTCGTTCCCCAGAGGGCCCAGACAGCCTGAGTGGACGCCTGTTCGAGACCAGCAGCAGGAGGCTTGCGTGTCCGGGTGGGTAACTCGTTCGCTTCAGCACTCCGTATGTCGCTCAGCTCAGCTGGAATTGCGCTGTGATGAGGCTGTCAGAAGCTTGTCGAGAACGGACTAAAATCGATCACCCATCGTTCTGCTGGTCGACGCCAAGCCTGTCATAGCACCGTCTTTTCAAGGCATCGAGGATGCCGACGGGGCAATTCCCATCGCGAGTACGTCAGAGTTGGGTAGCGACGCGACCTGATCGCCGGGAACGGTGGCATTCCATGTAGGTCACACTTTCGCCAGCCAAGAGCGCCGACATAGCTCGGCATGCGATCCGTATCTATTCCTCGTCTGCCTTATTCCCTTCCCTGCTTCCAAGCGGCAGAGACACGGCCATTTATTGAGCTGATCTTCAGGGTCTTGTTGCTGTTCCGTGGCCCTGGCGCATCCGACTGCCTCACAAAGCCTATCGATCTGCACAACGGCTGCTTGCACGGTACAATTAATGAACCATTTGAAGAAACTTGCCTGCCAGCGCGAAAACAGTCTCAGCCAAGTGCGACGCTTCTGCGGCGTCCGTTCGGTCCAGTGGCTGTTAGTACTTGTTGGTAGCCAGCTGGTCGTGGTCGTCAAACGGGGCGGCGGCGGCGCATTAGCTCTTGTGCCAATCCTCCACTATCGACCGCTACCGAACACCATTGCGTCAACACCTCATCGACATTTGCCCACATCTCCTGCCCAGCGGGATCGCCAAAAGCAGTCCGACTCCCCCTCCTTCACCTGTCCCTGCTGCCGAACGTCTGAGTGCCTGTACATTCATTACCACTTGCTTGCAGATTCTCCTCTTTTCTTACCCTCCGTGGCTTTTCTCTTTGCGCGCTGCCACCGCAGCATCCCCCTCCGCCGTAATTGCGGACGAGCAGACGACGATCCTTGCCGTCGCCGGTCAATTGTGTCTCGCCCAGCATGGAATATCCTTCGTCGTCATCAGCACACCCAGGTGTTGACGCCCACCCTGCGAATTCGTACAACGGCGTTCATGATGCGAACTACGCGACCCAGCCAAACAACGACGCAGGCAACTACAATCCTGCAGTCGACAATAGCCAGCAGCAATACAACGAAAATTACCCAGCCGGTGGTCGTTTCACAGAGGAGTGGGACGCCAGCCAGCGAGGAAGCTCCATTATCGACGGAGGGCGTAACGGTGCCGCGCCGCGCGCGGGCGGGAGCACGATGCAGCGCTCAGCTTCGGTCCACAGCTACAATGTCGGCGACGAGGAACAGCTCTCAACAGGGAAGTTGCCCAGCAGAGGAAATACCCTCAAGAAGAAGAGCTCGATGCGCCGCAACGGCAGCCTGGGACGTGGGGCCAGCCGTCGCAGCGCGAGAGCTGGCAGCGTAAAGAGCCTTGCCCTCCAGTCCTCCTCGGACCGCGATGAGTCCCACAGCGCCTTCTTCTGCCCTGTGCCTACCTCTGGTAACCCTACCGAGATCCTCATCAACCGCTTCCAGTGTACGTGTATCCTCCTCCTTGTTTTGCGACCATATATTCTGACAATATGCAGCTTGGAGAAAGGTCCTCAAGGATCTGATCGCGTACTTCCGTGAGATTCAGAACCACTATGAGCATCGTGGCAAGGCCTTGATCAAGCTTGCCAATACGTCAAACAATATCCAGAGTCCGCCTGGCTTCCTCAAGTCAGCTGGTATCGATGATGCGCTCCAGTTCCTTCGGGTATACAATAAGAACGCCATCGCGGAGGCTAGTAAGGCCAGGGACATTGAGGAAGATGTCATTCTGGCCTTGACTGGCCTGCGGAGCGATCTCCAGCAGAAGATCAAGGAGATCAAGAATCTGTCAGGGGATTTCAAGAACACGGTCGAGAAGGAGATGGACAGTACTCGCAAGGCTGTCCGCCACCTGCAAGACGTGCTCGGGAAGAATGAGGCCGATGACGCCAGCACGACCGGCAAGCTGGACCCATTCCTCCTGCGTTTGGCCGTGGATCGTCAGGTAGAGCGTCAATTGGACGAGGAGAACTATCTCCACCAAGCTTACCTCAATCTCGAGAACTCTGGTCGCGAGCTCGAATCAATCGTCGTGGGCGAGATTCAGAAGGCTTACAACGCCTACGCTGGTATCCTCAAGCGCGAAGCTGACAATGCATACGGTGTCATCGAGGAGCTCCGCGATGGCCCTATCTCAATGCCCAAGGACCAGGAATGGATTCACTTTGTCACCCACGATGAGCAGTTTGTGGATCCCACGATCCCTCTCCGTTCTGCAGAGCAGATTCACTATCCGGGTCAAGACCATGTGGCTGCGCAGGAGATCCGTGCCGGTTTACTCGAGCGCAAGAGCAAATATCTCAAGAGCTACACCGCAGGATGGTAAGTCCATGCGCCAAAACTCGTAAACAAGCCGCTAACCAGGTTAGGTACGTTCTGTCCACCACCCACCTTCACGAGTTCAAGTCGGCGGACAAGGGCCAGGCGCCCGTCATGTCGCTGTACTTGCCCGAGCAGAAGGTGGGCTCGCACTCTACAGGCGAGGGGTCATCCAACAAGTTCGTGCTCAAGGGGCGCCAGACAGGTACCTTGCACCGAGGTCACACATGGGTGTTCCGTGCCGAGAGCCACGACACGATGATGGCCTGGTATGAGGATATCAAGGCTCTTACAGAGAAGACCCCTGAGGAGCGCAACCAGTTCGTGCGACACCACTCTCGCAGTTTGAGTCAATCCTCACGCCGATCCGCCCGATCTGCTAGCAGCGACGGGCTCAACGACGACGATGACGAGGAGCCATTCTCGGCAGGAGCGCAAATCGACGTTAACCCGGGTCCCAGGGGCGACTCGGCGTCTCGGCGATCTCAACCAGGTGGGCGGTTTCCATCCGATATCCAAGTCAATGCACAGCGTGGCTTACAAGCCCCACGATCGACATCTAGTTTAAGCTCCAGTGCTCGGGAACAACAGCGCCAGCACTCGGATGCCCAGGCAATCGGTGCCGCCACTGCCCTTCCAGGATCAGCCATGGGAGCCGCCGCGTATGGCCAGTACCAGAATGAACACGACCAGCGCAACTATGGAGGTCTTGATCAAGTTCCTGTTGACGAGCCGTCCAGCGCCGTCATTGCCAGTCATGAGGCGCAATATGATGGCGTAAACCCATACACAAGCGAGCCAGCAAGATACCCCGAGCATCAGCAACAAGCACAGGAGCAATATTACCAGCAGCCAGTGCAACAGCATGCGCAGCAGCCAGGTCCAATAGATCAACAGCAGCCTCAGTCATATCAACAAGACCGAACATTCGTTGCGCCTGTCGTTACTTCACTTCCAGAGCGAACCGCTCAGCCGGCGCAGGTCGAGGAACCTCAAGCCATGAGCTCCGGAAACGAGTCTCCTCTTGCAGAGGACCAGGGTCAACAAGCCAGCGGTAGCGCATATGCCCCAACTGCGATCGGTGCCATCCCGACCAAGGCAGATCCAGTGCCTGCACCAGAAGCCTCTGGACCCTATGTGACCACGGATGGCACTCAGGTTGGTGGCGGCGACCTCCCCAGGCGGCCGACCAACCAGACCTCGAGGAACGAGAGTGTGAACACGATTTCCAATCTACACGTGCCCGGCGGTTATCCCCGGAACAGCATGGCATAGATAATTCCCCTTCATTGCGTCTTTCCTTGCCTCTTATCGTTTGCTTCTGTATGGATTTCACTGTATTGCTTCAATGGTGGATGGGATGGATGGTTGGTATAAAGCGCGGTCCCCTAGACACTTGGTCTCGAGTCTTCAGGATAACAGTATATTGTTTTTGTAGTATCTTTATTGTTGCAGCTTCGGATTAATTATCCGTTATCTGAATTGCGCCTCTTGTTGACCTTGTGAAGTATGGCAGGCCGTATCTTCATGCTCTCAAGTCGAGTCTCCATACAAAGCGGCACACCGGCAGCGTATCTATGTAGAATTGGTGACAGACTAGAAGTATTCACCACAGCCATGAATTGCTTTCTCCAAGCCAATTGCAATTGTAACCTTTTCTTCCACAGGCTTATTTGCACTATCATTGCTTCCGCCATGAAAGCGCGGTACGTAGACCCGGCACAACTATGTTCCGCAGCGCGCCACCAATCACGAGCCACACCCGGCTCCCAGAGCTCGCTACGCCGAAATTTTCCACCAGGCACAAAAAAAAGTTCCAAGGCGGAAGCCATACGGGGATCTGAACATTTGAACCACCCATATTTTCCGACCACACGACGAAACACGGAAAATCCGGATCGCGAGATATACCCAATTGCATACGCCCCGAACGCAGCGAGCAACAGCGATCAACAATGTCTTTCCGTGGAGGCGGTCGTGGCGGAGGCCGCGGTGGCAGCTTTGGCGGCCGTGGCGGTGGTACGTTTTGGACCCCCCGAAGAGCCTCGCTCGCAGTCCATTGTGAGAGAGGCATGACATGGATGCAGCCGCTGACGCCCAAACAGGTCGTGGAGGATTCCAGCAGAGAGACTTTGGCCCGCCCGCACAGATCCTTGGTAGGACATCTCCCACCCTCTCGGTTGGCCCGCGTTGGCCACGGTGAATCGGGACACGACATGAAGAAGAGTGGATGGCTGACTTTCGGACACACACAGAGATGGGCAAGTTCATGCACGCCTGCGAAGGCGAAATGGTCTGCGAGTCGATCAACCCCAAGGTCCCCCACTTCAACGCCCAGATCTTCCTCGAGAACAAGACCGCCGTCGGCAAGGTCGACGAGGTCCTCGGCCCCATCAACCAGGTCTACTTCACCATCAAGCCCTCCGAGGGCATCCAGGCGACATCCTTCAAGGAGGGCGACAAGTTCTACATTGGAAGCGAGAAGCTGCTGCCGCTCGACAAGTTCCTGCCCAAGCCCAAGCCCCCGCCCGGTGCGCCCAAGCCCAAGCGGGCTGGTGGAAGGGGTGGACCTCGTGGCGCTGGCCGCGGAGGACCCAGGGGTGGTTTCGGTGGACGAGGAGGTGGCGGTCGCGGAGGCGGCCGTGGAGGCAGCGGTTTCGGTGGTCGCGGAGGCGGTGGCCGTGGCGGTGGCTTCTCGCGTGGTGGTGGTGGTGGCCGCGGCGGTGGTGGTTTCTCTCGTGGAGGGGGTGGCCGCGGCGGCGGCGGCTTCTCAAGGGGCCGTGGTGGCTACTAAGGGGTGGATGTTTAAAGTACACATGTGCAAGAAGAATTCTCGTTCAGGGTGTGGGATAACCGGCGTTCATGGGGACAATTTGCTTTCCGTCTACTGAATCAAAGACATACTACCACCACTGCCATCAACATGTCACGTCTTTGTATGATGGACCTTGCGTTCTCGCTCTCTGCAGGCGCCGTTTGTCTGATGAAAGCTTCGCATGGGTATCATGTTTCTGTTCCAATCATCGATGGTATATCACATGCCGATAATCAATGTCCGGATGCCACTGCTGCTTCAATGCGTATACGTAACCAGCCATGCGCTTCTTCGTTTTTGCCAATACATTCGCATCCAACCTGCTCTCATCCACTGCGAGTGAAGATACGTCATATCGTTCCTCGTTTGCCTGCGCGTCCAGGGTACGGCCTAAGGCTTGGGGATACGAATGGTCCTGCTGACCATGAGGCACCCGTGTGCGACAAAGACCAGCACAATTGGGTGGACTTCGAAAGCGGTGCCCTCAGCCCACACACCCAAAGGCAGGTCCTGGTGAATCCAGCGCTGGTACACCCAGTATGCCATCACGGCGTCCACGCCCAATGAAGTCGGGATGGGGGTGCCCTCAAAAAACTTGCTCTTGCCGGTCGCGTCCTTGGGGAGAGTCGAGACAGTGACGTTGAAGCGCGCAAGACGAGTGAGGCCGCAGAGTACGAAGAAGGTCAGCAGGACGGTATCGGTAAAAGAGCGCATGCCGATCGTAAAGGCCACCATGGCCGGGGCCACGCCAAAAGAAATCTGCCTTGGTCAGCCACTGAAGGTCGCGCGATATCAGACCCGACAGAACTTACCAGGTCGGCCAGGGAGTCAAGCTCCTGGCCCATCAAGCTGCTCTTCTTCCTCCAGCGAGCCACCTTGCCGTCAAACGCGTCGAAGAAGAATCCGAACGGCAAGAAGGCCAGGGCCAGCCAAACTTGGCCCAACTCGTCCGCGTCACCCAGGGTATATCGCAATGACGAGAATATTGACATTGTTCCGCAGAATCCTGTCGCGGGACGTCAGTCACCTTGCTCACACTGCAATCGAGGGAAGACTCTTACCGTTCATGAGGGTGATAAGGTCGGCAAGGTGCATGGCGCGGACCAGAGAGAAGTGGCCCACGTCGGCGGACAGCAACATCTTCTGCTTGTCCATACCTAGGCTTGTTAGAGACATTCACTGTAGGAGCTCCTGAAGTAGATCTCTTACCGCCTTGTGAGCTCGCATCCTTCGCAGCGGCTCCGTTGGAGTTGGTAGAAACCCGTTTTGACATGTTTCGCTCGTGTGCGGTCGACGGAGTCTTGGCTGTAGTTTCTGGCGTGTGCGGACAGAGATGATGAATCTTGGACAGTGACAGAATGGCCGATTTTGTAGAAGATGTTTGGATTCGATGGAGGCTGTCCCGTACTTATTGCCAAAGCGTCACGTTTGTCGCTGGTAGTGGGGAGAGCACAATGAAGTCATTGCGTGGCTGCGCTAAAGCTTGATTTAGCTCCTACGTCAAACACGTGACACTGTTGGGCATGGTGAAACGATGTCACTTTCTTTAATAGCAGCTTTGCTCTTGAGTTTTTTGTGAGATTGGCGATTATCACACTTCTGCAGATAGCAGTATGACGGATCGTGATCCATCGCTTAACACTAAATAGTGTTTTGTGCGGTATTGATATAGTGCCGAAGAAGTATGTAGATAAAGGCGTGGCCACCATTAACCGCATTAGCGCCAATCGCAGTCGCCAGCATCGCTTCACATGCTTGGACTGTACTATCGATTCGTAGGGCTTATTTATAGCAAGGTCATTATGAATGATATGTGCTGCATGTCAATAACGTGTATGTGTACTCTATGCCTATGCTGCCTTGCCCACCAATGCTGTATTAGATCTCAGAGGAGTGATATCCTCTATGCTAAGTCGGAAGTTTCAACGCCAAAGTCAATGCTCCCCAGGAACCCCTGTTCTCCCGAGCCAATGGTTGTAGAGAGGCTGCAATTGCGTCCGTTTCCGAGGATTGGGTCGGTAGATCAGCGACAAGGACCCTTGGTCAATGTCCCGTTCACTCCGCGCCACAAACAGTGCGCTTTGGCGAGACATGTGTAGAGACCCGAGGCCTGAGTGTTGGTAATCCAAATCATCGCTTGATCAAGATGGAAAAGCCATCGAGCCATGACCCGCAAGACCCTGAAACGCCGCATATACCGAAGCCTCGTGGAGGCATGAGCGTATAACTGAACAGAGTGATTAGCAGGCACATCGAAAGCATGTCAAAGGTCAGCTTACCCGTCTCCTCCGTGTGGGTTGCCGAAGAAATTGGACCTTCGCCCTTGACTGGTCAAAATCTGCAACCCATCTATCCAGAACCCAGCCCTGACATGAAAGCCAGTAATTGTCTCGCCACGCCGAACATCTAAGACCGAATGTCAGTACTTGCTGACCGCATGTCACGTCATGTGCTTACCGAGCTCAACAGTGTCCCCCTCGGGCTTGCCTCCTTTTTTGCCGAACAACTGTGAAGACCCATCGTCATATGAGAACTCGAGGCCATCCACAGCCATGCCGTGGTACACAGTGACCCGGGATAAGGTTCTCTTGGAGTTGACAGCACTGTCGAATACGACTTCATGAGATTGGGACCCATCCATAGATGAGTGACCTAGCCTCATGCCACGGAACGCATGACCACCTCCTTCCAGCTTCACGCACGATTCCCTAGAGGCGAACTGTTTAACGTCATCAACTTCCGCGGAACCGCCAGCATGAGACTTGATCGATAACCTAATCTTGCCCTTCCTCTTGGCCTGCGGGATCTTCGCGCGCAGGTCAGCCTCAGCGATTGAGACTTGTCGACCCGCACCGTTGGTGTCTGGCCACTCAAGCCAAGTGTGACACACATCATCGCCTTCAGCATAAATTTCGATAAAGGCGACACCCGATGGTGCAACCACCAAGATATTGCCGTTCTCTGAAGGGTAGGCCTGTATACTTGCATCGGCATGTTGAGGGGGATCGTTGGGTGTTCTGAAGGCTGCATGTGCTCTGAAGCGCAACGCGTCCAATCGATGCCAATCACACTCGTCTGACACGATGCAAAGTCCGCCCTTGCACTTTGTCCGCGTCGAGTAGGCCTCGCGGGCTATGAAACTGCGGTTGAAGACGACGTAGTCTCTCAGCATGATGCCACTCTCCTGGTGGGGGCAGCCGAACAGGTGGCCCACTTCATGCAAGTGAGCACCAATTCCGATGTTTGCTGCTTCCCAGGAGCTACCAGCTTCATTGTTGTCGTTGGCGAGGTAGTTCGTGTCCGTTGGCGTGCAGTCTGTAAAAGCAGGTACCACCTCTTCGAGACTCGACGGGTAACTGTACAGGCAATGCGATCCAAAGATGGAGAGGTGCACCTCGCCAGATCCACCTCCCAGTGCTGCATGCCCAGTCAAGACCTTTTGCGAAGCATCCCAGTGCGCATCCATGAGCAGGACGGTGACATATAGATGCTGTCCGGGCCGCGGGTTGAAGTGTTGCCTGACCGCTTCCATTGCAACTCCAAACAAGCCATCTTTGTCGTTGGCAGACTTATGCTGCTGTGCCATGTTGAGATCCCGAAGCTCAGCAACAGTCTTGTCGGAGCGTATTATGTTGATTTTTGCTTCTGATCTTTGACTCCCTGTCTCGCGGTCGCGGTGATTGGCAGTCCCTGAAGTCCATTCTTCCTCGAAACGGAATGTCCTGCGCCCAAATTTGTGTCGAAGCATTTGCTCGGCGGTAAACGATTGCCACAAGTAGGCGGCCATGCGGAATTTGTTGACTGCCGTCTCTAGCCCGTTCCCTTCCTTCTCGACGCGCGCCGGATGCGTGTCAAATGTGCCCGGTGAGTCTTTCCCTAACAGGATGGCCAGGTGCAAAGGGGGCGCATTCAATGAGGGTATCATATGCAGAGTGAGATAGGAGGCGTGGATTGGGTTCGATGTAGAGGAGTTCACCACTTTCGGGCTGCTGAACTCGAGTCTGATCTTGTTTGGACCTGGGCGAAGATAGACAAGAGCTTTCCAGTGCGAGCTGCAGACTGGCCAACTGATGGGTGGGAAATCGTCATCGAGTTTCGTGACTGTAAGGTTGCCATCAAGCGAGTGCTGGTTGGGGTCGCCGATGGTCCCATGTAAGAGAATAACCTTTTGGTATACCTAAAGATGTTAGAGAAAGCTCTCATCGTGTCATGCCAGCAATGGCTCGTACAAATATCCCGTCCTGCGCGTTGTCTATTCTCGGAGCATACTGAGAAACAGGCAGGTTCGGGCGCCCGTGTATTGACGGCGCGCCCAAGCCCGACATGCCCGACACACTGTATCGATTGGTATTTGGGATGGCGGGCCTTTGAGACAAGGTGGTTTGCGATGCGTTCGGCGTGTCCTTGATCTGTAAGTCGAGAGCAGGGTCGGAGTGGTGGTTGATCGAGGCTGGAGTGACAGCACCACTAGACGCGCCACCTGTGCCCTGACTGTTCGCGCCGCCTTCGCTAGAGTCGTCGGTCGTTGAACGTTCGGTACGGAAGCTCGCCCTGGAGCGCCGTCGGAGGCTCTTAAGGAATGTTGGTGCCATTGTCGTAGCCGAAGGGTGATCTGAGAGTTACTGAATGAGCATTGATGTAGTGGTGACCGGCCTTGCAAGCTCTACTGATTACGATGGTGGGGTGACGTTGCGGCGTGATAGTGTTGAAACGACAAACGAGCGACGGCGAGTCAAAGGATCGCTAACAGTATGAACAGGATCGGTTTCGAGATTTGTACAGACAATGCCGACTGTCGCTGCGAAAAGCACGGGGTGATCGCGCTGACACGTCTCGTATCGGAAGCAGATCGGAAGGACTTGGATACGATCTTGAGCTCGACAATTGATACACAAAGGGTTCGGCAAATGCTGATTGAGAAGGTCGAGGGCTTCAAAAATAGGGAAGTTATGAGGTGCAAGAGAGATTGGAAACTTGACAACTTGGAACGGCTGGCCTTGGCCGCGTGGGACGTTCTGGAGCTGCCAGGATGGGGGTGGGTTTTCCAAGAAGTCGATCTTGATGTGGATCGCAGCTTGATGGAAGCCACGGACGGTCGCCGAATCAATTGATCAAGTGTCGATCAGACATGGACTGTTGGGTTGTGAAACTCAAGTCAGGAGCAGGAAGGCCCGAAAGGCAAAGAGAGGGATGACAGCACCCTTCGTAGTACTGCGTCGTGTTGAAGATGCTGGTTGCAGTTTCTCACTTTCTTGATGGGAATTGGGTGTTGGTCCTGGTTGGAAAGGCCTATGACGTCACAGGTTTCCGCATCGAGACTGGAGCGGTTTTCCCACGCGCAGCGTAAGACAAGTCAGTCCAGGGACTACGGATACTAAGTGAGGATACTTATTAGTTCGTTCTTCTTGAGCGGCAGATGGAGAAGATGGAGTGGATGTTTCAAAGATAAAAAAAATAGTCAGATAAACAAGACAGTGAACTATCATTAATATGGGGGAAACGTGAGAGTGATGTTGCAGGCAAGACAGCAAGAAGATCAGCATCCCCTCTTGATCGAACAAATACGATGTGACTGCACAGCCGGATGCAACCACACCTTAGCCACTGATCTTGGAATCATGTTTCTCAACGCTTGGAAGGGCGATGCGGATGTAATACAAGCAGTAGTCCAAAGCCAATCTGCGTATCCCAAGCAGTAGTAGATGCAATAATACTTCTTAGCGTACGGATACGTGTGACACCTTTGCCTTGACCTTGTCCGAAAGACGATTTTGGTTGGAGCTCGTGCTTGTACAGAGTACGAGAACCCCTTGAAATTAAATTCGACGGTCTAAAACACACATTTCGGGACAGGCACGGCATTCTATGCGTGGTCTACGTGCGAATTCCAGTTGATTGGGGTTCTCCTGCTCTGGAACTCCGCGCTTATAATTGTGATCCTGGACTCCTCAAGCGTAATAAAGCTGAAAGTTCCGAGCGCAGTAATAGTCAGGGAAAACTACTGGTACTTGTTCTGCCAGATCTCGATCGGACTTCTTCACGAATCTGGTTGCTGGAGGAGCCCCCTGGGAAACGCATCTTCCGATCAATGTTAGCCGAAATTTCGGCCATAGCGGGGCCTGCAAGCTTCCAAACTACTGTACGACCGCAAGCGTCCAATCTGCCTCGAACCTGAGCATCACGAATTCGGCAAATGTGAGCATGAGCATGGAGTGCCTACTGAGAGGTAGGGTATCAGTCTGTTGGTCATCCATTAGCTGCTTCAGCAGCAGGTCGCTGGAGTCTCATGGCTTGCGCGTGAAGTGATGTTCCATCAATGCCATTGATCAGGTTCCCTTCTTAGCTCTGAGGGGCTTGGCCACGTCAGATTCATGTGCACGGAATGTTGCAATAAAAGACCCAGGGTAGTTACATGTAAGCAGACATGACCAATAGGAAGCCAAAATTTGAAGTAATTAGTTCTCCAACTTGGAATTTTGACAGAGCACAAACCTGTGGCTGAGGAAGTTCTATTCAACAGCCTGAGCAACGATATCTACTTGTCCATCAAGATCATGGGCAAACGATGACGGGATCACAAATTCACGCTGCTGCACGCACTATATGCCCCTGCTTGGTGGTGGCCGCTTGGCGGCAGGTTGAGGCTGTGATTGGCTGAATCATTGACACAACGCCCCTGCACGGGCCTACCGCCGCCCGTCGCAGCCTGTAGCGTGCTGAAATCCGGCCCTTGGTCCAGCCACCAATCCTTCTCCATGTCCATACCAACAAGCTGAGATCTTGTATCGCAGCAACCAGCCCTCGACCACCACCTTACTTCTCCTACCAAGATTACCTGTGTCCAGCACTTCACCACATATCCTGTACGACCCCTCTTGAGTTGGATAAGGCCACGGAAACCACCGCAAAACACCACCTTCAGTCAATATCCTTTTTCCCCCGAATGATTTCTTCACTCGGTCCCATAGCCATGTCCTCGCCCTGGAAGAAACAGCCGGAGGAAGTGGTGGACTGTGTGCTCAAGCGAGCGGAAGTGAGCAAGGTAGGAGAACGGCCACTATGATGCCACAAACCCTCTGACATGTCAAGATTGCCCGTCACCTCCAGAATCGTCTCGCCCTGGCCCAATTCAAGGCCAAGCATGGCTGGGAAGATCTCACCCTCGACACTATCGAACCGAAATTTGAAGAAGAAATGCGCCGTCGTCGAGCTCTCGAACCAGATAACCATTCCGACTCGTCTTCTTCGACCGCTTCTGACATGCCGTACCCCTTTCCTGGCCGGAACAATGCACTCATGAGCTCGCCCTTGAAGGCGCCCCTCTTCTCTGATGCTGTTGGGTCCAGCGGTGGCTCCTCAGGCCATCGTAAACGCACGTACCTGGCCTCGTTCGACAACATTGCTAATGGCAATGTGTTCTCGAGCCCGAGCAAAAGGTTCAGGGCCACTCCGACCAAACACAAATCATATTCAAACGGCGAAGTCGTGGGCTGGAAGGAATCTCACCAGCTGGCACAGTCTTCTCCTATCAAGCCCCGCCGGCAACAACACTTTACGACTGCCACTGGTCCCGATGTGTCCTTCTTTCACAATCGACACCTTGCTGAGCTCACGTCGCCGAATTTTGCCGCCCCTTCGGACGATGATGACGATCTTCTCCCGGCGCATTCGTTCAACGTACGCTCCTCGCCGCCTGCGCCTCGCACACCGCCCATGAACACTCGATCCCGGCGTAACAAAGAGAACAGCAGCAAAGCGAATGGCAAGACCGGCGAGGAGGGAGCTGATCTGCTCATCTACCTCGCCAACTCACCGTCACCCGCTGTGAAAAACGGCCGCAAGCTCATGGAGCCACCATCTACCCCTCCTCAGCGAGGCAAGAATCTCGACCTGCCGTCGTCCATGATGATGACGCCAGGGGGTGGCAACCTCTTCCCCAACACACCAAGCCAAGTCTTTGACCTTGCCGATTTTGTCAACATCACCCCCAGCCCCGCGCAGAAGACGTGGAAAACGCCCGGCGGTCCTGTAGCCGCAAGAACACCCTTGAGCCAAGCAAGACGGAGGCTCACATTTGAGGAGCCTCGTGCTTGAGTGACTATTGGAACTACGTGGCGACCCACGCAGGACAATTCTCCGGCAATATTTTCTATGTACATGATACCACGCTGTCAACTTCACAATGGCCTGCGACTCGTTGGCGTTGGCCCGCCAGCATTCTCCTCATGCGCAATGGAGAATTCGTGATTTGGATTACGAAGGCCTAGCGAGCACTCGATACATGTTTAGAGTCTTCTTGTTTAGTTTTGGGACTTTTTTTGAGCAGGCGTTCTTGTATTGTGTTGTGCCCATGATGAAGTAGGATATGGAAGGGCGGACGGAAGGGCGGTGTTTCCAGTAGATCCCTGGCGGTCACGAACACACAGTTACGTAGCGTGAGCTACTCCGACGGAATCAAGACATTCTACCCGTACACGTGCATAGTATCATGTAGCTCTTGGGGAATAATGCACGCTTATGATTGTTAGAACTGTAAGCTTTCGTAATGTCTCAATACAGTGTTCAAGACTTCAACATGATCGGTTCAGTGAACGCGTTCTCGCGACTTTTTCGCGACTCGCGCTGTTAAAGTGGGCTCTTCCACCAATCAGATCAGTCTTACATCAGCCCGGGGTGATGTCACGCGCTGGTTTCGCTCCATCTTCGCGCCACCACCCTTTAGAGCGACTGCCTTAGTCTTGTCCAAATGCAATAGTTCCCATCATTCATGTTCACGTCGGCGGATCCATGATAACATAAAGTCATTGAAGCAAGTCATAGTCCCGCTATTCTCGCAAACGTAGCTAGTGAGCGTGGTATCATGTGCAACCTGGACCAAGCACCCCGTGGTATATATCTGTTGTAATGCGCACCCAAACTCCGTGCTTCCTCGTCTTTATACGGCAGTCCCCTGGATACCGTTCCCGGCTACAACGCCTCGCCAAACCGCGAAACCCTCGCGCCATTTTGGTAATCCGACTGGCTATAGTTACTGAGACTGCTCACTTGCGAGGTGTAGCTCTCGTGGCGTTGCAATCGTGGCACAGGAGGGATCGAAGCCGCGGGCGGACACGCGATTTCCAAATCGAACTGATCCGACCGGACATTGGTTCGTCCTGGCGTTGCGGCAGTCGGTCGCGTCTTGATGGGAGGCGATGCGCCCGGCTGGACAGGCTGCACAGAAGTCTGGCGCATGCTTCCAGTCGTGGAACCACGTGGTCGAGCGGTTCTCGGGTCCCAAGTAGGGAGGAGAGACAGACGTGGGCTCTTTGGAATCGCTTGTGAGTCATGAAAGGGATCAGCAGGTTGCCGGCTCGAGGTCGCGATAGCATTGGTGTCCGCAAAGGGGTCGCTAAGCTGGGGCACCGCGTTGCCGTTCGTGAGTGATGGGCCAGTACTTGTGTTGCCAGCCATCAGACTGGCGTTGTACACTGGTAGCGAGCCTGGATCCGAGGGCCAAGTAGTATCTTGGCCGTTCCTGGCAGGATGGCCGTTTACGCCAATGGGTACTGCTGACAAGGCTCGCGATCTGCGCTGCCCATCTGTCGAAAATTGGGAATTGCCACGACTCAGATCGACCCGCGAGCTCATATCCGAGGTCGTAGTCGGCTTGAACATGTTGGCCACAGCTTCGGTCAAGCGTGCTGAGCGAGGTATCGGGTCCAGTGTGGGCGGTTGCTCGACCATAGGCGTCTTGATCACGTACTGATACTTGCGATCGCGTTTTCGTTTTCGCATGTACCAGATGAGGAACGCGATGAGTGCAAAAAGGATGGCACTGCCAATGACGCTGCCCACAATGATGCCAGCCTTTTGGGGACCTGAGAGTCCATTATTTCCTCCAGCTGACCCTGCCAGCTCTCGATCTGTGCTGCCGCCATCGTCTCCGCCGGAGAAAATGTCTGTCGGTGAAGATAGCACGGCCGTTCCTGTCCGCGTTATCCCGGGGCTGCCTCCCTTCCCTGGTTCGCCATTGTCAGCTGCTGGTTGGGTCTCCTTTTCTCGTTCCGAAGTGTTCGGTTCAGGTTCAGTGCCACCAGTCTCATTTTCGTCACTGACATCAGCAGGTGGTGCGGCGTCTTCTTGATTTTGATCATTCCTGCCCGCAGTGTCGCCGTTGTCCCCCTTCCTTTGGTCTCCCGGACCGTTGTCGCTGTTTCCTTGGCCTCCGCCTTGATCGGTCCCTGGAGCAGGCGCCTTGGGGGGCTCGATGGGGCCTTCTTTCGATAGATCACCGCCCTCAGTAGCTGCGCCAGTTGAGACTACGGGCGGCAATTCGACAGTGTTGGTCGGGCCGTCGTCGGTTCTGGTGAAGGTACCGCCACCATCACTTTTAGGCTCAGGCGTAGATGAAGGCTCTGGTCTGCTTAGAATGCCTGTCTTGGAGATACTCTCAGTTGACGATGCCAGGTTCCCGGCCTGAGTGGTCTCTGTGACCTCGTCATTGACGCGTATTGGCGCTGAAGTCTCCTGAGGGTTGACATCCTCTTCAGAAGCTTCAGTGGAAGCAACAAGCCCTGCATTGCTCCCGTCCGGGCTGCCAGTGGAGAGTTGTAGCCCTGCGAGTCCAGGGGTCTTGGGAGTTGGTTCAACGGATACCGCAGTTTGAGTCGGTGCTGAACCCGATGATGAACCCGGCGATATCTGAGGGATCTGCTCTGCAGTCTCTCTGGGCCCATCGGTGGACGGTTCATCAGATGTTTCGAGCACAGTCGTCTCGTCGGTTGCGGAGGCAATGGACGTTTCACTGATGACAGTTGGCAGGACAGTTGGCGTCAATGTGGCGTCCACGTCGTCTTCCACGAGGCTGCTTGTATTGCTTCGGAGGCATATGCGTTTTGGGGAGTAGCTCCGTGAAATAGATGCCATCGCAATGAGGGTCTTGCCTGATTAGAATTGTCTTCCCAAGAGGGCCTGAAAACAGCCTTGATGAAGCCCTGGCCTGCATGGGTTACTGCTCGAATCGCACTCTGCCGCAAGAATTCGAGAACGGCGTGAATTCGATTGTACGTATCTGGCAGAAAAAAGACTAGACAAAGGGAATGTGGTATTGAAAGAAAAAAAAAACAAAGAATGAGATGAGAAGTTCGGAATTGGACGTGGTCAGGTCGATGCCATCGCACAGAGTTGCCAGAGCTCTGCTAGGCATCTGGGTAACCTTGTCAAACTCATTTGGTTCCGGCCAAGAGTATTTGCCGCAAGGAGGAAAGCATCGAACATGATGATACGGCTTCGCTTGCGTCCGAGTCAGACGCCTACCGCACGAAGTTCTGGATGGCACGTCCCAGGAGGTGTAACAGGACCCAGGGGTCAGAGGACCCCTGTCTTGCGACAGACCTGAAGCACAACAGAGCTCAGAAGCTCCGAGCGGTACGCATCTGGTCAATAGTATCGAAAAGCCATGAAGGTGTTCTGCAAATATCAATAAATATTACCATGCCATAGCGACCGTATCCGGCCGCATTAAGTTGGGGAAAAGAACTATTGATTATCAGCATTAGATGCGCGCCACCGCATCCACCTTCAACAATCCTTCCGGTCCAGTCTTCCATGCGTAAGATGACCTCCAATATCGACTGTTGAATCTATGCGATCAAGTATTAAAGACCGAATTGAGGAATGTGTGCGCCTTGCGAGCGAGCCAGCAGTGGAGAGATCTCTAACAACATTGCGCAGCTGAAATCGTGATGAGGGGTGAGTTGTGAGTCCATGATACCCTAGGGATTGAAGTTGACGGTGAGCATTGAGGCCCATCGATCATGAGAGCGGCCTTATCCGTTGCGCTAGGAAGATACGGTCCGCTCGGAAGTTTCGAAACTACCTTACCTTGCTTTTCTGCACCATTCTAATGATCATGCCCCTGTATCTCGTGATCAGGAGTCTGAAAGATTTGGAGAAAATGCGACCACGCGAAACATGGTTCGGTCTTGATGGCTTGCTGGGCAAGCCATACACCATGGCTTTTGATCAATGTAGTTAGTTCCAGGACGTTGTCTAAAAATGAGCTTAATGTGACTTCCCCGAACCGCGGGTTTATTACAGAGTAATTATTCTCTTGACTGACGCCAGCGTGGCAGCGTGAGGTTGTCTACCTGGTATCAACAAGACGGTGAGCAACCAAGCAAATACACAGTGTCAGTACAGTGTCGCACTAAGGAAAGGCCGCTCTTTTCCAGTTTCCACGGCCAGCTTCGATCAATCCAAGACTCCAGATCATTTCTCAGCGGTGTGGCGGCGCCATCAATTCGACGAGCTCACGTGTTGGCGCCCCTTTGCAGCATCCAAGTCGCAAGCCGGGTTCAACAGATCTGGTGGCAGCGCACTGCAACGGATGCATTGCGGTGACTGCTCTATGCCGTAAGCGTGGACAGCTCCTGGAAGCTCTCGTTACTTTTCATCCATGCGACTTGCTTGGACCACGCGCCCACATCCTTCAAAGTGCACCTTAGAGAGCCTCCAGTAATTTATCCAGGTCAGTTGGGCAATATTAATCAGCTCTATCCTACGTTACCTGCATGGCCATATCGAAGGGATTCTCACGGCGCACGAGTCTGTTATATCACGTGCCCTCTATCAACAGCTTGTCAGTCGGACCGTGAAACTCGAAATCGACGTCAGGGGGGTCCATGCGCAGCGACCCTTGCCCATGGTCAGCTTTCTGGAAGAAGCCTCTTGCTCTGGACACAGCCTACTGAGCACGTGTCGGCGAAGATCATAAATCACGGCGTGAGTCGCGACGGAGGCACCAAATCTTCGAAGCGTCACGTGCGATGTTTGGGAACGTAGCCGTTGGTATGTCGCTGTATACCTACTCACTCTTCTGCACACCCACTCGCGGCGTGCCTTGCTGACACCATCAGGAGCTGCATCCACTGCCAAGGTTGTCAATGTTAAGGATGTACCAGAAGCAACGCCAGTTACCATTCCGAGATACCAGCCTTTTGCGCAGCATGATGGGGTCGTCGACACGGGCACTTCTCTGCCTTCACTCTTGAGGCACACTGGGCGTTCCGACACTTCCATACTTGGCGTCAAAGGCCTGTCTGCCCTTGGCACCAACCTTACTCTGGATGCTACCACGGACCAACTGGTCCCAGATCCGTCCTTCATCCCAGATTTCAGCGGCTGGGATCAGCTTTCGCCTGAAGAAGCACAAACAAGGCATCAATCCACACGATGCCAGCTCAGAAATGGTAATCTTTCTCCCGGTTGCCAGACCTATCAAGAGCGGATCAAAGAGCTGTCCCACTCCAACGAGGAAGCTTTCCGGACCGTTCGTCGCATTCCTCCTCCCAAAGGCCAGCAACATGCTCGTCTAGGTAACGCCTATGAGTTCTTCAGATGCCTTGAAATGTTCACTAGTTTCTGGGACGATACGTCAAACCCCCCGGAGCTGCCTCCGTCCCCAGAGGCTACCCAGTCCGTACCAGCCGGCACAGCGGACAGCAGGACAGTTCGGACAGCCGAGGGGACTGCAATGCCCACAGATTACCGACAGAAGCTGACGACGGCGTTTCTGAAAATGGTGTGCTACGATTTCGGGTGCAACGTGGCGTTTGCTCGCACGGAACCGCGATTGCATCTGAGCACGCCCGAGGGCACCGAATCACCTCGCAAATCATACCTCGTATCAACCTGCAGCTTCATCTTCCAGTCGCCCAAGACGCGTGAGGCGTCCCGCGCGGGCCTTGTCTACGGCCCAGTAGCTGCAGTGAGCGCCAGGGTGACGACCAACTTCACCACGCCCGACATGGAGACAGCTCAAGCACTAGATTTGTCCAAGGAAATCTGCGCCGCTCTCATCACAGCACAACATCGCGCTCGGGAAGGGAAAGAAGAAGTCCGATTCGGCGAGGGCCAATGGTGGACGCAAAAACCTCGCTGGGGAGGTGGTGCTGGCGGTCCCATTGGCCGCGAAATTGAGCGGGAAGCAAAAGAAGATGCTGCCAGGCCCAACGATCCTGACGGACTGCCTTTGGCCAAAAAGCCTCGCAAGAACATGATCATGTATGACAAATATCGCATGGTGCGCCCTCCAGCCTACACTTGGGACAAGAAAGCGCGCTATGAGGCCATCGGCAAGGTGCCTGGGTCGACGTTCGATGATGTGTTCGTCGTCAGCTGCCTGTTTCACCACATCTCCATTCTCCGCGTCCGAGTACCCCTGAGGCTGCTGGACGTGCTCGAGGGTGCCCCGGAGCAAGACCCTGCGGTCCGGAGCTGGGGCAATGTTCAGGCTTGGAGAAGCCCGTGGTACGACATGTTCGAGACGGAAGGCCGTATCGAGGCCATGAAGACATTCTGGGCAGTCATGGCTTACCAGATGCGAGAATGCGCCGTCGACCAAGATGTTGCGATGAAGGACGCTGATATTCCTCAGCCGCCCGATGATCGGCAATAACGCACTTGGTCACTACGACGCTGAATTTGGCTCTGATAAGACGACGGGATCGTACTATAGCCTGGGGTACAGCACGTACGGTAGTATCCTGAATCCTTGATACAGCCTCGTCGTCCTTGTCCGCGGATAGCAGATGGGATTTGGACCAGCTGTTCCGATTCGTCGATATGTAGCATGCCAAGGGCGTGAGCATAGACATTGTTGTGGAGATGCCTCGCATCGATCATCACTTGAATCCTAGCAAAGCTGAGGTCTCCCGCTTCTTGTTCTCCATCGCACAGCTGCACAGGGATCAGATCTAAGTTTGGAAACGTCGATCCGGGACGTCGGGACTAAATAGCTACTATGCACAGAGTCGTACCTCGGTACGTTAAACTAAAGGATATGGCTTGACGCAGACTTAGCGCGAGGCAGTTGCACAAGCATGTCTGAGTTGAACGACATGTAGGTGGGGGCACCCGGCGATCAAAGTGGTCAATGGTTGGACATGAATCTACATTGCTTCGACGGATACCCTTGCGCTGCTGAAAACAACATTCCCACCCAACGTGCAGGATCGGACAGCTCGTGCTGAGTGGAAACCAATAACTAGCATCGTGGCGAAGCATATTTGGGGCTTCTACGGAATACGGAGTACGGATGCGCACGCTTCTGCAAGGGCGGTGACGCAGGTCGCCGAGCGGACAGACTATGGCTTGACGTCGCACAAATGGCAGTGCGTGCAAACAATGAATGATGTTGTGGGTGCAGAGGTTTCGTTAAGTCCGTAATTGAGGTTGGTTATCTCTCTTTAAACGCAGTGGCCTGCTGTCGCACGTAATGAGTTGGCAGATGAAGGTGAATTGATTGGCCTGACGTTCACATTCAGCTCTCGGTTCTCCCGTCGCCTTGCCTATTCGGGCGCATATGTATCTGCCTTTTGAGATTGAACTGGCATCATCTCCCGAGACCTTTACACAATTGATGCTATGCTGATTCTCTGTGCTTTCATCAGGGGTGGATTAGGCACGAAGTACTGCTCACAGTGCATGTCAGATTGTTGTGTTCTGCATCGTGTGTCAATTAATTACTGCTCATCACTGCCTCAACTCCATAGCTGAGGGCTCGGTGTTGCCGTCTCCAATATATGCACAGAGCCCCGAAAGTTTGGAAAGCAACACCGCAACACCCTATGCGCATCATATGGGCTCGCTCTGTTTTTGGAAGTCAAGCTACGAATGCTTTGCATCAGCGCCATGATTGTCTCTACATTCTGTCTGCAAGCTAGACTAATGGACGCTGTCTCACAGTAAATTGTACACCTGCATGACGGTGTGGGGTGTAATGAGCGTTGACGTGAGAGTAACAATAGCCGCCTGGATGTGAAGGCTTCGATGCGAGCAGCCTCGGGCGACGCTGTCCATTAATATTGGCTTGCAATTCTTTCTTAGAGCACAATGAGCAATTGGGAAAGACATCTCACAATCTACCGGGGGACTTGCTGGACATTGCATTCCTATGGGCAAGAGCTGCCGGGCCCCGCCTGGCGCCGATGCGGATTGATGATGTACGTGATGTGATATGATGTACGCGTAACTGCAATTGACAAATGACAGCATGGGACTGGCGTCTTAACGACTGGACTGACGACAGCGACAGTGTGCACTGTGGATGGGGAAAGTGCCCCGTGAGTGTCGTAAGTGAGGTACTAGTACTACCAGGTACACTACTGCCTGGGTCCTGTAGCAGGCGGCATGACTGCCGCGTTTGGCCATCGAGGTCTCTAGAATTAATTACTACCACCTGAGCAGAGTGTTTCTTCTGCTCGCCGTAATGTAATTATGCCCATCTTGCGAGACGCGATCCCAGCTTCGGTGAATAAACGCCCACGTCCTGGCTGAATCCTTGTCGCGCGGCTACTTTTGTGCCCCCTAGGCCCCTACGGAGTCCGCGCGCCGGGCAGCACCGCTGGAACATGGTGGCGGTGGGTGGTGGCCAACGACATGGAGACCTGCGCGGCCTTGCGACCACAGCGACCCGACGCACGCATACTCCACCACCTCATCGTCGACAAAGCACACGCCCCGCTGCAGGCTGGGACAAGCCCGCCCAAGCCTCCGCCTCTCCATGTCCTCTGAGAAACTGTCCGCGAAATCATTCCCTAGCGCATGACAGAGAGGGAGTCCCAGCCCTGTGCGCGACAGACCCTCGGATTGTAGCCGCAAGCACATTCTGACGTCGAGTCTAGACCTCCACAGCTGGGCAGCGATCATCCCAACCCTGCCTCACTTACTTCGCCTACACTTGAGCGCGCTTACGGGCTGTCTCTCCGCCATCCCATACATCCTATAAAGAACCCTCCTCGGCATCAACCTCCAATTTTGCCATCGAGCCGTCCACATAGGACTCGCACCCACCCTCTGCCCGATTTGGCCTGGGTAGTCGGTCCATCCAGAAGCCACGCCGCAGCCTTGTCCGGCGCATCCTCAACCAGCACGAGTACGATCCCGGTCCGCGCTCTGCAACAGCGTCGCGAGTACACAGTTGGTCCTGGCTAGTTCTACGAACGACCTCGCGAACCGGCTGTATACTACAACAATCGCAACAGCCTCTCATGTCAGGCTACCCAGGCTACAATGCTGGGGGGTACGGCGGCCCGCCTCAGCAGCCTCAATATAGCCAACAACAAGGAGGCTATTATCCGTACGCAGTCCCAAATCCTGGGTCTTTTTGTCAGAGCATGCTAACCTCCGCTCAGACCTCCCCAGCCGAGCTACAACAACTACCCTCAGGCCCCTCCTCAACAGCCGCCGCCTCAAGGCTACCCATACCAGCAGCCGCCACCGCAGCAACCCTACGGATATTCGGTACGCTCCTCGATCACAAGTATACGCCTGTTTGAGCCCAGTGGCTGATCCATGGTGTAGCAGCAGCAGCCGCAACAGCAGCAATACGCCCAATACCAACAGCAGCCGCCAGGACCCAAATACAACACCAGACCTCGTAAGCCTAGCTCGAGCTGCCCAATTCCATGCTGCATGATGCTGACATGTACTTCCCAGAGTCCGCGCAAGTACAGCCTGGGGCATACGGTCGCCCTGGCGCGCCTCCCGCGCCGCCCACTCAGCCTCAGCATTTTGGTCAAGGGGCCCCTCAGAACTATGCCTTCCGATACTCAAACTGCACCGGTCGCAGAAAGGCTTTGCTGATTGGTATCAACTACTTTGGCCAGCGAGGACAGCTGCGAGGCTGTATCAACGATGTCCGCAACATGACTGCGTACCTCGTCGAGCATTTCGGCTACCGAAGGGAAGACATGGTCATCCTCACAGATGATCAACAGAACCAGATGAGCCAGCCGACCAAGCAAAACATCCTGAGAGCCATGCACTGGCTCGTCAAGAATGCGCAATCCAACGATTCGCTATTCTTCCATTATTCCGGTAAGTAATGCTCTTTGGGGCATGGCAGTACCGGGAGATCTAACATGTGTAGGCCACGGAGGGCAAACACGAGACCTGGATGGCGATGAACCAGACGGTTACGATGAGGTCATTTACCCTGTGGACTTCCGCCACAATGGTCACATTACCGACGATGAAATGCACAGGATCATGGTCCGACCCTTACAGCCGGGGGTCAGGTTGACAGCCATCTTCGACTCGTGTCACTCTGGCACAGCCCTCGATTTACCGTACATCTACTCCACGCAAGGTGTCCTCAAGGAGCCCAACTTGGCCAAGGAAGCTGGCCAAGGACTCTTGGGCGTCCTGTCATCTTACAGTCAAGGTGACCTGAGCGGGGTCGCCAGTAACATCATGGGATTCATCAAGAAGGCCACCAGCGGCGAGGAAGCGCACACGAGAGCACTCGCTACGAAAACATCGCCGGCCGATGTGGTCATGCTGTCGGGCAGCAAAGACGACCAGACATCGTGGGTCTACCCTCTTCCCCCGTACATTGACACAATTTCCCTCCCTTGTGACTTCCCTCCTCAATACCCATACCCTGCGACGCCTTACAATTTCTTTCCACTGTACCCTTGAAATCATGTTTCGCACGTATCTGCCCCAGCAGGCCTGGCGCAGTTGTTTGGATACGGAAGACATCCCGGCCGATGGACCGTCGATCACAACTAGATAGCTATTGTTCTTTCACCTGCCTTGCGCGTCGGGTTTGCAGCCACCACGGCTGTGTCCTGACGTCCAAGGCGACGGGCTACGTTGGGACCATGCCACCGTCCACTCGACTTTAGAGAATCGTTGCTAATCTGCTGCATAGTGCCGACGCTACCATTGCTTCCCAGGCCACCGGGGCCATGTCATGGGCTTTCGTCACTGCTCTCCGCAAGAATCCCCAGCAAAGCTACGTTCAGCTCCTCAACAGCATTCGTGATGAGTTGGCGACAAAATACACCCAGAAGCCCCAACTCTCCTGCAGCCACCCTCTTGGTAAGTCAATGTTCATGCAAGTCATCGAGTATTTCCTAATGAGCACAGATACCAACCTGCTGTTTGTAATGTGATTTGGCGTTTGTAATTCACCCTGTGGTACATAAAGAGTCCGCATATGCGCTCCCGGCGATGGATGGACAGACCGAGAACTGGGTAGGCACTTTGTGAGCTGTCTCAATTCAAAGTGACAGGAGTATTGGAGAAATCAATGTAATGCTATTCACAGTTTCAAAAGGCTGCACAACGCTCGCCAGCGCTGATTCCAAGACCCAAAATCACCCCTGATACTCCATCCCTTCCAAACGCCGCGTGGAAAACGAGAGCCGTACACAGTCATCCCAAAGTCGTATCACTCAAAAGACAGGTTCTTCCTCCACGCGTACCACTTTGAGCTGCCGCCTCACTTTGCTCTTCTTCTGCTCCTCTGTCGCAGCAATGAGCTTCGCCCGCACCTTTTCCTGTTGAGACCAATTCTTGGCCGATATGCGCATCCGGGCGACAAACCGCGCCATGACCAAGAACGACTTGAGCGTTGGCCGCGTCTTCTCCTGGTTCTTCTTGAGATGAGAAGGCAGCGCAAGAGGTTGCCGGTTGCCGAGCAGGTTGGTGCGAAGATGCTCCAGGTCCCGAAGTTGCGCTTTGTTGCTGTAATGCTGTTAGCCATCTGACTTCCCGTGCAAGTTGTCCACGACAAGGAGGGTACATACCATGCATTGGCAATGTCAAGCTGAAGCTGAATGAACCGCTTCGCATATGCCGCATCACAGCGCAATGACGCCTCTCTCTCCCAGCGAGCTTGCATCCATTCCATCTGCATAACGAGCCCCCTGAGTTCCTTTTGGTGCCTATCCTCGGCACTCTCAGCTGCACGGACGAGAGTGGACATGGCTTCATCTGAAGCATGGGCTCCCTTGGCGGGCACGAGTGCCATGTCGTCGGCCTTGTGTGACCGCTGCGCATCTCGCTGGAGCTTTTCGGCGCTCATACGGTAGGCAGCTCGCTCACTCCTTGCACGCTCGAGTTTACGACGCAATGAAGCCTCTGCGGCAACGAGGTTGTCAATCGTCCGTTGTTGCTGCTGGACGTCGTGCTCCAAGTTGGCCGTCTCGGCCACGCTCTGCTTGTAAGTAGCGTGCTCAGAACGCATGCGCTCCAGCTTGCGGCGCAGAGAGCTCTCCGACGCAGTCAGTGCATGGATGACCTCCTGCTGTTGCTGGTACGCGTCATTCTCAAGATGCTCGGCTTCCGCAGCAGTCTTGCGGTATGCTGCGTGCTCGGCGCGAGCTCGCTTGAGTTGCTGGCGGAGATTTGCTTCAGAGGCAATGAGAGCATCAATCATCTCCTGTTGCCGCTGTGCATCACTTTCCAGATTCTCCTGCTCCAGCGCCTGTTGGCGATAGCTCGAGTGCTCATTGCGGGCTTTCTCGAGCTGCGTCCTGAGTGCGGCTTCTGAAGAGAGGAGTTTGTTGATTGTCTCCTGTTGCTGATGCGCCCTGTTCTCAAGATCCTCGACTTCTTGGCGTGATTCGTCGAGCATTTCCTCGAGCAACACCTTTTGGTCTTCGAGATCCTCGAGCGATGCCTTGGCCTCGTGCAACTCCTTACTCTGTCGGGGCGATGGAGGGCCACTTTGGCTCACGCTCTTGATTTGTTGCTCCAGGTCCCTCACCTTGGTCTCTGCCTTGTCAAGCTTACTCCGTAGCTCACTCAAGGCATCGTCCTTCTCCCCCATGAGTCGAGTCTTTTCCCTGAGCTTTGCGTTCAGCTCATCAACCTTGTCTTGAAGCTCCTCGACCCGTCCCTGGACCATGCTTTTGTCCTTTGATGCAGACAGGCGGTTGCGTAGGCTCTCGAGGATTTCCTCCTTCTCAAGCAAGGTCCTGTCCTTCCTCCTCAGCTCAAGCTCAAGACCCTTAATGTTCTCTTCCAATTCGTCAAAGCGACCCTGGCCCTTGATCTTCTCCTTGGCTGCTGCAAGTTTGGCTTGTGTTTCCGCTAGGATCTCTTCCTTGTCAGCTATGATGCGATCTTTTGCACGTAGCTTGGCCTCAAGATCGCGGATGCCATCCTGCAGACCCTCCGCCTCGTCCCCAGCAGCAGCCAACTTGTTGCTGATCTTCTTCAGGTCATCGGTCTTCTCGTTCAATGCCCGATCTTTTCTCCTGAGCTCGGCTTCTAGATCGGACACTTCCTGTTGCAGCTTCTCGAGGTGTTCGTGATTATCGGCTTTTGACGTAGCAAGGCTGAGTTCCGCACGCAGGCTGTCCAGACTTCGCTCCAGCTGTTGAATGGATCGGTCTTTCCTCTGCAATTCTGTCTCCAAGTCCTCGATGTCATTCTCAAGCTTCACAATGTGTTCGCGGTTAGCTGCGTCAGCTGTGGCGACCCGCAGCTCCTCCCGCAAGCGGCTGACGAGAGTTTCCTTGTCTTTTAGCGACTGGTCCTTCGCCTGCAACTCGGTCTCCAGCTCTTCAACAGCGCGGTGAAGATCCTCCAACTCTTCGTGGTTGTTTGCTTGGAGCCTTGCGTTCCTCAGCTCAGCGCGGAGCTGCTCCAGTTTGTAGTCCTTCTCGTTGAGGGCTAGGTCTCTCTCCTTGAGCTCAGCCTCGAGTTCCTCAACATTGTCTTGAAGCTTCTCCAACTCATCACTGGCGGTTGCGTCAAGTCTGGCTTTCTTCAGCTCATCCCGAAGATCCTCAGCTGCCTCTTCATTCTCGGTTGCGATGCGTTCCTTGTCTCGTAGCTCCGCTTCGAGATCTTGGATCTCTTCTTGCAGTTTTTCAAGGGCGTATTGTCGATCGGCCGATTGGGATTCGGCATCCTCGAGCTTCGGCCTCAAATCCTTCAACGCGGCATCCCTCTCCTGCAGGCGGGTACTCGTTTCACGCAGAGTGGTCTTGAGCTCGGTGATTTCATCCTGAAACTTGTCGAATCGACCTCGGTCCTGTAGCTGGTCTTCAGCCGCCGCCAGTCGATCTTTAAGGTCGTCGAAAGCATCACTCTTCTCGTCGAGTAAGCGCTCCTTCTCGCCCAGTTCTGCTTGTAGGTCCGCAATGTCGTCTTGGAGCTTCTCTAGCTCTTCGTTGTTTGTCGCTTGTTTCTGCGCATCACGCAACTGCTCTTCCACTTCTTCTGCTCGTTCTTTCTCGTTCGCTAGCTGCTCCTTCAATTCAACCACTTGTTCGTTGAGATCTTCCAGAGCGTCGTCGCGTTCGCTGATAAATCGGTCCTTCTCCCGCACGTCGGCCTCGAGGTCGGCAATGTCGTCCTGTAACTTTTCGACCTGTTCCGACCCCTTTTGTCCTTCGTTGAGCTTGTTCCGAAGGTCTTCAATCTTGGCTTCCCTCTGCTCCATTGTCTGGCGAAGTTGCTCCATTTCTGCACGCAGGTTCTCGTCGGCATACTTGCGCTTGGCTTTCTCGTGTAGCGCGAGCATTTGCTGCCGATAGTCTTCCAAATCCTTCTCCGCATTGCTAAGATGCTTCTTGTACTTATGCAGCTCCCTTTGCATGGTGACCTTGTCGACTTTCAGTTCCGTGTTCTCCTTTAGGGCAGCTTCACTGAAGCCGGGGCCAGCCTTGCGCAGCGCTTCCTCGAGGAAATGGATCTTGAGCTTGAGTCCAAAGTTCTCCTTCTCGATCCTATCGATCACGTTCTCCTGCTCGCGCAGTGAAAGAGCATTTCCGTCTTGCAATGGTCCCTTGTCGGCGCCACCTCGCCGCCGAGGAATGGCTACTGGTGTCGAAGCAGGACTGCTGGTGGCTACTTGTGGGAGTGTCTGATCCATGTATGACTCGTTGCGCGAGCCTGTGTACATGGAGGCGTCCATTGGGGGAAGGGCGGTCACGTCTGCTTCGTCTATGCGATTCAGGGCCGGCGTATTGGGAACAGCACGGCCGTTTTCCTTGCCTCTCATTACGCTGTTCCGTGTCGCAGACTTGAGCAGAGGCGTGAACTCGGCGCCACCTATACTCTGCGGCATGTTGAATTTGTCGGAGAGGGGCCCTCGCTGTCGTGGCGTTCGCAGGTTGACCGCGCTGGTACGCCCGTTGCGCATCTGCTGCAGAAGGTTGCCATCTTTCGCAGGCGACACGAAAGAGGCCTCTTGGGATATATCGGCAAAGTCAGGTCGCTGCGAGAGGTATGTTGCATCTCCTATGTTGGTTCGCGGTGTGTCAAGGGCACCGCCCGTTCCCGGGTGTGGCATGCTGCGTCCTAGACGTGCGAGTAGTTGTCGATCAGATAGTTCTCGTGGCAAGGCGAATTCGCTATTGCACCGTCGTGAATATCGTGCATCCCTTGTCGTGGCTGTCGAAGAGTGGCTCGTTTATGTTAAGATACTGACAAATGGGTCGAGAATAAAAATCATGCTAGACCATGAGCGACGGCGAAGAAAAAGGGTATCGCGGAATTTGTTAGACAATGAGAACCTAAGCGCAAGGAGCACATGCTTTGGAATTGGACATGGCATTTCGTGATGGAGCGCGTCAGATTGTTTACATGGTTTCCCTTTTTGGACTAGTGGGCCCAGCGCGACGCTAGTCAGATTGTGCACACAAGGTTGCCCCTCCATTTCCATAATCGGGTCATGCATTAATATTATGTCAATCCACCGATGACCTTGAGATGACATTTGGAATTATTCTCATCTTCGTTCAACACGGCACTCTATCTTTGTGACATGTTAGCGAATTAGTCAGCTGCTCAATCACGCTTGCATGCCGTCGAATTGCTCTCATTCTATCCCTCATTCATGTCGCCTCGGGTACGATGACGCTCAACCAGCTACCCGACGAGGTCTTGCAACAAGTACTCCATTACGGCTCGCCCGAGGACACCCTCTTCAATTTGAGGCCTTTGAGTCGGCGCTTTAGGCTCTTGACGCATGAGCCACTGTTGTGGAGGCACTATTGTGCGACGAGCTTCAGGCATTGGAGTGAACACCACGCCTTTCACAGGAAACTGCCACAGCCTGCATCCTCTGTGGACTGGGAAGCTTTGTTTGTCCTGCGCAAGAAGCAGAACATCCAGGTGACGGGCTGGTTTGAGCACATATTGCAGACGTCCCAGGGTCGTTATGAGCGGTACGGCCTGATAGGTGCTCTTGGGTACGATGCCAAAGATGTTCTATTAGAACAGTATGCATGCGAAGACGAAGTAGACGATCATCTGGCTCGCAGATACTATGCAGAATCTCTGATCCGCGCCATTCACCGCAACATCGCCATCGAGCAGTGGCGCATGCTTGCGAACCCGCGTGAACCTGACCCGCCCCTTGAGAAGGTGTTTGGCGCCTTTGATATGTTCGTCCTTGGCGCGGAGTATGGCGACCTCGATGATGTGAGTTGCACGATGGCTGGGTAGCGTAGTAATTACTAATGGTTATTAGATCTCAGACATGCTCGATCATCATGCGCACAGCTTCCGAGAGGCTCACCCTGGGCTGGCTGGTATGACGGCCAGGTCCAGAGCTCTGGCCCTGGTTCGTTGGGTCCGATCTGAGAACTTGGTCGGCATGGATGACCAGCTTCACAACTATCGCAACTTGCGGAATTGCCTTCTAGGTCAGGCTTTGCGACATGAGGAACACGAGTCTCTTCCTCTGATATCGAGCGTCATATACTGTTGTCTGGCCCGAAGAATCGGGCTGGATGCGCAGTCATGCAACTTTCCCGGTCATATATTCACGGTTGTCTCGGCAGCTCAGGGGTGTTCGCTCAACAGCCCGCCACATGGGGCTGGAGGAAGTGATGAGGAATGGCAGGAGCACATGTATCTTGATCCGTTCGGTGCCGATGAGGAAGTGTCGGTAGAGTATCTCAAAAGCAGATTGGCGTCCATGGGCGAAACGCAGGGAACCGATGCCTATCTTGCGCCCATGCATGTCAAACCCTTGCTCAACCGACTTGGACACAACATCAGCGCTACATTCCGCATCGCGACAGCTCATCAAAGCCCCCAGACCCCTTTGATCAGTACTCTCATACGGAGCAATCACCTGTCCAACGTCAGCACCTGTCTCTACGCTACCATGTGGTCAGCCCTCATTGTTACGCCATCCATATCCTGGGGCGAGCTAGACTTCTTCTTGGGTCAATTCGCCAGCTCATGGCCGGAGGACGTTTGGCTGGTGCGAAAATACCTACGTCAAGGGCATCACAGTAGGGCGACAACGGACGGAAGCTGGGAAATCCTCAACGAGATCGACGCCCGTGATCAGGCACAGCCCAAGCCCAGAAGTCTGAGGAACCACGCTGAGCGGCAAGTTCAGGGCATCTACCCGAGATACCACGTCGGCGAAGTATTTACCCATCGGAGATACGGGTACATCTGCGTCATTACTGGCTGGAGTGATCTACTCAGCCGACGCCAAGCAGCGTCCGAAAGGCTGGGCGACCGCGGGCACGTTGGCGATATTAACCACATACGATTCAACGACGACCATACATATTACACATATATGTGAGGTCTAGCCCCAGTATGCTAGAGGAACTTGCTAACGTGGATAGACGGTTGGATTCTGAGGATCGCCACATTATCCAAGAGGAGAACATCATGTTGATCTCGAATTCGGCAAAGTTGAAAGGCGTAGACCTTCAAAAAGCAGGCAAATTCTTCAAGCGCTTCGATGAGAGGGCATGCAGGTTCGTATCGAATGTTCGGGAGCTTTTCCCCGATGATTGAGCCTTGTATACAAGCCCCCTTATCATAGCTTTGAGACCTGATCAAGCCTCATGAGGATACCATGCCCTCCAGAACTCCTTTCTCTGCTAGTTTCGTGACCCATCTGTGGAGCGTAGGCCCGTAGTTTTTCCTCCGTCCCTTGACGCGCTGCTCATCCTCTGCCATCGACAGAAGCTCCGCCCGATACTCGCCAACAGTGGCTTTCGTCTCCTTGACGATCTCTTCGTACAGTAGCTGCGCCTCGTCATCTGTTGCTACTTTCTCCAGGCGGTTATGAATAGTTTGCGGTACGGATGCTCTCTCCACTGTGTCCGCGTCAAGCCGGAGATCCGCGAGGAAAGACGGCAGCTCCTCCTCAGAAACCAACGTGGAGAGAGGTTGCCATGTTGCATGTCGCGAGCGAGCTGTGGTCTCAATCGCTTGCAGTGATGCGAGCCCCTCGGCTACTCGTGCGCCGTATAAAGTCAAAGGGTTCTGGCATAGCGCTTGGAGGCTGAACTGGAGTTGGCTGTCCTCATACTGAAGCATGCGAGCTTCGATTTCGGGGCGTGCAACTGTTGTCCAGTCGTCTGAATCCACAGGCCCTTGTTTAGGTTAGCTTTCATAGAGCGGATATGGAGAGGAAAGTCGTTACCCAGTTTGCGAGGTTTTGTCTGTAGCCCATCTAGTTCCCAGACGTGTCCTTGCCATGGCACATATGCGACGAAGTGGAAAGCGTAGTCATCCAGATTTTTGAGCTTCCGTTTCTTGGGCGCTGCCTTTGTCCGTGACTTCTTCGTCTTGGACGCTCTTGACTCATTCTCCAAGGACAGGTCTGCATTCAGATGGTCCATGCGGCGGGAGAAAGAGTTATGCGTACTCCGAATGAACTTGTTGGAACTGAGGCGATGACCACGCAGAGCAGTGCTCAGCTCTCGGGTTGATTCACGGAAGGACTCAAGTTGCGGGCCCAGGTCGACGTCTGGGGCGTTCATGACAATGTTGAGCAGTGCAACGGTGGCGCAAGCGTTGTGTATGGTCTGGGTATTCGGTTAGATTTGTTCCAGCAGATCTCGAGACGGGGAAATACCTGATTCGCAAACCATGGGCTTTCCTCGGAATCTTCTTGTTCCTCCCTTTCGTCGAGCATCGGATGGTATTGAAATAGAAACACAAGACCAAACACCGGTTTGCTGAAGGCAGACTCTTAGCGACCTTGAAGTTCATTGTTGTTCGCCGCGCACTTACGGCATCATGTCCATCAACGCCTGGTCCAGGCTGTAGACCTCTTGCACTTTCACATTCTTTACTCCCAAGTCCCGAAGAATGATGTTGAAGAACGCCTGCAAAGCCGTTAATACTGCCATGTTAGCTGATGAGACAACTCACTGGCTCCGACTCCAACTCGACCCATCCCTCCCACTCTTCGATCTCTGCAGGCTTAAGTGGTCGCAGAGCCTCTACCAGCAGGTTATCAGGCAACCGAGGAAGAGTTTTTGAAGGCTCAGCAGCCTTTCTCTTGGGATTCCGGCGGGTCTCTCTGGTGGTGTGTGTTGGCTCAGGAGGCGCGGGCTTCGTTACTGTCGGAGAGAGTCGCGTGGGCTTGATCCGGCGTGTTGACCGACGAGTCGGCGTTTGGTCAACTAGAGAGGCTGGACCATCAGGTTTTTCAGGCGACTGGCTTTCCGGCAGCGGTGGTGTTGGTGATTTCTCTCCCGTGAGGCTGAGCGCCATGATGAAGACGATGAGCTGGCACGGCTGCAGCGCGCGGTATGCGGTATGCGATGCGAACGAATCGTGACGATGTTCAAAGGTTTTCAACTTTTGTGCGAAACACGCCGCTTACCGAAGCGAAGTATGAGGTATTGCGAGTACGGAGAGGACGTACGCCTTAGCTGCTGATGAGCGAACGCGGAAAGGACTGCAGCGGGCGCAAGAGAATACTTGTCGGGTTTTCATGAAAGAATTCAACGTCGTTGTTTAGTTTACAGCCGTCGATTGATGAGGGGCTTGACTATGAATCAGCGTCAAGTGCTTGATGAGCCAGGGCCATATATGGCTGAACTCGCGAATACCGTCGATACCGTGGCGCCTGGCTGGTGGTGTGTGGCAAGGCTGGGCCTCGCGTGTGGGAGTGAGATTACACAAGGACCAAAAGGATCCATGGGAATTCTTATGGGAAGTTATTGATCTGAATGAGTTTAGGCCCGTGCCTCACTCCTCAGTCGTACCGAACCATATGGACAGAGATGCGAGGTTGAAGATCGGGCGCCGGCTCAGTGCGCTAGAGGGGCCTTAGGTCCGCAATAACGAAGAAATTTAACCTTAAACCCAATCGATCTCATGGACTGAAACGTCTTTTAGCTAAATCAATTCATTTAACGGTTCGTTTTGCTATATTAGGGATGTTAGTGAGAGTTTCGCTGAGGATAGATACTGATATTCCATGTCTAGGTTTGGCGTTGAAAAGCCTACCCTGCAGCTACCGTTACCGATGTAGCAATCGGTGGATAGTGTCGCACATATGAAAGAACCCTTCAAAAGACATCAGAAATGGTGTTAAGCAATCAAAAGCGTCTACGGGGCGCCTTCGTTCGCTTTTCGTATGCTAACGGTGCTTCAAGAAAAAGCTAGTCCAAAATATTGGTTCACATGAGACGGAGCACCTAGTACTCGGTGTGGCCACTGTGGTTTGTGAGCGACCAACCCTGAAGAGAAAGCCAAGATGTAAGTTACAATTGCTATCAATATACAATCTTGAATACTAAGGCTGCCCGAGACTTGATGAAACTTAGAAAGAACGTGAAGGGCAGTTATCTCTTTCTGAGCTGAGTAGCTGGTTACCCAAATGAGGTCATTCGCGGGTGAGCTATGTGCACAGTGGCTGCATAACTTTAGCGTTACAAGCAGTAAATTTTATGCGCGTCGCGCTTGCAGTCACCGACGTGATCGTACATAACAGAAACATTCACGGAATTTCCACAGCTTGCCCAACCACGGTGAATCCCATCCAAAGGCTGCCTCTACCCGACCCGATCACCTTCACAACGGCCTAGTGGGAACTCTCTGCAATCGATTATATACAGCTGCAACTCTACGCAGACCGGTTGCACCTCTACGCACCGTCATTCGCGAAGAAAAAGTCGTCCCGCCCGCCGATGCGCACGCTCGACCTTCACCACTACGCAATGCGATGAACGCAACACCACGATTCCGTTCTGGGTATCCAGAAACCCCCAGAACTGTACAAAGATCGCACAGTCAACGGACGCCGGACACAGCGAAGCTACCTCTAGCACCCGAGAACATAGCAGCTGATCCTGGCCCCAGCCAGCCATGGATACCGCTGCACCTCATCGACGCGCCGACCCAGCGCTTCTGGGTGTTTGCGATATATGGAGTCCTCCAGGCCTTTAAACTATGGGACTGGAAGACCGTGGCAGACGAGGGTGTTGGCTCATGGGGAATGTTCCTCAAGTGGATTATACTTGACTTTGCCTACGTTTTCCTCGTCCCCGAACTCAGGATACCATGGCTCGACATCTCGCAGATTGCCACGATTTATATTTACCTGCTCCATTTGTTATTCAACTGGTTTGCCATGTTCCTGATTCCGGTTCGTCCCACAAGCTGCTCGCCCATCGTGCTTTGACTGACCTCGGACAGATACCCGTCATCTCAGGACTTTTAGGCATTGTTAGGAGCCTGTACGATAGCGAGATCTCCGTGTCGGAACACAACGTCAAAGTCGCCAACATTTTGAGCAATCAGTCACATATCAGGGGAAAGGTCACCCTCAACATCTTACCAGAGGGATCCGCCGTCATGAACCCGGACCACGCGCCAATGTGTCTTTCTTCGAAATCGTCCGTCGCCATTCCCATCGTTTTCAACGCCACGATACCTGCCGAAATCGAAATCATTCGGATTGACCTGGACACAGCGCAGGATGAGATTATCAAGATCCCCAATCGTGAGGTGAACAAGCTCGCCAAGCTCGTGCGGAATCAGAACGCCGACCCTAGCAGTGATGGCTTCCGTTGGGATTACTCGCCAAAGAAACCTGGTATTTACCGTCTGGGCAAGGTGCTGGATCAACACAAGCTGCAAGTCCAACGGCAGACGCTGGATACATATGTGGTACCCTGCCCGCAGGCCCGGATCATTGGGGGGAAAAGTGACGAGCGCTGCATCCAGGACCTGTCGGACCTCACACTCGAAGTCACGGGCACACCGCCCCTCAAGATCCATTACAGCCGAACCATCAACGGACAGAACCAGGCCTTTCACTTCCAGAGTCTTCAACCCGAGGCCTACTCTTCAGCCATGGTCGTCGGGTCAGAGTCTGACAACGAGCGAGATGTGTCTTGGGTACGCCCTAGTACGGTGCCGGTTCGTCTCAACGAGTCCATGGCGTCCGTTGGAGAGTGGGAATATGTCATCGACGAGGTCCACGATAAATTCGGCAATGCGGTATACTATGGGAAACCTGGAGAAGATGCCAAGTCGACGTGGCTTCAGCCACTGGCCCAGCGATTCACCGTCAAGGAACGACCCAAGGTGTCCATGCAGGGATGCGACTTGCGCAATCCACTCAAGGTTGCCAAAGGACACTCGGCCACGCTGCCCGTCGCGCTCAGCTTGCCGGCGAAGAACGGGGTCTCTGATACGTCGCACGAGGTCACTTGGGCCTTCTCTCCAATCGACTCCCTAACCAACAGCGGAAGCCATGGCGATCTCGTCACCATTGGCAGCTTCACTGGCAAGAACAGCAAGGAGAGGCCCAGGGTCAACCAGCCGGGCTTGTACACCCTCAAATCGGTTACCAGCGGCATGTGTGAGGGCCAGGTCGAGGAACCATCGTCTTGTCTGATTTTGAACCCAGTGGAGCCGTCTCTGACTCTGCGTACCGAAGAGATTGCAGACAAATGCGCCAGCAACTCCATCGGGTTGCGGGTCGACCTCGACTTCCTTGGTACGCCGCCTTTCCTGGTCCGTTACGAGTACACCTACACGGACAAGGATGGAGTCACTCATCCGACTGAGGCCCAGGCCCACAGGTCTGATGGCGTCAGGTCACAGCTGAGTCTGATTCCCAAGGTCGCAGGTCACTACACATACACTTTCAAGTCGATCGATGATGGGGTCTATGTGCGGAAGCCCTTATCAGGACCGGAGATGACAATCGAGCAGGTGGTGAAGCCTGCAGCATCTGCGAGGTTCCTGGGGACGAAGAGCCGTCAAGTCTGCCTGGATGCCCAAGTCGAGACAGAGGTCGAGTTCATTGGCGATCCGCCGTTTACGCTGGAATGGGAAATTGAGCACGAGGGCAAGAGGAAGACACACCGCTTGAACGACATCCAGCAGAGAAGGTTCGCCATCCAGACGCCGCCTCTCACGAAAGGCGGAGAGTACAACATTGCACTCATCAGCACGCAAGACGTGCGTGGCTGCCGCAGCTTCCTCACGGAACAAATCAAGGTTCTGGTCCGCCGACAGCAGCCGCGCGCAGCCTTCGGTCTCGTTGATGCCAAGCGTAGCCGGATGGAGGTTGAGGGCACACGCGTACGCTTGCCCCTGCGACTCCAAGGCGAGGGTCCCTGGACCGTACAGTACCGCAACCTCAACAGTTCGAGTGAGCCTGTGAGGGACAGGATCGAGAGCGCCAATGGCGCATTGCTGGTGCAGCAAAGCGGTACCTGGGAGATCCAGGAGGTGTTTGATAATCAGTGCCCAGGTATCGTGGACCCGGCAGCGTCGCGGTTCGACATTCAATGGTACCCTCGGCCGCAGCTGAGCCTGGTAGGGTCCGATAGTCTGAACTACAAGGCCGGAAACACTTGGACCAAGGCCGATATTTGTGAGGGCGACATTGACGGATTCGAGCTAAATCTTCAGGGTGAGTTTTTTTCACAGCATCGAGCACAGTAGGCGGCTAACAAAACGAACAGGCTCCTCTCCCTTCAACGTCGACTACGAGATCAGGCACAAGCCAATTTCTGGATCCAGCTCCATGAGCCGCAAGAACTTTGATGCCGCCCTCAGCAAGGCCGCCATCTCCATGGACACGGGCAAAGCTGGCGACTACACGTACAAATTCCACAGTCTTGCGGATAAGAACTACAATGACAAGTCGCCCAACCCGCTCATTGTCGAGCAGCACATCAACGCGCGCCCGACAGCGACCTTTGCGAAGCCCGGCCAGACATTCAAGCTCTGTGCGGAAGAGCAGGAGCACGAGGAGACGATTCCGATCAAACTGGCCGGCCACCCTCCCTTCTTCGTGGAGATGGAGGTCAAGCACCAGGCCGGCGCCGCCCCGGACATTTTCGCCTTGCCGGCGATCAGCACCAAGACCCACGGCATCACCATCCCGCGGCAGCACCTCCGCCAGGGCAGCCAGCAGATCCGCATCCGCCGTGTCCGCGACGGCCACGGCTGCAGTCAAAAGTACGAGAACAACAGCCCATCGGTCGTGGTGCACCTGTACGACGCCCCATCCATCTACCCTCTCGACACTCGGGAAGACTACTGCGTGGGCGAGCGCATCGCGTACACGCTGTCGGGCACACCGCCGTTTGACATATCCTACGAGTTCAACGGCAAGTGGAACGCCAAGTCGCAGACGACGTCGTTCCGTCGCGTGGCTGAGAAGCCCGGCGACTTTGTGATCACGGGTGTCTCGGACAAGGCGTCCGAGTGCCGGGCGGCGGTGCACATCCCCAAGACGATCCACCCGCTGCCCAGCGTGCAGATCAGCCATGGCCGCATGTCGCACGTGGACATTCACGAGGGCGGCGAGGTGGACATTCACTTTGACTTTTGGGGCACGCCGCCGTTTGAGTTTACGTTTACGCGCAGCTCGAACCCGAAGAAGGGGCAGCGGAGTGTGGTGCTCGAGACGCGCCATGACGTGTCGTATGAGCATAAGAAGGTCATCAAGGCAAGTCAGGAGGGTACGTACGAGGTTGTCGCCATCAAGGACAAGTACTGCTCCTTCTCCACGCAGCAGTTGGTGAAAAAGGATGGACGGTGAGGGCAGGCAGGGAGAGTGATGATGGGCAGATAGGAGGAGCAGGGACGGATGGCCTCTTGATCATGGCACGGCGTTACTTTGATTGTTCGATTTTTTGCGTCTCACAGGGACAGATAGGTTGAATATCGGATTGGGTTGTTTATTGATATGAATTCGTTTTTTTACTTGGTGTGGGTATCCAATGTCTAGCCTTCCTCTTCCTCTTCCTCTTCAACCTCCTCAATCTTCTTGAACATAGCACCACCTATCCGGGCAATCTCACACAGCACAGCCTGCTTGTTGACCTCCACCTCGCCCTCGTCGCCGACAGCGTGGAAATTATACGGCAGACCGGCGCGGAACTTTGTTCTTTTCAGTTTGGGGTTCCAGATGGCGCCGATAATGGTGTCGTCCTCATCCTCCTCAGCGGCAGCAGCACCGTGGAAGAAGACGAGCGTTCCCTCGTAGACACGCTGCAACTCCTCCATGAGGACAGCCACGGGGGCCGCGCGCACAGGTAACGGCTGCTGACCCGTGGCGCCGTCGAGGTTCTTGAACTTGGAGGACGCAGAGGAAGAGCCCTGCGCCGCTCGATTGACCTCCCGGATGGCCTTGGGGGACAGGTGGAAGAGGACATCGTAGTCCTGGAGGTTGGTGTCGAACAGATCGACCGGGTCGATGTGGTAGTCCTCCGCCTTGATGAGCTTGGACGCCGCCTTGGCGAGCATGGTCATGCGCGAGGCGATGAGACGACTCGGGCCGGCGCGGGTGTAGGCCTCGCCCGAGTGGTCGCTAGAGGTGGCGACGAAGAGGGTGAGGTGGTTCATGTTGGGATCCCTATTGCGCCAGACGGCGAGGTCCTTGGCGATGCTGGCGCGTTCGTCGTTGGTCATGTCGCCGGCGGTGTCGATGATCAGGGGCTCATCGCGCCAGTCCCAGCGGGCGAGGAAGTCAAGGGTGCGGAGGAAACCCGTGGTGCCGGAGGAGGGCGTGGCCCAGGGGTAGGCGTGGAGGAAGACATGGAGGACAAAGAGCTCGATGAGTTCGTGGGAGAAGTGGCTGGCGAGCTTGTGGCGGGCGAACCACTGCTTGACGAGGCGGATGGCGGGTGAGAGGGCGGGGAGACGGGTGCAGGCGGTGGCGAGGGCGGTGGTGTGCAGGGGAAGGACGTGGAATTGCCAGCGGAAGCGGGCGAGGGCGTCGTCGGCGGCGTTGCGGATGTAGGCGTCGAGGTGCTTGCTCTTGACCTGCTGGTCGAGGAGGATACCCTCAAGGTCGCAGTAGATGCGGACGCGAAAGGCGGCGCCCGAGTCGTAGACGACGTCGAGGTAGGCGAGGTTCTCGTCGCCGAGATCGCGGTTGTCGCGGCCGAGGTGGGTGGTGATGTTGTCGTGGGCGGCGGCGAGGCGGCGGTCCATGTCGAGGAGAAACTCAATCTTGGCCTCCTGGATGGCGACGAGGTTCTCGGGCCACTTTGTCGAGTGCTCAAAGAAGAGGTTGACGTCGACGGGGGCGAGGCGGCCGGTGTGGGCGCCGATGAGCGGTGGTGTGATGGACGTGTAGCGGGCCATGGGGGAGACGGGGGCGATCTGGCGGATGGACAGGGGCAGGTCGTCGAGGTTGCGGACGTCGGATTCAAAGGTGAGAAAGGCGCGTCGGACGGCGTCAAAGGCTGCCTTGTCGGTGTGGGCAAAGTCGACGAGGGCGTGGACAAAGGCGTCGCCGTAAAAGGCAATCTCAGCCTCGAATAGCTTGACGTGCCGGGCGAGGACATAGCGCGTCATCTCCTCGCAGATGCCGAGGGCGTGGCGGGCGGACCAGTCGACGCATTCGAGGATGCTGCCGTCCTGGAAGCGACGCAGCTCAGCCTTGTCGCCCCAGAACTGACGGAAGCGCGCGGCGTCCCGGGCATCCTCGGCGGGGGGACCCTTCTCCAGCTGGACGGCCATCTGGGGCCCGTTGAAGATGACACCGACCACGAGCGTGGGTTGCGGCTTGGACCCCTTGAAGGCCAGTGACCAGGGCTTGGCGGCGGGCTGCTGGATGTGGATGAGCTCGGCGCGTGGGCCGTAGGCCTTCTTGAGGACTTTGTAGATGTCGTGGCTGTTGGCCCACACGGCGCCGCCGCCGTCGGACGAGGCGCTCTTGGTAATGTCGGCGCTGTTGATCTCAAAGACGGCGTCGTAGAGCTCGGCGAGGACGTTGGCCTTGACGATGAAGATGGGCGCAAACTTGTCGGCCGCATCGTCCGCCAGCAGCTCCGTGGTCGTCTTGGCGTACCTGTGCAGGAGAGCGGTGGACCACGGCGTCGCCTTGTGGAGGATGTTGAGGTGCGTCTTTGGGTCGAGCATGGCGGGCCCAGCGTCGCGTGCGCCGCCGTCTGCGGCGCCAGCAGCCTTGCCGAGGACGACGGGTTTCGCGCCGTTGAAGTCGGTCTCGGAGAGAAACTGAATGGCCGCCTTGAAGAGCTCCATGGCGCTCAAGGACGTGGACAGCGAGCCCTGTCCGTTGCGACCGCCCGACTGCATGAGGAGGGCGACCATGAGGGACCACTCAAAGTGGCCAAAGCCGCCCTGGGCAATGGCGCTGCCGAAACCGCGCTGCTGGAGCCAGATCCGGCCCAGGACACAGGCGTCGACGAAGCCAGGGCACTCGTTCTTTGCCTTTGTGAGGACGCGTAGATAGGAGATGTATGTGCTCTCCGCCTTGAGGGTCGAGTTGTAAAAGGGGGTGGGGGACTTGGCGTCGCCGTCGTCGGCCTGACGGTTGCAGGCGGATGCTGGCGTGAGCTTGGACGCAGGGAAGATGCTCTCGGGCGCACAAGGGATGATGCGAATGGCATAGTCCTTTGCCTTTGCCTTGCTGTTTTTCTTGGTGACGTTGGCGTCGTCCTGATCTTGGGCCTCAGCAATTGGGGTGAGGAGCAGCACGGGGAGCAGCCTATTGTCGTGGAGGAACTCGAACTCGACGTTCATCCCGCTCTCCTCCCTGATGGTCGCGGCAAGGACGGCAATGTAGTACGCGCGGCGGTAGAAGTAGCGCATGTCCTGAAAGTCCTTGTCCTGGAAGAGGGACCGGGGCATCTGCACGACCATGTCGACGCAGTACCGGGCCTGGTGCCTGGTCATGGTCCGGAAGACATAGCTGCCGACTACATTGCACTGGGCCGGCTTCGCAAAGGCCAGCTTGTAGGGAGCGTCCTTGGCGGGTCTGGGCTCGGGGTAGGGGATCGTGATGCGGTGGGTTTTCTCAAAGGTGGCCGTGGCCTGGGTGATCTGGCGGGGGGAGGTTAGCACTAGAAGACGGGAAGATTGACAGCCCACGTACCGGTATGGGATCGTGCGGCTCGGCAGACTCGATGATGGTCTTCAATTGGTGAAGCTGGGCATCGACGCCTTTGAGCGCCTTGTCGTAGTCGACCTTTGCACTCTTGAGCAGCTCGTCTGTCTGGAGGGTGAAGATGCTCGAGGACGACAGTCGTGTCGCGTCGGGGGACTGGAAGTCGATGAGGTTCTGGTGTTTGAGACCAGAGCCCGCATTGTTGAGCTTGCGCCGTTTCGAAGAGGACTCCATGGCGGGATGTTTGGTCTGACTGTCCTTATAATTGTGAGAGCATCGCGAGCTTGGTGCTGGTGGTGCTGCTTGTGGTGGTGGCTGCGCCTGCCAACTTTTTTCCAGGCTTATCGGCGGGGCGATAAGATAGGATGTGATAGCCCACGATAAGGGGCGATAAGGGCAGATGGGCGGCACCTCAGCGATCACCTCAAGACGGTCTTTAATTGTATGGGACGTGTGTGTACGTGATTGATGGCGATCAGTCACAGCTTCAGATGGATCTACTTGTGGTACTCGCCGCTGTTACTGATGTTTCGTGTCGTGCGCATTGCTGTCTGACGATGACGCGAACACGCATTCTGTTCAGTGCGGTCCAGGAGGCTCTTGGAGATGCTCCCCAGGACCTTAGCATACATACGGATAGACATAGCACATGTCAAATTGTCAATTGATGAATAACTCAATGGAGGGATTTGCCGAGTGCTGGCTGTTGCATCACTGGCCTGGCGCTGCTCTCGACGCTGCTCTGCCTTGAACAGCCGTGGATATCCGACAGCTGGAGAGACGAAGCCATCAGGTGCTGGGACAGAGAAGAGGCCATCCATTTGATGAAAACCCCATGTTGATGGCATTGCTTAATTGACAGCTACTTCGTGAATATTACCTACTAATTACTATGTCCACGTCTGGCTGTTCGTTCATGTCTTGGTGCGCAGTGCAATAGCCGGCTAAGGTATCTTCCCAGACAGACGCGGGAGCGATTGATGGCGAGCGCGGAACAAGCGCGCACTTTGTATGCGGCAGCGTCGGCCAGTCAGTCAGTCAGTCAGTCAGCCGTCAAGTCCCGAGCCGGAAGACAGCTTACCCGTCTGTCACTGTCACGACTCACAGACGATGGTCCTGCTGGTGTGATAGTCACAGTCTGCTGCTGGCGTCCAGTCGCCTTTCGAAATAACTTGAATGAATACCCTAGATATGAATCGTGAGCATGGTCAGCCAGACAGACAGCCAGACAACCAGCGTCGGTTCCGACGATGCGCTGTCTCGAGTCGTCGGATCCGCTCAGTTCGCGGCGGTCCGCGCTGACGATATGTGTATTGTGTAAGCGGCTAATACCCCGTCATATCTCCCGAGCCCCCGTGCCGAAGAGCGGAATCGGGAATGTGGAGGATGAATGGCTGGCTGATGATTTGGAGAAATGCTGGATGGCGTGTGGAGGACGCGACGGCCACAGTGGCCGAAGACGGCCTTGGAAGCCGAATCCTCACGCGAGGAACCGATCAATCAATCAATTCATTGATCAGTCCATGATATTCCGGGGCACGGACGGGCAGCCGCGGGATTCGACATCCCATACATAAGAGCCAACGCTCATCCACGCGCGCGTGAAGCTTCCCCACGGGCGGATAAGCTCTTCTTCTTCTTGTCCTCTGTCCTCTGTCCTTCTCCACCTCCACCGTCTGTCTTCCCCAGAGTCAGATTGACTGACTGCTCGTCTCGTGGCCATTAATCGTCCTTTTTTGCTTTCGCTCGTGATACCCTCTGCCGCGATCCATTGCCCGCGGCCCTGTCGCTCTTCACAACTCCTCACCTTGCCCTCACCTCTCTCACCAGTGACCACACCCGCATCACCCACGATGCCCCCAGTAGCCCTGCGCGCCCGCACGCTCCGGGCCTTTGCTCGCAATGTCAGCAACGTGAGTCCTCGACACAGAAACTGTCTATGACAAGACCTGAACTGACCCGAGCCCAGCCCCATGCCGCGCTCTGCCGGTCCTTCTCGACCACCCTCGCGCGCGGCGAGATCAACAAGGTCTTCCCCTCGGCCACCGAGGCCCTCAAGGACATGAAGCCCAACACGACGCTCCTCTGCGGCGGCTTCGGCCTCTGCGGCGTCCCCGACACCCTCATCGACGAGCTCCTCCGCAAGCCCGAGATCAAGGGCATGACCGCCGTCTCCAACAACGCCGGCACCGACGCCCACGGCCTCGGCAAGCTCCTCAAGACCAAGCAGATCCGCAAGATGATCGCCTCCTACATTGGCGAGAACAAGACCTTTGAGAAAATGTATCTCACCGGCGAGGTCGAGCTCGAGCTCACCCCGCAGGGCACCCTCGCCGAGCGCTGCTCTGCCGGTGGACGCGGTGTCCCGGCCTTCTACACGCCCGCCGCCTTTGGCACCGTCGTCCAGACCGGCGACCTGCCCCTCAAGAACAAGGCCGACGGCAGCCCGGACCAGTACTCGTACCCCAAGGACGTCAAGGTCTTCCGCGGCAAGCCCTACCTGCTCGAGGAGGCCATTGCCGGCGACTACGCCTTTGTCAAGGCCTACAAGGCCGACAAGCTCGGCAACTGCCAGTTCCGCCTCGCCGCCAACAACTTCAACGGCGCCATGGGCCGCAACGCCAAGATGACCATTGTCGAGGCCGAGCACATTGTCGAGCCCGGCGAGATCGCCCCCGAGGCCGTCCACCTGCCCGGCATCTACGTCAAGCGCGTCATCCAGAGCACCGCCGACAAGAACATTGAAAAGGTCACACTCGCCCGCGACCCAGACGACCCGGCCGCCAGGGCCGCCCTCGGCACCGGCGACACCGCCGCCAAGCGCGAGCGCATCGTCCGTCGCGCCGCCAAGGAGTTCAAGAACGGCATGTACGCCAACCTCGGCATCGGCATGCCCATGCTCGCCCCCAGCTTCGTCGGCCCCGACGTCGAGGTCCAGCTGCAGTCCGAGAACGGCATCCTCGGCCTCGGCCCTTACCCCCAGCGCGGCGCCGAGGACGCCGACCTCATCAACGCCGGCAAGGAGACCGTCACCCTCAACCCGGGCGCCGCCGTCTTTGGCAGCGAGGAGTCCTTTGGCATGATCCGCAGCGGCCGCATCAACCTCACCATCCTCGGCGCCATGCAGGTCAGCGCCGGCGGCGACCTCGCCAACTGGATGCTCCCCGGTAAAGTCAAGGGCTTTGGCGGCGCCATGGACCTCGTCTCCAACCCGTCTGCTACCAAGGTCGTCGTCACCATGGAGCACACGGACAAGAAGGGCAACCCCAAGATCATGAAGCAGTGCGCCTTTCCCCTCACCGGGCGCGCTTGCGTCTCTAGGATCATCACGGAGCTCGGCGTCTTTGACGTCGACTTTGCCAAGGGCCTCACCCTCGTCGAGATTGCCGACGGCGTCACCGTCGACGAGATCAAGAGCAAGACCGAGGCGCCCTTTAAGGTGGCTGAGGACTTGAAGCCGATGCTGTAGAGGAAGATGAAGAAAAGAAAAGAAAAGAACAAGAATTGTAGGTTATGGCATCTCTGGCGTTATTATGATATGATGGGTATATACATATATATATGTGTCTTGGAATACAGTAAAATAGCAACTCCCTCATGTGAACGAGCTCAGCATGTCGTCCATCCGTCGCTTCTTCCGCGCTCGGACCTCTGCTGGTGTCTTCTTCTCTGCCTGGACAGGCGGCTGCTGCTGAACATCCTCGCCTCCAGACCGCCCAGTCTCGTACAACGCGCTCCGCCTGACAAAGGTGTACCGCCTCACCCCAAACAAGCCTCTCTTCACGTACGCCACCCGGCCGCTGACGCCCTCCCTGCTGCAGTGTCCCAGGTACACGCTCGCCATGGGCTGCTCGGGCAGCACAAAGGGGCCCGCGACGGCTTTCCGTCCACCACGCGGCCCGGACATTTGGCCCATGAGCGCCATCAGCCAGAACGCCCACGCCTCAAACGGCCAGTCGTGACAGTCACTCGACGCCACCGTCTCGCCGCTCTCCCAGCCGCTCTTCGCCGCGTCGGCCAGGTATTCCACCAGTATGGGCGCGTCCCCCTCGGCCACGAACCGGATGGACGCCTGGGGGCTCGTCAGGAGCGACGTCAGGTCCGAGTCGATGCTTCTCGTCACTCGTCGGTTCTGCTGCGTCTCGATCGCCTCGTCGGTGAGAAGCATGAGATAGTGGTGCAGCCCGTCCTCCAGGCCCTTTGTGAGATCCCAGCTGTGTTCTGCCGCCGTGGCCGACGCGTGGGACCAGTCTTCCCGGCTGGCCTGGACGTCGTACAAGACTAGCGAGGGAAAGCGTGTTACCCAGGCGAGCGAGTGCCTTGTGACCGTCGGATCGCCCCAGATGCGCAGGATCCGGAGGGCCGGAAACGCATCGTCGACACTCGCCCAGCCCCGGATCAGCATGTCGTTGATCGGGGGGAACTCTAGCTGGATCTGGTCGCTCGGCTGGATGATCTCCAACGCGACGAGGTTCGCCATCCCGGCCAAGGGCAGCATCTCGCTCGTCGTGAAAGTGCACCGGCCGCTGATCACGAGATGCGTCAGGAACCCATCACCCGCCAACGGCTCCATGAACGTCCGGAGTGGCACGCCCTCGGGTCGGCAGACGTGGCCCCGAAACCGCCAGAGGCCCAGCGTCCTGCCCTCGACCTCTTCGCTATCGTGGTCGTTGTCCTCGTCATCATCACCATCGTGGAGCAGCACGGGGTGGAACAAGCGCCACGCGTGCAGACTCGCCCCCCGGGCCTCGAGGAACCGCCAGATCTTCCACCGCAGCCGGGGCGCCAGGTTGGTGATGTGGCCGGGCGTCAGCAGGTCCACGTTGCGGGCGATGAGCGGGATGAGCATGTCAACGAGCGAGCGGGCCCCGTGGGGGTTGAGCACCGGCACGTGCGCGCGCCGTGAGGTCGTGTGCCATGATGTGGACTTGGAGGAGGGCGGCAGCAGGCGCGAACGTGAAAGGGTCGACTCGGTGAAGAATGGATGACAGCTGGACATGAGGGTGGTGAGATGGAGGTGGAGGAAGAGGTGGTGGTGAGAGAGGTGGTGAGGTCAGAAGTGGGTGACGGTGATCATGACCGCGACGGCATGGCGGCAGGCACCTTGGTTGTGCCTTCCGCACGACGGTAATCACTGAACATGTGTGATGGGCAAAGGATTGTCGGGACTCTGAGCGTTGCGTGGACGTTGCGAGGACAATATTACGGTGCTCACGTCAAGCAGCATGCGCTGTCCGTAGAGTTTTCACTCCGCCAGATCGACGTTGGGCGTAGAGCAGCCACTCCTTAGCCGGAGATACGAAACTACGTGCAGCCTTATTTGGCCGTCCTCATCTCGTCCTCGTCTTTGCGAGAGACTGTGACAATAACGACAAACTTCAACAAAATGTCCCGCCTTCCAAATTTCTCCAAGCCCAACGCAGCCCGTCGAGGCGTGCCACAGGTCAGAGGGTAAGTCAGCGAGGTCAATCTTTCCTCCCGTTTCCCCTCCGTTCCTTCATGGGGTAATGAACGACAGAGTGAATAGGAAGGATTGGTTTCCATTTGTTTTGAAAACTTTCTAGTAGGTTGAAGAAGAAGAAGAAAACCAGCAAAGGTGCGCGTCCCGACGCGAGTTTTGTGTGACTTTGCGGGCGCGGGGCAGCGTTGTTCCGGCCTTAGTCATTGCCTGCTTGGCCAGCTTACCCTAGAATGCCTGTGAAGCCTGGACTGTGGAATTGGGCCAGAGTCATGGCAGGACCCTTAGATCGCCCCCAATTCAGCCAATCTCGCAGCTGCAATTGATGAGCCGCTCAGTTTGATTTTTAGAAGTGACTCTACAAGTAGGCTGACCAGAGGAGGACGTTCGTTGCCCAACGGTGAAATCTGATTGCTTTTGCTGCAAACACAGCCCTAGGTGACCTTTCCAGCAATTCAATACGAGCACCTCAGCTGCCCTACCAGTTCCATTACCCAAGCAGAGCATCTTCAGTCCTCCAGTCCTCCTCTATTGTGCTGTTTCAGGTCTCATCACCACTGAAAGAACCTACCCCGCTACCCCGCCCCTGCGATCACTGCCACAAGCACGACAGTCCCAAGTCAGACCCTACATACATCAGGACCCTTGGACTTAACGCGAGCTTCCAAGACCCTTTGAATCTCAGCACGCAACCCAGGTCAACCTACATCATAATGGCTCCTGGAGGCGCAGGCGGCCGCGGCCGTGGCGGCAAGTTCAAGAAGCCCACCCGTGGAGGTAAAAACAAACACCCCTTCGCGCAGTCTCTGCCAACATCATATCACTAACAGCCACCAGGTGGCCACCACTTCTCCCGGAATCTGCAGCCTATCGACAAGGACGGTAATGCCGTGAGCATGTGGGCCGAAGGTAAGGACAAGGACGACGAATCGTCAGAAGAGGAGTCGTCGTCCGAAGAGGAGGAGGAGTCTTCCGAGGAGGAAGATGCCAATGCAGCCAACGCCGAGGCTTCGCGCGAGGCCCGCAAGGCCCAGAAGAAAGCCCGCAAGGACGCCGCTATTGCGAAGCAAAAGTCAAAGATCGTCCAGCCGGGCGACCTGCCATCCAGCTCCGAGGACGAGAGCGACGAGGACGACGACATGCCCGCCAATCCGAACCACTCCAAAGCGGCGCGCAAGCAGGCCGCCAAGCCCGTGGTGGCCGACTCGGACGAGGAGGACGATGGCGATGCCGGTGTGGGCAAGATCACAAAGGGTCTCAAGAACATGAACCGCAAGGAGCGCGAGGCGCACGAGGCGGCCGCTGCCAAGGAGAGGTACATGAAGCTGCACGCCGCGGGCAAGACAGACCAGGCCAAGGCTGACCTGGCCCGTCTGAGGGAGGTGCGTGAGCGCAGGGCGGCCGAGGCGGAGAAGAGGATGGCCGAGACGGAGGAGAGAGACGAGAAGGAGGCGGCGAGGAAGAGCGAGCTCGAGGCCAGAGAGGCCAGGGAGCGGGCGAGACGGGAGGCGGCTGCTGGTCCTACTAAGAAGGGGAAGAAATAGGCCTTTTTCTAGGTCTCGTCACGTCAGTGCGAGTGTAATCACGCGTGGTGTAAAGCTTCGATGCCTTCATTGTGGTGTTCTCGACGCTGCGCTGGGACAAGGCACTCTGCATGTTGAGTCGCAATCACCCAACTGGCACGCTGAGCTCACATAGCTGCATGCTTGGGACCTCAAATGAACGTGGGAAATGCGCTCTCTGATTATTTACTAGACTAGACTAATGAAGCCTGAAGTCGACGTGCTTTAGGTCGCGTGTATGCCCCACATTAACATTTCCGACTCCTTAGCGGATGCCGGCTCCGTCCACCTGCAGATGCAAAAAAATTATTGCCCCAGGCTGGACGAAGCATTCATTCGGACAGCACCTCGACTTGACCTCTGCCTGTCTGTCTGCTGCCTCACCACAACGACGACAGCCACCTCGTTTCCCGCAGCATCCATCGCTCCCTGTAGTCTGCTTGTTTCAACACCCTGTATAGAATCCGTCACGATGGGGGGAGAGGACGCAACGCAGGTTTGTCCCCCCAAGCAGCCTCTGGTACCCCGCCGTGTCAGAGATGGCGGTGGGCGACCTGGAAAACCAATCAATCAATCCATCATCGTACTGACAATGGACTTGTCTGTAGGATCGCCTGCGCGCTCACGCGAGCAACTTTGAAGGCCTCTTGAGCCTCATCCCTGCCAAGATGTACTATGGCGAGGAGGGCACCGTACGTGCTGCCCTGCCCTGCGAGAGGACACCCTCGCCCTCCCCCAGCCACCGCGCTAACGCTGTTGCAGGACCAACAATGGCAGCGCAAGAAGCAGAGCAAGGCCCAGGCCAAGGCCAACAAGCGGGCCAAGCTGAATCCAGACGCCGAGCTGAACAAGAGCGCACAAGAAATCATGGAGGAGCGGGCGAAAAACAAGCGCAAGGCGCGCGACATGGAGGCACTGGAGGACGATGACGATGCGGAGGCCGACGACGCTTTTGAGGTACCCGACGGTGTCGAGCTCGAGAAGCCCGGCGAGGGCCTCAAGAAGAAGAAGCAAGAGGCGGAAGCCAACAAGAAGCAGAAGCGCGAGCAAGAGGACGCGCAGGGCAACGACGACTGGGAAGACGAGGAAGACAAGCCGGCCGCCGAGGCCAAGGCCGACGATACCTCCAAACTGTCCAAGAAGCAGGCCAAGATCGCCGCCAAGAAGGAGAAGAAGAAGGAGAAGAAGGCGAAGAAACAGGGTGAGTCTACAGATCCTACCGGCGCCGACGCGGGGCCTTCCGCACCGAGCCTCGAGAAGACGCCCAGGGCCGACAAGAAACAGCAAAAGGCCAAGCCAAGCGAGGACCAGACCATCCTCCCAGCGGATCCCTCCGAAAGTGAGGGCGAGGAGGCGGAGGAGGAGGAGGGGGACGCCGCCTCTGCCGCCGGTGAACCTGCCGCCGTCGACTTTTCCGGCCTTGTGCAAGCCGATGAGAACGACACGGCACCATCATCAAGTAATTCCCCCGTCTTCGAAGCCGCCCAAGCACCCAGCACCTCCACCTCTGTCTCTTCTACTGTCCCACCCTCCGAGAAGCCAAAACACATTAAACTCCCCACCGACACGACCGCCATCCGCGCCCGCCTCGCCGCCAAGATCGAAGCGCTCCGCGCCGCCCGCAAGGCTGACGGCCCGGACGGCAAGCCCATCCGCACGCGCCAGGAGCTCATCGAGTCCCGCCGCGCCAAGGAGGCGGCACGCAAAGCACACAAGAAGGAGCTGCGGACCAAGGCACGCATGGAGGAGCAGCTCAAGCGCGAGGAGGCCCTTGCAAGCAACTCACCGTCCGTCATGAGCCCCGCCGTGGAGCTCGACAGCGCCGACGCCAACTTCTCCTTTGGCCGCGTGGCCTTTGGCGACGGGAGCCAGCTCTCGCGGGACCTGTCCCACGTCCTGTCCAACGGCAAGAAGAAGGGTCCCTCTGACCCCAAGACGGCGCTCCTCAAGGTGCAATCGCAGAAGCAGCGCCTCGCCGCCATGGACGCCGAGAAGCAAAAGGACATTGCCGAGAAGGAGGCCTGGTTGACGGCGCGTCGTCGCGCCGAGGGCGAGAAGATCCGCGACGACGAGGGCACCCTCAAAAAGGCCGTCAAGCGCAAGGAGACGGCCAAGCGCAAGAGCGAGAAGGCGTGGAAGGAGAGGCAACGGGGCGTCGAGCACGCGCAGCGGGAGCGTCAGAAGAAACGAGAGGACAACATCCGGCAACGAAAAGAGGACAAGATGCTGGGCAAGGCGGGCAAGAAGAAGAAGGGTGGTGCTGGCGGTGGTGGTGGTGGCAAGAAGAAGGGCGGGCGGCCTGGGTTCGAGGGCAGCCTGGGTGGTGGACGGAAAAAGTGAGGGAAGCGGAAGAGGAATCCTTGACAGGAGAATTCTTGCATGTTCACACCATGGCATTGGCGTTTGGGGCGCTCGGGAACAAAAATCAAAGGGTACTACTATCTAGTGTCGATCTTGCTGCACAGAAGGGGCACGGCCTGTTTGTCTACTACATCGTTGCTGTTATAAAGAGAGAGACAGGTGAATTCACGATCCGCAGACGATCTATTCTGCACGCATGCGTGACAATCATGGTTCAAGACCTCATCATGTAACGACTAGGGACAAAATAACAAGAACAAAAAAGTTACACAAGCGATGACGACGCTTCCCATGCCATTCTTTCAGTCCAGTTCCCATCCACGCAAGATCAACGGAAGATGCGCCCCCTGGTTTTGTATACCCCGTTCCCAGTAGCCCATTTCATTCGTTCAGAGTACCTTGTCTTCCTTTCCCCCCCTCGACCATGGTTTGTTCGGCCGGCTTAACAGAAAGAAATGCGTACTGGGTGTCCCATGCAAGAAAGTGAAAGCGACGGTTCGGGTCGAATGGGGTGGGCCGCCGAGGTCAGGATCGAGAGGGTTCGTATATAGTGTGGCCGCGCCAGGCCAAGGCTCGAGAGACTCGACTCGACTCGACGCCCTACAGCAGCGAGTCGAGGCGGGTGAAGACGCTCAAGCAGGCGGCCACGACCTCGAGCTGGAGCTCCTTGTCTTTGTTCTTACTCATCTCCTGTGACGTGTCAGTCAGTCATTGCAGTCCCAGTCAGCACCAAGTCCAGGCCAGCACATACCTCGGCCACAATCTGCGGCAGGTTGGCGCCAATGCCGTTGCCGGTCGCCTTCTTGCCAAAGGGCCATTGGCTGTAGTCGGCGAGCAGCTCGTCCGTCTGGGCAAAGGCGCGCTCGCGGGCCTCGTGGCCGAGCGTCGACAGCGCGTTCTCGAGGACGTTGGCGGCGTAGGCGGCACACACCATGGCGAGGGTACGCAGGTAGCGGAACTCGAGGGTCTCGGGCAACCACTGGCTCCCGTTAAGAACGACGGTGCGCTGCGTGAGGACGTTGCGGACGCGCCGGCGAATCTCCTCCTTGGCGCCGCCGTCGACGACGGGGTGGGTGGCCATGTCGAAGAGGAGGAAGTTGCGCTTCTCGGTGCGCAGGATGCCCTTGTCCACGAGGCCCTTGGCCAGGCGCTCGCGCACCTGCTTGAGCTGGTACCCAATCTTCATGAGGTTCCACGTCTCGCCGCTCATGAGGTCGATCCAGGTGGCCACGCTCATCTTCTCGCTCTGCTTCATCATCTTGAGGGCCTCGTCGAGGAGGACCTCGCCGGTCATGGTCTCGTCAATCACCTCAATGTTCCGGTCGGCCAGCGGTAAGCGTCGTCGCGCGGGATCCTTCTCCATGCTGATCCGCCCGCGGAACGCGAGCTCGGTGACGATGCAGCCGCGCAGCGCATAGGAGATGTTGTCGTTCCAGAAGGAGAGGTAGCCCTGTCGCGCCCTGTCAGTACACGCTCGCTCGCTCGGCGGGTCCGTCCCGTGGGCGGGCCAGATGATCGCACCTGTTTGTCTTTCAAGCCCAGCAGGAGGATCTCCTCCATCATGGTGAGCTTGGGCTGCTTGCTGCGCTCGGCGCTCTCGCTCATGTCTCTGGGGTCAAAGGCGATCTTGTGCCCATTCTCGCTCGTGTCGTAGCTGGTTTCGGGCCCAGCGTCGCGGACGTTGTGAGACGAGCTGTTTCTCGAGGGTGTGGCTTCCGAGTCTGCGAGGTTCTGCGCGGCACCGCCAGCGCCACGGCGCCTTGTCAACCCCGAAGACATGTCGGTCGATGGCTGCTGGGCTGTGGTGCGAAGGGGTGAACTGTGGTGGGTAACTAGACTAGATGGCCTAGATCGACAGATAGGGGATCGGTGAGCGGTCGGGGGGGCACGCGTCGCCCGTTGGGTCAATGGCGGTTTGTCGTGTGTATCTGGGCGGCAGCAATCGAGGGAAAACGAGGATGCAGGCGGACGAGGCGTAGGTTCGCACGTCCGAGATGAAGATGGCAATGGCAGCTCGCTAGCAGGCTGCGTCGCAGGGCTGTGATCGTCCGAATATTTTGCGCCGCCAACGTACGTCTGGTCGCTGGAAGGAAAGATGAGGGTCCACAATTCGGCCAGGTAGCGAGAGATTGGGGGTCAGTCTGCTGTCTGTGGTAGGGATGGTGGCGACGTCGTGGTGGCTCACAAAGCCATTGGCCGCAGTGTCGAAGATATAATTAGGATGAGTGTTGTTGAAAGAGGATGGGATTTTTCAGGATTTCGTGGCGATGGAAAGGAGACTGGCGCACGAGCTCAAGGGCGCCGCGCTGTCAAATTCATGGATGGAGGGCGTTCGTCGTGTTGGGGGGCTGTGCCGGGTAGGGTAAATGGCCTTGGATTACTTGGTGGCTGAGCCACACTTCCTAACGACGACCAGAGTTCAAAGGTCAAAAGTATATCGCTAATAATGGCCACGCACTGTCTTTTGAAACAAATTAAATTGGCAGGCAAGCCATGACGAGGCTTGTCTTTTGCATCACGAATATCAAAATTATGCAAAGCACGGAGGCCGACTGCCACTGCCACCGCTGCCATCAGGACAAATATCTCAAGTGGTCAATGAGGCGTCACTGCGTCGTCCCAGCTGGATAGATGTCGATGATTGCAACCATCGTAACTATATCATCCGACCTTTTGTTCCATCTAAGATCAGCTACCCAGCGCGTTCTAGTGCCTACATGCAAATCTGGAGTGACATGTATACTCGAGATAATATGGTGTGATGCGCTGTGGAGAAGGTTGTTCAAGTGCCTTGTATTATTACAAAAGAGATAGCCGTTGAGGCTCTATTTATGCGTTCTTGATCGCATGA